CCCCAGGGAAGAGGGAATTCTGCCAGTAGGCTGTCTTTGGACTTGAGTTGAAATATCAACTCTTTCTTGGTTCCCCAGCCTGCTGGCCTGCCTTGCAGATTTTGAACTTGGTAGTGCGCACGATTGTGTGAGTCAAATCCTTAAAAAAAATTCTCTCTCTTTAAATATATATACATATATTGTATATATATATATATTATATGTACATATATATATTGTGTATATATACTTGGCAAACCTTGACTAATACAGATGATAAGATCAGGTCCTGATGTCTGTTTTTAGCCTCTGGATTCAGCCAAAACTGATATCAAATTCTACTGGATTTTTACTCAAATCATCCTCTTCAGTTGGGTTTCAGTTTCTTGCAACCCAAAGAGACCCTCTCAGGAAGAAGCAGTGAGCTCACACTCAGTGCTCAGTCCATGCCAGGCCCAGTATTCTCCTTTTATAACTGCTTGGGCCTTGAAGGATGCACAGGAAGTTCATGTCAGCTTGGGGAGCGTTCAAAGCCCCCTGGCAGAGTGATCATGTATGTGCAAAGACACAGAGAAATGATGGAGTTTGATATGCACAGGAAACTGAAAAGTTTAATATGGTCCAAGCAAAGGGAGGCGATTGGCAAAGAGACAGGGCAGGAGAAGTTGTCAGGGGCCAGGTGATGAAGGACTCTGAATGCCACAGAAAAGTTTAGACTTTGTTCTGAGGATAGCGGGGGAGCCATTAAAAGAGTTTCAAGCAGGAGAAAGGTGACCCCATTCAGCCTTAGCTGGCCCAGTCCACAGTGTGGAAGACACAATGAAGCTGAGAGAAAATAGAAGCAGGGAGGAATTATTTTCTGGATAGAATTTTTTCCTGATGCTCTTGAAACCAGATTTTGTATGTCATTTCTCATCTACTCAAAGCAGAATAGTACAGTGGTTAATGGATATGGACTCCTGGAGCCATCTTGCCTGGGGTCAATCCTGGCTCTGCCTCTTACTATTTAACCTCAGGCATGTTATTGAAAACCTTGGTGCCTCAGTTTTCTCAGTGAAGACAACAGCATTGCCTCCCTCCTAGTTCATTGTAAGGATTAAATGAGTCATTACACATTAGAGCTTAGCACAGTGCTTGACATATAGCAAACAACTGGTTCAGATGCTCCTCAACTTACAATGGGGTTACATCCTGATAAACCCCTCTATGTTAGTGAGCCTTCTGTTACTGGAATAAAATATCTGAGCTAAGTAATTTTAAAAAGTAATTTAATTTATTTGGGCTCAGTTTGGGAGTCTCTGTTCATGATCAGGTGGACCTACTGCTTTGGGGCCTGTGTGAGGCAGCATATTAAGGCAGGAATGTGTTGTGAAGGAAGCTGTCACCCTCAAAGACAAAGCCAAAAAGAGAGGAAGAAACCTATAATCCTCTAAAGACCTAAAAGCTCTCATTAGGTCCCACTTCTTAAAGATTCCACCATCTCCCAATAGCACCAATCTGGGGACTAAATTTTTACATTCAGGCCTTTGGGGGCGTTCCAGATCCCGACTATAACACCATCAAAAATTGAAAATATTGTAGGCCAAAAATGCACTTAAGACACCTAATGTACTGAACCTCATAACCTAGCAACCCAGTGCTTGGTAGAGAATGGGTCATATCCTCTTGGAATCTTGCAGCTGTGGCTCGCTGCTGCCTCCCAGCATCACTGGAGAGTACTGTACCACATGCATTGCTAGCACGTGGGAAAGGACCAAAATTCAAAGTTTTTGGTTTCCACTGGACACATATCACTTTCACACCAATGTGAGGTTGGATCTCAGTAAGTCTCAGAAGCACCTGTGGTTCACAGCAATCTTATTCTTACCAAGACTGGTGTGTGGACTCCAGGACTGCAAACCCCAGACCTCAGGAGGACAACTCTTGCCTCTATCTAATCCCTGCATCAGGCAGCTCCACCTGCCTCCCCCAGTGGCCCGAGTCTGTCCCTTCTGGTTCTCACAGAATTACAGCCAGCCTGGGCCCCAGGGATCAGGAAGTGTCACTACAGGGACAGGAGAGAACAGGGTTCTCATCTCTGGAAACAGATTCTTATCCAAATCTGAGACTTGAGAAATGGGCTGGAACCGGGTGGGAACAAGCTTCCCAGCCCACACAGGCCCAAAGGGAGCATCTCAAAAGCAGAGGCCATACACTCAGCCCTTTCACCCGACTGCCAGAGAGAGGTGAGAGGCTTGAAGTCGGCTCTGCAAACCCTGGGGACTGGCGTGGGAAGCAGCTTCAATGAGATGGACAGAATGCCAAAAGTTCAGAGTCAAAGGGCATTCTCGAATTCCTAGCCTCTTAGGTCTGTGTTTCCACTGTGTGGGGCAGTAGAAAGGGCAGCTCTCCCACCAACCTGGGGGACCTGACAAGGCACCACTCCTTGAACATGGTTTTCCCAAATATCTAGATGGTGAGGGTTAGATTCTAGGGTGGCAACCTAGGGTCGTCCTGCAGGCCAGTTTTGATGTGTTGCTAGCCACTGCCTGGTGGCTGGTTAGAGTGCTGGGATAGAGGCAGAGATCCTGCCCTGCACAGGGGGAAACCAATAGCACCTGGACAGTCCTTGGCCTAAACAGGTTTTAGTCCTTCATGCTCAGTCTTGGTCACTGAAGCGGATCCCTAGGTCGGACCCAGTCCCCCTGTGGACTCTGGCCTCAGCCCTGTTTGTTGTGGCCTCTAAAGCAGAGTAAGGAACTGCTTTAGATCCCCACTTTATACACATTCTCTGGATCTTTCCACTTCTTAACCTGATTAATGTCAATTAGTCTGCTGGGGAGGGCTGCTTTGGGCTCAATATGGGCCAACTTTTTAAAGGGAGTTGATTTCTTTGATGACAATGATGAGGCTCATTGTAGCCCACACACCCTGCCAATCCTAGAGGATCTTATGACTCAGGACTTAACGTCACCCATGTCCCTCTTCTCCTATCAGTCTCCCTTCCTGCTCTATCCAGCAACATACCTTTCCTGCCCTTCTTTAACCAGGGGCTCAAAGCCCTCTTCTTTGTCTCACTCATCAAGTCCTGATAAGCACAGAAGAACTCATTCACTTGGAGGTGTCAAAAAGTAAGAACAGCTGGTACGTGTAAGATTCTAGGCGTCTCAAGGGGAAGGACTAGCAGCAGTATTTGTAGGTCACAAGAAGAGCAGCAGAATATTAATTGTCCTTCCTTTGTGGGGAGCATTGTTCGGCCAGCAGTCTGGAATTTGAGGCATTTGAGGAGGCTCGCCCTGCTCTATATGGTGGAGCCAGAATAACTGGACTGGAATCTCAGTGCCACTTCCTCTTCACCATGTGACCTAGGACAAGTCCCTAAACCTCTTTATACATCAATCTTCTCTTAATAAAATCGAGTTGATGATATTAATGGCGACTACCTCAAGATTACTGAGGGTAGTAACTGAGCTCAGTGCTTAGACCAGTACCTTGCACATGGCCAAGGCTCTCAGGGTGTTGGTTCTCACCATGGGGCTCCTGGGAAGGCTGTGTACTACTCCCAGTCATTGCAGTTGGAGATGGCAGACACAAGAGTACGGCCTAGCACATAGAAGGTGCCAGCAAATATGGCTCCCTCTTTGTATCTTGGCTTAGGAATCACCTCCAGGGCCAAGCCAGGTGCTAGAGAAGAAAACAGAGGGAATTCCTCCACATGGCTGCTGTCTCTGGGAGCCAGTTATTAGGAGGTCACCAGGACTTGGCCTCCGTTGAGGAGATAACTAAGTCTGTGCTCTCTTTTCTGCCCCCACCTTGGAACGTTTAATCTCTCCCAGAGAAAACAGAGGGAATTCCTCCACCTGGCTGCTGTCCATGACCACAGCTGATTGGGCCTGGAATTGTCCCTGAACCAAGGACTGCCTCTCAGGTGAACTGGTCCAATTAGACAGTGCCAGGTGGGAGCAGAGCTGTGGCTGGAAAGTTCTCTAGAGTCAGGAAGATGATGGCCATGTTCAAGCTGAGATCTCAGGAAGTGAGAGGTCACCCTGCTCTATACGGTGGAGCCAGAATAACTGAACTGGAATCTCGGCTCCACTTCCTCTTCACTGTGTGACCTAGGACAAGTATCTCAACTTGGCCTAGGAATTGCCAAGATACAAGGAGGGAGCCATACTCGCTGGTACCTACTATGTGTGCCAGGCCAGAATCAGAGGCAGAGATGGAAGGCTGGCTGAGAAGTTGAGAGGCATGAGGAAGCCACCGAGGGTCTGAGAGAGCTGGCCTTCCAGGACACCTTACACCAGAACCACTTTCCATTTCTAATTCTTAGGGACATCATATCTCTGGGCCTCGGATTTCCCTGAGATGACTAGACTTTTACCACCCACTTGTCTCTGGAGTGAGGATCCCTGGTCCTTGTTACCAAGAGGCCTGGCCACTGGGTCACCTCTTTCATGTTGGTGGGCCCAATACAGAGCATTGGATCTGACTCTCACTCTTGGGTAAGGGTCCAAACCTTGGCATTTTATTTGACAGCCTTCAATCTGCTGCCTAAATCCATATTCACTCACATAAGCCGGAAAAGAAGTCTGTTTATTTTATTAATGAGCTCAGAGTAAGATTTGCAGTAACAATCCTAGAAGCAATTACAGCAAAAGAGAGAAGAGAGGGATGGTGGAGAGAAGAAACTGAGGAATCGGGTCTGATTAGGGCTCGAGGGAGGCACCCCCAGAGCTGGGAGAGACTAAACGTTCCAAGGTGGGGGCAGAAAAGAGCGCACTGAGACCTCCTCCTGAACACTCCCTCCCCTCCACGTTGGCTTTTAGGAGTGTTCCTTGGCCAAGCCTAGTTCCAGGTCAAAGGGATTTGGAGTTCCTGGGTACTGGTGACAAGTTTGGGAATGTCTTCTGGTACATGCCGCAGGTCTCTCAAGACTGGTTGCCGGCTTTATGTTCAGAGGTTGAGTCCAGCGCTCACTGTCTTCTAGGGATGAATTTGTTTTCTCTCTCTGGACTTCAGAAGAAAGTCCTGTGGAGGAAGAGGAAACAAACCAGGAAGGTGCAGGTCTTGTGAGTGGCACTCTGCCAAGGGCAAAGCCCCACCCTGGTAGCACGAGGCCTTGCCAATCCCTGGATGCCCCTCTTGGTGCAACTCCAGGCAGCTACACACCAGCCAAAGTCACAGCACACAGGAGGCCAGGAATAAAGTAGCAGAGACACCAGGGACAGGGGTGGGGGAAGGACCAAGAGGAAGAGGGGAGGGTCTCTTGCTAAGAGTAAGTGACAGAAAATACAGATCACTTAGGTCCCCCCAGATGTCACTGTACAGCAGGCCAGCTGTCTTGGGAACAGGAGGCCCTAATGTTTTTGGAAATTTATAACAGAAAAATCAACAAGTCAGGCTTGGCTTGGCCCCAGACGCTGCTAGCTATGGGTTCGGGTCACCTCCAACACCAGCTTCACAGCCACCTGGCCCAGGGTGGGAAACACATTCCAAGGCTGAGATCTACCTTGTGTTCCACAGTTAGAGCCTGGATCAAGGGAGGGAGATAGCAAAGGACAGTTGGTCTGAGCAGGACTCAGGCCTTTGTAGGGCACAACAGGACACGAGCAACTCTAATCCACCAACCCTGGTTCTTTGGACGAGCCTTAAAGACCTCTCAACAGCCCTGGCTCTGCCCGAGCAGGGAATCCACTCCCTCCAAGGGTGAAGCAGGGGTCCCAACAGGGCTGCATTCCCAGGAAAGGAGAAACGTTTGGTGAGGACACCTCTGGGAGGAAATTCAGACTGGACTTCGTGGGGTCTCTCCCAGCACAGCACACCTGGCTCCAGGCGCCATCTGTGCCAGCAGGGAGCCATGCTCAATGTTCCACCCTGTTCATTTGGGTGCTGCATGGGTCAGGTCCCAAGGACTGTGTGCATCAGAACACCCAGATCCCACCCAGTGCTCCAGACTAGGTTCTGCACACTCCCTTGAGTCCCACAGAGTTTCAGAGTGACCGACAGCAGACCCCGGAGGCACTTCAGGGGCAGTGTGCTTCATGTCCCCTCCAGATGCCAGTCCAAAGAACCTGCCAGCAGCGTGGGCAGCACATGGCCACTGCACGCAGCATGGACAGATGGGGCCCTGAGGCCACCTATTCACCGTGGGCTCCAGCTGCAGGAGGAACCCGTGTCTGTACACGGGAGTATGGTCTTCAAGGAGCTTTCGGACTGGCTGGGGGCTTTCTGCTGCAGAGGAGGGAAGAGAAGAGCTACATGTGCAGAGCAGAGCAGGAAAGAAAAAGGGCTTGGTTACTCCTGGGCAGAGCTCTGCCAGACCTCGCCCTCCACCTTGGTCCTGTCTAAGCCCTGAGCTCCAGAGTTAGGAGCAGCCAGATCCTGATTCCTCCAAGACATAAGAGGGATTCAGGCTCTGCTGAGCAGAGGGAGGCAGCAGGCATGCCCACGACAGGCAAGGCAGGGTGTGTTAGTGACGGGGAGGGAGGTGATGTGATGTGGTGAGGACACAGGTGAGAGGCCACGGAGGCAGAGAGGTAAAAATGCATGCAGAGGCAGGGATAGAGAAGCAGAGAGCAAGCAAAGGAGAGGGCAAGAGAGAGAGGGGAGAGGGGTGATGGGAAAGAGGCAGGTGGGGAGGGAGAAGGATGGGGAAGAAGGAGAGACAGGAAGGACAGAGAAAGGCCCACCCAGATATAGACAGACCGAGGGAATCACAGGGAAGGACAGACTGGGCCAAAGCTCCTTGGAGAGCCCTCAGGATAGAGACAAGAGCCTGTGGTCTTTGCTGTCTGGAGATGCAGCATTTGTGAATATGGTTAGACATAAGAAAGACCTTCCAGAGAGTGAAGGGAATCTTCATCTGGTAAGGGAATGGGGGATAAAGTTCTGAGTGGGGAATTAACAATCCTGAGTGCTAGTCCTGATTTCACTGTGTACTTTTACTTGATCTGAGACCATGAGCCTATATGTAAAGAATTTGGACCAGACACCCGGGAGGCAGCTCTGATGCCACTTGAGGACAGCGACTTCCTTCCAGGGATACTCTAGCCCTGGGCTCTCTGCCTGGTGGCAGATGTGTGTCTGGTATTCTTTCTGGCTGAAGAAGGTGTCCCAGATTGTAGAGGAGGAGGAGAAGGAGCAGACAGGGGCCAAGGGCCAGCGCACACTTACAGCTCATCGTCGTATTCCTTGGGGGGACAGACGGCAACAACAAGGTCAATCCAGTCCTGTGGGGAGAAGCCGGGCAGCTGTGGGCACGCTCAGGGGTGGGTGGCACATCTGCCCCATGCTCCTTCCCACTCCTGAGTCAGGATCAGCCAACTAGGCCTCTTCCCAGGGGGAAGTGGGGGCGGGTAGGGCTGGAGGTCCTCCTGGTGGGTTTGGCTCCACTGTGGCTTCCGTGCTCTGGAGAAATTTCCAGGCTCTTAGGTTCCCAATCATAGGATGTGCAGGACCCTCAGATGACCCTGTGTCCCCAAGTGCCAACCTGTGGACCAGGGCCAGGCAGCAACCTCAGAATCACTTGAGGGAATTTTTAAAGTGTGTAGACTCATGGGCCTGGCTGCTGGTGGTCTGCGGTGGGCCTGGGAAAGCATTTCTAACAAGCTCCCCAGACAAATCAGAGGCACAGACAACTGGGGAACGTTGGGCCTGGCCTTCGAGTTCTCACTCTGAGTCCCTTCAAGCATATCACTGCCATTCTCGGTGTGCCCATCAGTGTCTGTCCTGGGCTAGGGTGCATCCATTGAAGAGTTCTGGAAATTGCACTGGGCCCTGTGCCATGCCATGGCTCCTAGATTGAGATGGGATCTTTACCTCGCCAGGACCTCCCTCCCTCCCTCCAATCCAGGGTCTACCCTCAAGAATCACAGCAATACTTCTACTCTCTCTTCCCTAATACAACCCTTCAGAAAATCAGTCAGTCATCATGTTACCCGTGAGTCTTCTCTTCTCCACATTCCTGCATGTGGGTCCCAGGCCCATCTGGTCAGCTTCCTCGGCACTGAACTTAATACCTCAGGCTCGGCTGCCTGCATACAGTTGCACGGGTTGTGCATTGCACAACATGAGTGGGCACCATTCACACTATGGTCTGTAGGAGGGTGTCCCCCTCAGATTGTGCATAGCACAGCCTGTGAGAGACCTCATGTGGTGGCCCTGATCCAGTTGGGTGTGTAATGCACACAGAGCAGACTACCAGCCAGCCTCTCTTCATCCTGGACCATTTACTATTAATGCTTTCTTTTGATTTCTCGAACTCCCAACTCTTTTGATTCCTATTCAGTGTACACTCAGTGAAGACTGTAAGTCTTTTTCTTGGGAGCATAGCCATGTCCAGAGTTCCAGAATCTGTGTTTGTTCCATTAGCTTTTCGGACTCAAGGTCAGGAATTGATATTTAATTTCCTGAGTCCTATCCTGTCAGATTTAGTTCATTGGCTGGACAGGGGTGTGGACCATGGATACCCGTCCTGTGATGGGGCTCCCCAACTGTAAGGCCTGGCTTCAGAGACCAGGTCAGAGGCAGGCAGGTGAGGGAGCGGGCAGAGGGCTCATTCTTACCCCGCCCTGATTCCAGGCCTTCTGCAGGGTGGCCTCTGCCTCAGCCAGGGTGTAGTCTGTCACGATCTTGCCATTGATCGCCATGATCTCATCTCCTTTCACAATGCCACCTGCAGGAAGATGAAGCTGATTGGCCAACTGGGCTACATGGGACACGGATTGGGCCAGGACTGGGCAAAGGGAGAGCCACTGTGGGGGCCACAGAAGAGGCTGGGCCCTGGGAACTGAGAGCTCACGTGGCTCAGAAAGTGCGAGGGTCAACAGCATACTTAGTTACTTGGATACTCAAAGGCATTTCCTCCCTGAGCCTCAACCCTGCTCAGTGGAACTGGGACACCAGTGAGGACACACTGCTACTTGGCTCCTGCACAGGCGGCAGCTACTGCAGAGGAGACACACCTGCATTTCCAGCCAGGTTATTAGACACGAGTTGGTTCTGTGGGTTGGGCCTCCCTGATGTGCAGCCATGCTGGCTGGCTTGACCCTCCCCCTCCCCAGCCTGCCGGTGCTCTTTCCTGCCTGGAGCAGGACTGTTGTGGACTGTTCCATTCCCCTCTCTTTCTTCTCTTCTAGATCTGAAAGGGGGCTTCCCTGACTGCACCCAGTTGAAGGCAGCTCCTCCTGCCATTCTCTCGCAGCACCCTGGTCTTTTCCTGCACAGCACACAATCTGTGATCATAATCTGCTTCTTTCCTGTTTGTTGATGGTCCCTCCCATTGTGCTGTCAGCTTCCTGAGGATAGGACTTATCTTTTTTGGTTCACTACTTTATCTTCAGCCCTTCAAGGAATATTTTTCACAAGTAGGAACTCAATTGGATATTTGTTGAATAAATGAATGGTGTTAAAAGATGTTTCTGCATAACCGTCTTGTGATCTTCTAATTTTAGGAGGAACCGATTAGTATCCAAACAGTTTTTATCAGTTATTATCTCCTCAGAGCCTTGACTAGGATCCTGCGCACTGTGGTTCTCTAAGTGGACAGACTGTACAAGGTTTCCCCGACCTCTTGAACTTCCGTTTTTTAGGAAGGTCTCCTAGTCCCGATGTCCACAGACCATCTATCTCTGTGTTACGCTGAGATCATGCAGAGGGAGGCCTTGTGGGCCTGAAGGCCATAGGAACACAGTGTGTTACTGAGATGGCAGCCTTGGTAGCTCGAAACAAGCATGCATTTGGAAACGTCCAACAGCTGCTTGGATGTCCAAAGCAGCATGGGATCAGACTGTAGACAGCAGTTTCCCTCGGACAGAGGGACTAAGGTAAGTGACTTCCACGTTTTCATTTTGTACAAATCCAAGATGGCACCTCAGGGGCAACAGGGCTTTGTAAATTGGGAGTGACAGGAAGAGCCACTATCCTTCCTGGTCCTCTCTCCCTGCCAGATGCAGAGATAGGTGGCCTCCTGAGCCAAGCTGCAGTCCCTCCCTCAATTAGTACAGAAATGAAGACAGAGGAGGCCCCTGCCCAGAGCTGAGGTGAGGGTCACAGCATGGCTGGGAGAGACCCAAGGCCACTGAGGCCATGATGGCAGGACTGGATTGTGCCCTGGGCTCCCTGTGTGCCCACCCGCCTTGGTGAACACAGCAGTCAGGCTGCCAGCCACTGGGAACCTTTCCCTTCAGTCCCCTGCTTCAGTGGATCCTGTGAAGCAAGAGACAGAGCCTGGGTCCACAGAGGCCTCCCTCATCAGCAGAGAGTGTTTTTTGTTGAAAAGAGAACAAAGGCAAAGTAAGATCTGCCTCATGCGAGACATAGGTCCTTTGGCCCTCTCAGAGCAGGTGAGGCTGTGGAAACCTGCAGCAGAGGTGGCACTTTCACTGGCAGTAAAGCCAAATGGCCAGGTGCCTAGACTCAAGTCCTTTTACCTCCACCTTTTACCTGCTCTGTGTCCTTGAAGGAGTACTTGGACCTCTCTGTGCCTCAGTTTCCTAAGCTGCAAAATGAGAATAACAACAACACCTCCCAGGGTGGTGTGAGGATTAAATGGATTAGTCCAAGTGAAACACCCGGACACAGGGCTGGGTGCCCATCACTAACTCACACTGGCGCATGGTTAGTGCCTGACAGACTGTTGTCACTGAAGGGCAGGTTTGGTTTGGATGGTCTCTCTCCCATTTCCCTGGTGCGGTTCCCTTCTGCTGGGCCCTCTCTCCCTTTCACAGACTGATCTTGATTCACCTTTCAAGGCTTGGTTCACGACTGCCCTCCCAGGGATCCTTCCCAGTGTCACCTCCCCCTGGTGGGTAGGGGCCCTTCAGGATCCCACGACCTCCCAGACCCCCTTAGTTCCCTGCCCACCCTTAGCGGACAACACTGTTATTACATCTGGAAATTCTGAGCGTATTTCTGCCACTAGCTTAGAAGGCAGAGTGGCATCTGCTTACGCCGTGTGCCCACTGGCACCATGGCAGGCCCTCGGGACACATCTGAGATTGGATAGATGGCTGCCTGGATAGACCTGGTGCTCTCGAGAATGGTCAGCCTGCCCAAAGCAGGGAACTGTCTGCTTTCCTGGGGGTCTTGTGTAGAGCCATCACACTATGCCCAAATGGGGGTGACCGGTCCCCACTCACCATGTCGCTCAGCAGCTCCCCCCTCATACACAGCTGAGACAACCACCTTCCCAACTGGGGAATCCACGCCACCTTCCAGGGCCAGGTCTAAGGATCCCTCCTGGTTGGAGGAAAACAAGTCTGAGGGGCCCACGCAGACAATAACCTGTGGGCACTTGGGCACTGAGGAGCCTCTCCACAGAGCCTCAAGAGCAGGAGAAAGCATGGGCCAATGGCAGTGCATGGGGGAGAAAGTGGGCTTGGGACCACCACAGAGGGAAGCAATAGTGAGGATTTGAGAGGTCACCTGGGAGTCACCTTGGGAGCAGCAGTATCAGGGAACCAAGGGGGCAGGAGCAGGAGCAGAGAAGGATGGTAGCTGCCCCACCTCCTCCACGTGCCCACATACCTTCTTGATGCGCAGGAGCCGGACGTCCTTCCCTAGGATCTGCTCTGGGGTGAACTAGGGGGAAAAGAAAGGGAAGCTTTGACTCTACTGAAGGGTGTTGGGGAGCAGGAAGCCTGGAGGACACTGGGCCCCATAGAGTACACAGCAAGGGGAACCTTCCCCATTGGTCTTCAACTGGGGGTCCCCAGCCCTTCGAGGGATGATGGACACATCACACACTCGGCCACACAAGCCCCAGATCCATTCTTCCAGGATAATCGTGAGGACTGGGCAAGAGCAGGCCTCGTAACTACACCAGAGGCTGGTGCACAGTAGTGCTCAGCAAGTGTCACTGTCCCCACTATGCACACACACACACCCCATACAGAAAGGAGCCCTGATAGGAAAGAGCAGCTGGGGTATCCCCGGGGCTACTCATGTGCCCCACCACATCCTTGGGATCCCAGGGCCCCCAAACCATCATCATCAAACACCCTCAGCTTCACTCAGGGAAGGAGGGTTACCCCTTACCATAGAGTAGGGGTCAAAACCTTCCTCATATTTCCGGAAATCCTGGAAGCAAAGGTACAGCTTTAGTCAACCGAAAAGAGGTCCTTGCAGGTCACTGCAGAAACAAGCTCAGGGCCGAGAAGAAAGAGAGGGAATGGGTGCAAATCCAAGGGTCAGAGGCGGGGAGAGGGTAGGGGCAGAAGTGACCAGGACAGGACTGCAGAGAGGAGGCTGGCAGCCAGAGCCCGGTGCTCAGGGGGCAGGCAGGAAGCTGCAGGAAGCATTTGGAGGAGTGCAGCCCTGTCCCTGTATGGTCTAGGGGGTGGGCATCTGTGGCTGCAGTATACTGGTGATGTCTGGACATCTGGGCAGCAGTGCCTGTCCTGCTGAGTCTCACCTTTGGTCTCAGACCTTTCAGGCCATACCTCATCCCTTCCAAGTCCCCACTTGAGGGCATACCCAGGTCCTGGTGGATGAGAATGGGTGCTTCTCCACCCAGTGCACTAACCCCACAGGAGGGCCAGTCCTGTGCAAGAGGCTGCTCTGACCAGGGAAGCCAGCCACAAGGCGACTGAGGGAGGCAAAGGGGAAGAAGGTGGTGGTAGCGAGATTGCTGGCCTGGTGCCTGGCACTGTTCTTACCGGATCTAGGAAGCGAGAGGCCCCAGGCTGGCCCTTTATCCAGGGGAGGAAGGAAGACACACAGCTCTGTGGCCCTGGCTCAATGAGGTTACTGTGGGGACAGTTGTCCCCAAGACTAGAAACAAGGCAATGGGAGGAAAGGGGCAGAGCCAGAACACACAGCTTCCTCACACAGCAAGTAGAGCCTGAGGCATCGCAGGCCCAAGGGCCAGGATGCTAAGGAGGACAGCAAAGCCAAGATTGGAGCCAAGTAGAGCTTTGTGCGGGTGCCCGCACAGACCACGGGACTGAGCAGAGCCCCCTCAGCACACAGTTCCCTAGATCACACCAAACATCCCCTGGGTCCTGTGGGCAGAGGTTTTTTGTTTTTTGGTTTTTTTTTTTTTTTTTTTGGTGGTGGGGGGGGGAGCAAGGATCTCCCCACTCCCCACCAGCATGCAGCAACAAACTCTGGGGACAAGATGAGGGCCAAGTATCAGCAGATGGATCCCTGGGTATCTGCCTACCACCTTTCCTCATGGCCTTCACCTCTTGGGCTCAACCCCAAAGATGTCTTGAACCTAGTTCAGCTCAGAGGACATATCCAGGTTGGCCTGTGTTTTGGGGGACGACAGACCAGGAAGGGATGCAGTAAGCCCACACACGAGAAGGGTCATTCTGCAGGATCTGCACCCATGCTCTTTCACTGAGATGGGGCTGCCTACTTCTGGTTGTTCCTTCTGGAAAGCTGGGAAGTGGTGGTCACCAGCCTCCTCTCCCTGTGACCCTGAAAACCCATCTCAGAGATGGGCCAGAAGGCATGTCTAGTGTGAATTTAGAGGCCCATGAGCCGTGGTGGTTGGTCGGCCCTTAAAGAAGTAGATCAAGCCCTCATTAAACACACAGAGAAACTGAGGCCTGAGAGGAGACATTCGTGCTTAAGATCACCTAATTAGTAGGCAAGGGAAAAAGAGTTTGCTCCAAGCTTGGAGTCTCAGACTAGGGGGACTGTTTCTGTCCTAAACACCAGGCCCTTCAAGGCCTCTTCTGCCATGGCATTGCTTTGAGAGGCTGAGCGACACAGCATTGAAGAGCAGATCGCAGAGCTTGACCTTCTGCTTTCCCATCCAGGGTCAGAGACTGGTTGTGCCATCATGGACACATTTCCAAGTCCCTCTGCCTCTTACCTACAAAAGGAAGACTGTGATAGCCATTACCTCCCAGGGTTGCTGTAAAGATTAAGTGAGTTAATATATGTAATGTATTTAGCAGCTGTGTTCGGCACGGCATGCTTTCCGGGCATTAGCTGATGCCTGTCATTCCCTGGTCCTGGGCTCAGAGCAGCTTTTTTTTGCAGACACTCCCAGTTTGCTCCATGCCTGACATCAAATCAGCTTGTGAGTGGGAGGCTGGAGAAGCCAGGGCTGCCTGCCAGATCTCCTCTATGTTGGGGTCTCTTTCATTGGGGGGTGGGAGAACCAATCCAATGGCTGGCTCTGGATATACCCCCAAGAAGTGGGAAGGTTATGGGGCTGTCTGCCTGACACCACTCAGAGCCCAGCAAGGGCATGCATGTCCCTGTGCTCAGGAGTACCCTGGGCAGATGGAGAGCTGAGATGCCATTTCTTCCTGTGACTGGTTCAGCATCAGGCAGAGTTTGGTGAAGGTGTGACCTTCCAAGAGGGAACAAGACAGGGAAGGTAGCCCCTTTCTTCTCATCTAGGGCTGGAGCAAAGGCCTGTCCTGGCCTCTGTGACCCTCTGAGGGCTTCCTCTGTGCTGCTCCTCTTTGAACAAGCAGCAGCAGACGAGGTAGCACCCAGGGATTCTGTGGCTTTTCTCAGCTGGGGCACAGGCTCTAATACACCCTGGATCCCCATCTGATGAAAGCCTCCTTGACTTCAACTGCAGGCAAGGGGACACAGCTCTGGCCCAAGGATCCCCAGCAGATGGCAGTTGGGGCTGCCTCACAACCAAATGGCACTCTCAGGGAGAAAGAAGTCACAGAGTGGGAGGGATGGGTGGTGGGGAGGACCAGAGCACACGACAGGTATCATTTTTTTACTTGTCTGAATGTTGTCTGATAAACCACCATCCTCTTCAACATCTCCTGTGGCTGCCAGGAAAAAAAAAAAATTCCCCACCAAATGTTACCAATAGGTCTCATCTGCCCCCTGGTGCCAAGCCCTGGGGCTGCCAGCCTGGGGCTGCCCGGCCAATATTCTTCCCTAGACAAAGTCTGACTTTGGGGTGCACCTTATGTCTCCCAATGCAGCAGCTGCTCAGTTGTAGACAAGCAGACAACACCCCTATCATTAATCAGAGACGGTAACATGGACTCATCAGCAGGCCATCCCAACAGTGTGACCTTTGCTCTTTGGGGAGCTGATGGGACAGCTAAATCTCAAAATAAGTGTCTGAGCTGTCCTGCCCTGACATTTGGATAGGGTTTCCTTGAAAGGGAAATAAAAATTCTGGCTTGGCTTTTTTCCCAGTTGGTGGCTGGCACCTCTGGAGGGTGCACATGAGCCCCAGCTCCCTCAGACTTTGGGCACTGGGGTGGGTAGATCCTCCTACTTTCCCTGGACCACACCCTAGACTCCCTCCCAGACCTAGTGAGGAGCGAAAAGTAAAATGGAGACAGGGAGTGGGTCTGCTTTGGCCAGTCCCCCACCTCAGGGTATCCCAGGCCATGTAACACAGTCCCTGGGGCAGGGACCAGGGAGACTAGATCTTTGCAAGTTTTGGCAAGGTGGGTAAAAGCACAGCTCTGGAGTCTGAAAGATTTGAAGAAAGTAGATCTAGGCTCTGCTTAGGGCAACCGACTTAACCTCTCTAAGCCTTAGTTTTCTCAAGGGTTACAGAAGGTTGATAATCAGAGCCATCCCATCAAGTTGTTGTGATGATTAAATGAGACCACATAGAGCATGGCACATGGAGGGCTCCAACTGTCTTAGTTATTAACAGGCAGGGTGGCAAGCAGGGAACAGGAATTCCACTGAGCAGGCCACCCATGCAGATTCACCTCCTGGCCAACGTGAGGGTTACAAGATGACACCTGATCCTAGTTTGTGTGGCTCCTCACTATTCTCTCTGGGCAGCAGAACCCAGGGGACACGGCTCTGGTTTTCTCTTCTCTAGATATCTTGGAGGGGAACTGAGGGGCTTACCAGGACCTCGGATTTCACAGCTGGCCTGTAGATAAAGTTGTTCTCCTGGTGGACCATGACAGGTTTGGAGATGGTGGATACGCCAGGGCCTCGTGGAGGCTGTGGGCTTGGGCAAAATGTCTACAGGGGTTAGTTTAACAGAGCCCCATGTAAGGTCATGGTGCAGGTGGTAAAGGCTGACCACAGCACTTCTGCACACATGCAAATCCACTCCCATGAACATGCTGAGCAGGCTGGTCCATTCACCATGCAGGAGTGTGATCTTCAGCACAGAGTGGAGAAGTCCTTTGGACACAGAGTAGTCTGAGGCCACAGAAACTACTGGGGGTGGTGGTTGTTAAAGAACCAGCCACTTGAGCCAGAATCTGGCTTAAGGGCAGCAGGACCCACTGTCACTCAGAGGACACACTTTCAAGGCCCTCTCTTGCTAGTCATGGGGGGCCATCTAGCTTCCCCTCTCTTAAGGGCTATTTCTTCTGGCCACAGTTAAGTCTCTGGACTTCAGCATGAGGCATAGAGCATCCAGATGCCATGGCTAAGGACTTAAGAGTGGCATCCAGGGGATTCTTTGTCCTAAACCACTCAACATCTTGGGCAAGATGTATCTGATCAGGTCAGAACCCTGCCCAGAACACTTCAACTGGTCCTTTGTTGACTTTTCTGCCTTCATTTCCATCTCTACCTGTCACTTCTTCCCAGATTTCTTACTCTGCCTGATTTTTAGCCTCAAATGCCAGGCTTTCCTGCTTCCAGGCCTTTGCATATGCTCTTTTCTCCTGCTTTGTCTGCCCAGGTCTCAGCTCTTATAACACTGTCTTCCTGAAGCCTCTCAATAGTTTCCTTTCATCCCTGCACCTCATCACAGCGCCTGTGCACCCCCCTCTCAACCCTGGAGTGTTCTAGTTGCCTGCTTGTTTGTCTTTCCTAACTGACTGTCTTGGACAGGGACTGCAGCTCCCCGATAGTGGTGGTTCACAACACCTGGCACAGAGTGACATATAGCAGGTGCTCAGTAAACATGTGTTGGCTGAACAAATGACTCAGTGGTGAGGTGGGCATGCCAGGCAGTGGGTCTGGTTCTGAAAACCCTACTCTGGCAGGGGCTGGCATTGTAGGCACATGTGTTAAGCAAGGCAAGTGTTTATTTCCACTACCTGAGGCCTGTTGGTGGCTATGCAGATATGTCATCAGTCACACTTCTTGCTGTAGCATTGATGGCACTCATCAGGGGCATGCAAGGAGGAGGAGATTGGGCAGGACAGGTGGCATGAGCACCAGAGTGCTGATGGATATGATGAAGCCAAACAGTAAACAAACAGCAATCTCCTGGCTTTCAAGTCAGGGACAGTCCTTCTTCCCCTCTGACCAAGAAGAACATGGCAGGGGCTCAATCAATGACTTCAGAATCAAATTTCTGAGGAATAATTTCTGCCCATCTGGTGTGGGCCATTTAGACAGAAGGATGTGGCTCTATGTGCCAGATTAGCTCAGCCCCCTGAAAAACAGCTCCTGGCTGGGCTCTGGGGAAGACATCCATGGAACAGACAGACTGCTTCCTCTCTGTGTGAGCTGTGGGCCCAGGACCCCCCAGGAGTCCAGAGGGAGGCCTTCTGGGAGCTGCAGCCTTGCAGTATCTGGCACTTCCTTCACTCCCACCTTCCTTCCTCCAAGCTCTCTTGAATGCTCTGAGCTGCTTATTCTGTTCCTCAGCAGGAACTCAAAAAGGGAGGTTTAATAATAACCACTGGCGAGTTGCTGCTGAGGCTGTCCCCTCACCAGCTGATCCCCACTGCCTTAGCTAGACTCGAGCCATCCCATGGTGACAGAAGCAAGGGATCAAAGCTCTGTGTCTTCCTCAGGGATTGCCTCTTCCAAAATAATCTTTGGATAAAGAACAATTAATATGAAACATATCTTTCTGAAAAGATCACTGTTCAATCTCCTGATGTCCAAGAAAAACATCCCTGTTCTTTTAATAGTAAATTTGGAGATTTCTAAGAACTTTCTCATCTTCATTTTTCCTTTAGCTGGATGTTGGCCAGACATCTCTGAGTTTACACTCCGAGCCAGTGCAGTTGACTAGTACCATGGAAAATGGACCTGTAATATCCTAATACCGCACTGGGTTGTGCCATCTCTTCATTTCCAAAGCCTAATACTTCTCTCTCTGATAACCCCCACCCACCTCCCCTTCTTCCAGGGAGTCATTTCACATGTTCAAGGCTTTCTGGGATAAGGTCAAGCAATGACCAGATGTGGCACAGACCTAGCTATTCATTAACATATCTTTTCACTGCAAGTTACCGGCCAACACTAGCCAAGAGTTCAGAGAGAGCAATGAACATTAAATGGATATATTGCTGCACATTCCAAGAGCCCAGCAATCCACCATGCAATTGAGCACCTCAAAATCAGCAGAAACCATACTCATGCAGGATGTCCACACACAGCTTGGGGGTCATTTCCGGAAAGTAGGAGGAGATGGTATTTTGTCCTGTCTCCATTAACAGGAGCCATGAAGAGTGTGGGAAACAGCAGCCCTCCCCACTCTTTCTGTTTCCAAGCATAGCATGCAGAACAGGGGCTGTACCTTCGGGGTGGGTGGGAAGCCCCGTTCAAGGGCAGGGGAGTTGGCAGGTTTTCCACTGTGATTCTTTGCCTCCCAGTCCTCCACTGGAGTGCTGGCGTCCCCAATGCGGAAGGGATGGTTGCCCAGTGCCTCTTCCAGGGCCGAGGGCAGTGGGCGGGTAGGAGTGAGGTCTTGGGTGGGAATGGATGGAGGGGGAGGGATGGGAATGGCAGGTGGAGTGCACTGTGCCCAGGGTGAGGATGAGGCACTCACATGGCCCGATGAGGGAAGCACAGGGGGTGCAGGGACCTTTGAAGGTGGGTTAGAGGGTGGAGGGTGGGGCATCACAGGCAAGGCAGAGGAGGTCTTGAGGGGATAGTAGAACATGTCCAAGGGGATGTCATCCAGGTCAGTGGTGTGGAGGTGCAGTCCACCTGCGAAGCGTCTCAGAGGTGGGGCCAGGGGAGACACAGAAGGCGGGGGAGGCGGGGGCCCTGTGGTCATCTGGGGGTTGCAAGAAGGTTCTATAATTGTCCACATTCACTGTGCTCCACTTCACAATATGCTGAGTACAATGCTCTCCTAATGTGTTTCTCTTGCTATTAGGGATCCCCCCCACCCTCCAACCAGAACCAAGGAGTGCCACTTCTCTGCCACCTGGCTGCCCACTGAGCCTATTGGCTGGTTGGGAGTGCCCATGCATGAGAGGCCCAAGTTTTGCCATCTGAGGGTGATAAGTAAAGTGATCAGAGAGTTTATTCTCTAAACTGGAACACACTTGAGTGTATAAGAGGCCCTCCTAGTAATTACTGCAGGATGACAGGCCTTCTAGGACCAACTCAGACCAACTGGGACTTAGTGCTCACCTTGGAGACAAGCAGAAATACAGACATGTCCCAAGAGAAGAAGGAGAAGTGGGCTGGTAGGGGTGGGCACTGGGCAGTGAAAAGGTACCAATGTGGCTGGTGACACTTGCCAGGGGCCATCACACCTCCCGCTGTCCCCAGGGTAGATCTTGCTGAAGGCAAAAAGAGGACTCAGTGGAAAGCAGGGATCTGTTACCTCTGAAATCTCATTATCAGCAGAGGAAATCTGCTCAAGGCGTGTCTGACACAGCCTTTCCACCCAATACTGAATCTTTTCTGATTCCTCAAGGTCTTCCCGCTCTGTCTCAGACACCTGGGACCCAGGACCGGCGCCAAAAGAAGAAGACAAAGAGCACAAGTGAATCACGTGGGCAGCAATAGCATACACACACTTCTCTAAAAACCCCAGAACACTGGTGGAGGTGTCACCTATCTGGAAAAAGACTCAGCCTTGTTCTACCTGGTCCCAGAGGAGGTGGAAACAATGGGGAGGAAGGTGCTCAGATGTCAGGTTGACCTAATAGCACCCACAGGCAAATTCACAGGGGGGCTTATGTACTGCATGGGATTAGCTGGACCTCAGGATCCCCACGAACACTGAGGCTCTTGATGTGCCGAGAACAATCCTTTTGTAACCTCCGTGCACATTCCAAGAATCTAACTTTACTCTTTCCCCCCCTCCAGGCTGCCTTGTCTTCCGAAGCACAAGTTTAATCTTATTTTTAATTTTCTAGCTAATTTGTTCTGAATGCCAGACCTAATGCACTTCACATTTCACAGGACTTGTTTGGTTTTATAATCTAATAAGTTTGGCATTCTGATTCATGGAAGCATTAAAGAGAAGCAGAAAGAACAATACCCCCTGTATCCAGGGAGTTAAGCTGACAACTGCACCTAGTAAATAGGAGCTGCTCACTCTGTGCTATTGCTTTGGACATGTCTGCAGGGGACAGCTTTAGATACATTCCTAAATTAAAGAGGTCTAGCCTCAGACATACCTTATGTTGAAGGGAGCAACCTTAGATTCATAGCCTGATTAATTGGGGATATCCTCAGACTTAATATCTGCACAAACCTGGGTAGGGAGACTAGATGAACAGAACTTTTGATGGATGAATGGAAGACTAATTGCATATCTACAAATTGGGCAGAGGGTTTAGCCTCAGACTCAGATCCTAAGCAGGGAGACTAGCATCATTGCCACACCTAAGAGGGAGAGGTCCAGCCTTAGACTCATACTCTGGTGAGATAGAGTAGAGGGGATAGACTCAAACCTCTAGCCAGGTGCATTAAATGACTAGCCTTAGACCTATAATCTGGGCAGAGAGGTTAGCTTCAAACCCATACCAGGAGTTAGTGTCAGACAGTGTTGGGAAGGTGGGATGGTCTCGTTCTCCAGGCTGGGGAGAGAGGAGGCTCTCATCCTTGAAGTCCATCTGGGGGGCACAAGTGCAGCTGGCACCATGACAGCACAATGCAGGGGATAACCAAACTGTCCCAGAGATGCTTGCCTGGCCTACGAGCAGGACACGTACCTCCTGGGCCAGCCGGTTGATCTTTAGTTGCTTTTCCTTCTCCAGCATCTCCTCTTTCTCTTTGTAAAGCTTTTGTTCAAATTCCAATTCCTTCTTATTCTTTCTCAACTCCTGCAGGCTGTCATACTTGGCTTTCTTCTTATCTTTTCCTTTCTGAGCAGGTGTGTCATTGTTTATATGACAAGGGCTACAAGGTAGTAGTTGACACCAGCACAGCACAACAAACAGGGCATCCAGTCCTTGGACAACACTGGGCAAACCCCCTTACCCTCTGCCATGGTGACCCCACCCCAGCTCTGCCCCACTGCACTGGGCATCAGACCTCAGGTTTTTGGACAGGAAGACCACTGCTGTCCACTACAGAGTGGAAGACACATTCCTTTGCCAGGCAGAAGAATTGGTTTATTAGTTCACTAACTAGTTGTATGACTTTGGCTAAGTTTCTCAACCTCTCTGAGCTTGATTTACCTTAACAGAAATGGGGGTAATACCTGCCCCACAGGCTTTTATTTAGTGCCAGTGAAATAACATCTATGAAAAGGCTTTGTAAACTTCAAAGTGCTGTCTAAATAAAAGGCATTGTATTTATTTCCTAGCATTCATGCCCATGCCTTCCCCAATATCTGAGAAGAAAGGTGGATCATGTTCCGATGCTAAAAGATTCATCCTGGGAGATTCTAGAGAAAATCCAGGGGAGCTGGCAGATCTGCAGAGATCCTCTGTCCTGAACTGGAGGAGGTGGGAGCAGACTTAGATCTGGGGCCCAGAGCCAGGGACACTGGATTTTGCCCTCATGTGTAGGTTCTAGACTTTTCCGTCCTGGAGAGGTCAAATCCATGGCTCCCTCTGAGCTGGGCACTTTTGCTGAGGATTAGCTGGGAGCCATAGGGCTAGGAGATGCAGATGGGGAAAGGGCCTAACTGCTCTACAGTGTTCACAGTGTTGGTAAGGATTTGGGGAGGGAGATGCAGGGCAAAAAGACCCTGCTAAATTAGACTCTCAGAACCTATTCTCCTGGCTGCTTTTGCCATTGGGTTGCAAGGAAGCCCAAGGGTAAGAAAGGAAGAGAATGAATATTTATGGACTGCCTGTGTGCCATGGGATGTACACTGATTATCTCCAATGTAGGCTTTGTCCCATTCTCTTGATGAAGGCTCTGAGAGGTGAAGTTCCTTGCCTGATATCAGACATCTAGTAAGTGATGGTGCCAGGATTTGGATCAATTTTTCTACTGTGCCTTGATGAGCCAGGGACAAGGAGACAACAGCAGGAGGGAGGGTAAGCCCCTGCCACATGCAGCATGGAGGACAGGAGAGGGGATGCAGAGAAAGCCAACATTCTGGGCAATTTCTGGAACTAGGTGGAAATCCTCTATTCACTGAGCTTATCCCCTATCTCTAAAAAGTGTTCCTGGGGCTGCTCTTGGATTTCTTGAATCATCTTAGTATCTAAGGGCAGGAATGAGGAATTGAGTTTCCCAGCAATGGACATACAGCTTTCATCCATAGCCAGAGGGGTGGTGAGTCATTATGGATCTCTGCAGACTTATACTATCCTCACCCGCAAGCAAAGACAACTCTCACCTCCATGTACAGCCAATATGCTTTGGAAGTGGTCACTTCTGGGACCTGCCTCCAGAGCAGTCTATGAGCCTTTTGATAAAATGCTTCTTTATTCCTGCTTCTGAGTCCTCCTTGCCCATGCTGTTCACTAAAGTCTTGGCTCAGTTGAAAAATGAATCCCTACCACCATGTTGTAGGTTTGAACAGCAATTCCCCAAGAGGAGCCAGAAACACGCTGCGGTTTGTTAGACTAAAGGCATGGCCTCCCACAGGGACCACCATGATAGGAAAGAATTTCCTATTGATTTGAAAAAAGACCCACCAGTGCTAAGATTGTAGAGCCAAGGCTTCTGAGTGGGACAGGCTGACAGTAAATCGTTTCTGTTCCATCCCCAGTAGAGCAGCTTACAGATGCAGAAGGGCAAGTCTCCCTGCCAGCTCCCCCAACCCCCACCCAGGTAACTTAGTTGTGTGTGAATCTGCTTACTCTGCCAGACTGTGGGCCCTTGCAAGTAAGGGCTCTGCATGACTGACTTAAGCAGTTCTGGTGAAAGGTCTTAGTTGGAACCATGAATACTTCAGGTCCCAGCATAGACTCTGTAGGGCTACAGATTGGAGGCTTTGAGCCCCAGAGGGTCTTACTCAGAGCAGGAGCAGAAGTCAACAAATCTTTCTCTTTTCTCATAGGGGGATTTTGTGCATTAATGATCATGGCCATGGATGTCCCCTTGTATTACCTGGGGACCTGGTGTTCTAGCTGAGAGACAAAGCATCTCCCCTGGTTATAGGCAAAATGATGATGGATTTTCAAAGCAGCATGAGGGACATGACTACATTGTCCTTTTAGCTGTCAAATTCATGGCAAATACTACTTTCAGTCAAGGCTGAGAGGAAAGGCAGATGGGGTGATGCGTTCTTGCTTCTACCTAGGTGCAACTGTTCTCTCTTTTGGAAATAAAAATGAAAACCATAGTGCCAGCTGTTTCTGAAATGATAGGACCCATAAATAGTGGAAACCAGCTCTAACTCTCTACCAAGGGCAAATTTCAAGTGACCTGATTTGTGATGGATGTGTGCAAGAGATTCTAGCTCTTTCACATTTCCTAGTTATTAATGCCTGGAAAAGATTTGACCTGTTTCCTTTTATTATTTTTTTCTAGTAGAATTCCGTGTGTGTGGGGCTGGGGATGTGGCTCAAGCTGTAGCGTGCTCGCCTGGCATGCGTGTGGTCCGGGTTCGATCCTCAGCACCACATACAAACAAAGATGTTGTGTCCGCTGAAAACTAAAAAATACATATTAAAATTCTCTATCTCTCTCTCTCTTAAAAAAAAAAAGAATTCCATGTGTGTGTATGTGTGTTGCCCTCTCTAATTGAGTTCTAATAGAGACAGTATGGAGATAAGATTAGAAACCTAAGCCCTGGAGTCAGGCTGAAAAATAAAGAAGATAATTTTATGAGACTAAGGACCATGGTAGTATGAGAAGACATCTCCAGGGAGTTCTGTACAAAGTTTACTCACTCCTATACATATCATGATCTGGGCTTCTGGGTGAACACATAACTTGTGTCAGCCAGAATATTGCTATCTATAATTTTAATGGGAATGTGTTGGAGAAAGGGGGTAGATTTTCCTGGCACATCTGATATCCCCATTTTACAGGAAGGGAGAAGTTGCAGAGCATCAGTCACCTAGCTGCCAGTGCTTTGGTTTCTGGAGTATTGACTTTTTGCCAGAGAGAGCTGGTAACATCCAATTTAGCTCACTCAGATTTATGTTAATAGGCTGATTTCCAAATACCAAGCCATCGTGAATGTCCAATCTACAGTTATTAACAGCAGCATTTATATAATCAAATGCCAAAGTGATTTAGAAAGACAAAGGACAGGAAAATTTTATGGGGCCTGCAGATACTATAATAAGATTTAAACAGAAAATTAACAGCCCCAGCAACTGGGGAAAAAATGTATAATCCTGGGTAAATGCAGAGATAGTTCTAGGAGAGAATTTTGATGGGTGCAGTTTCCTGTCCAACCCGAGGCTATGTGGGTAGCCAGTCTGAACCTGGAAAAGTGGCTCTGTGTACACCTACCCTGGTATTTCACTCTGATCCCAGATTCCTGGTCATGGCTTCTGGTTCTATCTGTCAGAACAAAGCAGAAGTCTCCTGGCCCTGCCCTGTGCCCCTGGGAGCTGGTATAGACCCACACGGAGTCTGATGGTCCTTGGTCAAGTCTCATGACAGGTATACCTGCCCCTCATGATGCCTCTGCCCCTCATGATGCCTCTGTCATTTGGTGTCACCCTGACAGAGATGCAGGCAGGGTTAGCCCTCCAAGGGAATGGGTGGATGGCACTGTTCAGAACTGATAGGGAAAGAAAAATTTTAAAGTCCAAACCCCACTGCAAACTGAGGAGCAAACCAGCACGGCACCCAGTCCTGTCCTACCTTCCGGATAGTTGGGAATTTGCCATCGTACCGGTAAAACCACCCAAAAGCTATAAGAACACAGAGAACAAAATGGTGAGACGTGTTTCCATGGGGCCAGAGCATCCATAGGCAGCAGGTGAGAGTTGGGTTTCCAAGGAATGCATGGTTTTGGGGGATGAAGGGCAGCGTTGGCAGATCCAACAGCAAAATCACACTCTCTGTCCATCTTTCAACTTACCTGGCCTCACCTGGGACAAAGCAGGCCCAAGACCACCTGAGAAAAGCCCCCCTCCCTCTCAGACACTGACTCCAGAAGTCAGTGCCAGAAAATCAGCAAGAAAACTTCTTGTGGAAGGATGAACTTTTCCAAATCACAGATATCATCTCCAAACAAAACCCCGTTGAAAGAGAAAAAGCCCTCTCTAACTGATGCCTGGTTCTCCATCCAAGAAACATCTCAAGACAAAAGAGAGCCTGGGTCTCTGCCTAGAACTGCAATCAGACAGAACAAAACTGTGTTGTCTCACAGGGGAGGCCAGTCCTCTGCCTTCATCATTGAAGAGAGGCAGTGGCTGGGTCAATCTGAAAGGCTGGCTCCAGCAGCAATGGGCAGAAGATGTGCCCCCAGAAAAGCAGATTGCCCATCCAAGCCAGATAAGCAGGGTGCAGCCCCTTTCTTCCCCAGGTGACAGCATGAAAGGGCAGCCCCCAAACCTGAGCTCTTAGGGGCTGAGATAAAGGCTTAAATAATTGCCCACCTTTAACCACCTGGAATAGAGCTGGAATAGGCTGTTGAAAGCCCCCTGCTGGACTAGGCACTACCTCCTTAGTTGCTGGATCTGGGAATGAGGAGAGGCCAGAGAGCAGAGAGGGCACTTGAACTTGGGTAGTATTTAAATATTTGCACCAGCAGTTCAGTTGCACTGGCACGTGCTTGATGATTTACCAGTTTGGCCATGTGTTCTGTCCTAAGGTTTTGCTTGGGCCAAGCTGGGGCATGGAGCAGCCTCACAGACCCCAGGGGCCTCCACCATGTGCCAGCCCCTTGGAGTCAGGTGTCTGCACTGCTTCAGGAGGAGGTGGGCAGGGCAAGCAGGGCACAGCCAGGCCAGGGAGTGAAGCGGGGGCGCAAACCTGCTCTCCCTGCTCCTCTGGGCCTCCATCCAGGTCGTCGGCAGACTCGAGCTCAGGCTCTACTCCCTGATCATCTACCCGGGGAAAAGAGGAAACTGGTGAACCAAGAGGACTCAGGAGGCTGAGAGGCCAGGGGGCTTCCCAGGAGTTGGGGGACCTGTGACCACTTTCTTCCAAGGAAGAAAGGCAGGGGCAAAAGCTCAGGATTCCAGAGCAAAGGCGTCTCACTCTGGATGGTGCATGCAGTACTTTCAACCTTAGTACATTTAGCTTCTCTATCTGTAAAATGGGTGAACAACAGGGGCCTGACACCTGAGAACCATTTTTCAAGGTGCCCAGTTGAAAGTTGGGAAGTGGGTGAGGAAGATGGGAACATCTGAATCTTAAACACATTTGAGGGCAAACACTTGCCGGGGGACAATACATCCTCTGCCTTCTTCTCACTGCCCTTGCCCTGGGGCTCTGGGTACCCTGGGGATGTCTGAGCTGGGTGGGTATTAGGTAGAGGCTGGGGATCCTGAGGAGTGGGGACTTCCCAAAGGTAAACAGGGAATATATAGTTGGGAAGACATCATGTGGACAGAATAAGAAACCATCCATTCCAATTATTTCCAAGCTGGACCCTGGTCTAGAAGGCAGAAAATCAGCAAGAAAACTTCTTGTGGAAGGATGAACTTTGTCATATTTCAAGCTTCCTTGCCCATGGGCTTGTGAAAAGGCTGTATGTTAAGTTTCTTTGCTTTAGGCTAGAATTATATTTACTTAACAGTAGAACACTGATACCTTTGCCAACAAGAGGACTTCTTGATAAAACAGTGGGAAGACAAAGGATTACCAAATAGTTAAGGAAGAAAAAAAAAATAAACTTTCATATCATAGGTCTATTGTGGATGGGGGGTGATTTAAAAAGTCCTTTAGGGTCAGAAGGCTAGAGCTATCCCTTTTAAACTTCCTCATCTCCCAAGGCCCTTCCAGCTCTGGAGTCCTTAATAAAGACAGCACCCCTTCACCACTGCTCTGGCTAAGAAAGGGTCTTTAGGGACCTCTGTGACAGGTTATCATATCTCTGAGGGTTTGGTAGAATGTTAGGGTGCTGCTGGATCATCATGGATAGGTAGGCTGATGCAATTTTCAGAACCTTCTAGGGCAGCTAGTGGGGGGGAGCAGTCTGTCCTGCCCACATCCTTACACTGAGGGCCTTCATGTTCTAGGCTAAAGATGTTCCACACTTTTCCCTATTTTTCAAAAATGTAGGTTCACCCCTTGCAGGCACAGAAACCTTAGTCAGGCCTCACCTACTGGCTAATTGGGTCCCAGATTGGTTAAAGGTTGGGTGGGCTGAGGCTGGCTGGCCAACGAGCCATGTTGGGCTTTATCTGTAGCCAACGAGCCCAACAAAACCATGACCATCCCAGCTGCCTTGGAACAGCAGGGAAAGACAGGAATTCAGCTGTTCAGAAGCTCTACTACATTTTCTGACTTATATCCAAGTTAGGATTAAATTGTGGGTACATATGGAGATGGATGGCTGTGACAGCTGCCCTGGGGGCTGGCAGACTGCGGCCATCAATCCTGTGCTTTGTGGAATGGCCTTGGAATACATGTATCTTAAGCAAAGGCAAAGGTCTTACTCTTTTTATTCAAGAAACTTGATTTGGTTAAAACAATGCTAAACAAATACCTAGTTAGTGAAAGGCTTTTATTTTTCATGGTTCCTGAGAGGGTGCACCTTGCTGTGAAGCTGAGACCTAATTTCTAGGAAGGCGCTAAATTGACTAGTATTACTTTCATGAGAAGCAATTACAATCAATTTCTCTCTTTTCAAAGCTCCCATTTCACTCATAAGAGCAAATTAGCGGCCCGTTTAAAACAGGGATTATTCACCAGGAATTCAGCTTTGGCCACATCCTCAGCTTGTACTGAATGTCATAGGGGAAGGTGATGACAGCATGCTTTGTCTTTCTGAGAGAACCATGAGATGACACTGTGCTCTGCTGCCAGGAAGGAATTCTGGGAGCTACCTGCTTCAGTCCAAGAGGCCTGTGTTGGCAATGCAGTGTCCCTTTAGGACTCAGATATGATCCAAAGTTGGGACAGAGCTATCTAGACCCCACTACAGAATTCCAGTTGGCTACCACACAACAGAGAGAGGAGCCTTGGTTCTCTAAGTTGGGTCCCTGGGGACAGGGTAGCAGCTGGTGGAGGCCAGGATTGAGAGGTAAGGTAAGAAGGGTAGAGGTAAGAATGGACCAGTGAAGAGGAGATAAAAATTATGGTGGGGATTGAGATCCCAGCATGGTGCAGCCACCAGACCCACATTGACATCTGGGAGGGGTCTCAGAGTCCTCTCCCTGTCTCCATCCCTGGAGTGGTGTGACAGCCACCCATGTGCAGGGATGTAGGTGAAAGAGGCACTTCAGGCAAGCTCCTCCTTCATTTGCCCACCAACCTCGGGCCACCAGAGCTCCTTCCTCTTTCTTGCTGCTGGTTTCATCCCAACCCAGTCTAGAACCAGGCAGAAGGGCACCTCACCCCACACACTAAGACAACAATCACACGAGCCAGTTCCTCTTGCACAGCTCGCTCTCCCATCTGCAGCAGCCCAGTGGCCTGTGTGCATGTGTGCTGTAGGGGAGAGCCTGTGAGCTTGTGTGTGGAGCAGGCCCCAGACAAGGAGGCAGACAGATCCCTCCCACCCTAAAACCCTGAAAAATGGCCCCTCACACTCAGCTGCACCACCATGAAGGGAATGAATCTGAGAGAGCCATGGGCAGTTAGTGGAGGGAGGCCAGCATTTCTGTCCATCCCCCCAGCCCCAGGTCCTAGAAGGACCTCTTCCCCTGGCACATGGTACCTACACTTTGGCTTGCGAAGGGGTACTGGGTGCACCTCAGCAGTGATGGTTTTGGGCAAGAGGAGCTGTTCCTTAGAGCCCCAATCTTCTTCCCATTGCTTCTTAAACTTCTCTTCCTCTTCCACGATCCTGAAATTAAACCCCACACCTGTGATTTGAATCAGAACCTTTGCAGGCCTATCTCCTGCCTACCTGAGAACCCTAACCAGCAAGGAGCGGCCTCATGGTTCTAATGTGGTAAGGAAGGCCGGCCCTGGAGCTGATGTTCTGAGTAAACACCTAAGTTCTTGTTGCCCTGGTATAATGGGCTGTACTAGGAGTGTGGAATGGCTACAAATAAAGGAGGAGCTACTAGGGGACAGAGGGCCAGGTAAACTGGGCCTAGAGGTGACCTCTGGCTGGCCACACTCCTGGAAGCACACTCATGAGCACCACATGTGCAGGCACACACAAACCCAAGATACTCACTGTTCCATCTCCTTCCGGTATCTCTCATTTTCCTCTGCTGCCTTCTGGGCAATTTCCTTTCTCCTCCTAAAATAAATGCAGGTAGGCATGTCTGAGTCTATGCAAGAAAAGCTAACTGTTCCTTATAGCTGATTCCTGATTTGAGAAAAGTTTTAAATGTTTTCTGCAGTCTCCCTTCCAAGGATGCTTACACCAGCTTTGATGCTGAGAAATTTGTCCAACACAAGTCTGTCTACACAACCTCTGCTCCTGGGAGGTTTTGTCTGGCATAGCTAGGCAGATATTCTGTGCCACAGGAGATGACTGGCAGATTCACATGAGGGCCACAATCTATGTGTTCCCCTCCAAACTCTTAGATGGAGTGACTAACAACAAGCAGGACGTGGACTGAGAGAGGGTCCTCTCAGAGGAGGGCCCAGCCAGACCCCAGGCAGGAGTTGCTAACCAAGTGTGGCTTTCCAGGTTAGTTCTTTGATGCTGGAGATGGGGGAAATCCCTTTTCCTTCCTTTTTCAAATACTTATTAAGTGCTGAGAGTATTTCTGCATATGGATTTTGACTGTGGTTTTTCTTTTATGAATTGCTTGCCCCATTTATTTTCTCAGTCCATCATTTTAACCACCTGGTGGGGAGTGGTTAGCACCACAGGTGGGTGACCCTCTGGGGACTGCCAGGTTATTAAGTCAGATTGTCTGGATGTGAATCCCAGCTTGGTCATGTGTGACTTTGGACCCAAGATGCTTAACCCCTCGGAGCCTGAGCTGCCTCACTTATTAAACAGGGCTGGCGTGGGGATTAAATTAAATAACATAAGCAAGGTCCTAATCAGCATCAGCCACATGGTAGGTACTCAACATGTCAGTGCTGCTGGTGGGAGCCTCATTTCCCATAGTCCTGGAGTCTGGAAATCAGGGGCTGTCCTCATCAAGGAGGGAGGAGCCTGGTGGTCTGAGGCAGAGGATTGATATGCTGACCTGCCGCTTAACCTATTTGGTCTGAGGACAGCTCTGGAAGTGGGGATGAAGTCTGTGCAGGAGCAGAGGACAAGAGCCAAAATGGGTGGGGCAAAGGCGGTCTGGGAAGGTGGGGGCCCCCGGATGGGCCACTCACTGGCGCTCCATCTCCTGCTGCTCCTGGAGGATTTTGTTGGACTCCATGGCCAGCCGCTTCTGCATCAGGAGCTCCTGCCGCTGCAGCTCGCGCTGCCGTGCCTCTGCCAGCCGCTCGCGGTCAGTCATGAACAGCTCCCGGCCCTGGTGGGGAAAAAGAGGCCCTTTGTTCAGGCCCCTGGGAAAGCTGTATATCCACAGCCATGGCTTTGGGGGGGCCAAGATTGGGTTGCCTTCTCAGTGCTGTGCCTCCCCGTGTATTGCAACTCTGGAGGTCTCTGACCCAGGCTTCTTGCTGGGCAGAAGCCCTTTTTCTCTACCATCAGTGTTTCAGGCCCTTGGCCCTTTCTGGGAGTGTGTGGCAGAGATATGAGGTCATAGGTTATGGGTCAGGGGTCATGGGGCCCCCACCACCTCATTCTGGACTTACAGCTCCAGCTACAATGGAGATGGTCAGGCTGCGGCTACTCTTCAGCACGTTCACAGCCTGTGGGAACAGGAGGTCAGTCATCTGGGGTCTGACAGATAGACCAGGGCAGTCCAGGCAGAGACCACAGACACCATGGTAGTTGGGGTGAGCAGTGGGGTGGGAAGGTGATAAGGCCAGCAGATAAAGACCCTCACATCTTACCTCCTTGTGGTCCAGGTTAGAGAAGTCGATGCCATTGACTTCAACGATCTGGTCTCCTGTCTGAAGGAAAGATGGAGAAGAACTGGTGTGTTACACTCACTCATCTGGAGGAAGGGCTCCTCCATGGTGCCAGGTTTAGGTGCTGAGTCTAAGTGGCTGCTTAACAACTCTTCCCAATGAGTAAAGCAGTCGAAAAATTTTGAGGAGGCCCTGGGAGGGCCTCAAGCCCACCCTGTCACCTCTCCACTCCGTAACTATCATATTGGATATCAAATATTATGCCATTTGGGTCACTCACCTCCAATCCCACCTCTGCAGACAGGGAGCCAGGCTTCACATGGCTGATGAAGATGCCTGGTTTCTGGATTGGGCCACTGGAAATGCTGTGAAAGGTGGGAAATGCGGATGAAGCTCTACCCCCTTTGCTTGTCCCCTGAAGCACTCTCTTGTTTTCAATGTCCTGTCTATCATCCTCTATCTGGGTATTCAGTGTCCAGAATAGAGTTCATCCATGAATTCAGGACCCACAGACTCCATCTCTGTCTCCCTTCCAGCCTGATTTCCACTGTTCCCCTGGGTAACAGGCACAGAAAACTACTTGTAATTCTCCCTACCCAATCCTCACCCAATATACCACATGTGCTGCTTCTTCTCTTTCTAGAACTTTCCTTTCATACCTTATGACTCAAATACTATCTCCTTTAAAATTTTTCAGTAGATCCCTTATTCTATCCCAAGATTGAGCAAGTGCCCCCTCCCATGTGCTCCCAAAACATCTACAGGAAGGATGGCACTTGTTCATTCTTTTCCCTACCCTAGATCTGTGGCACATATCACTAAGTAACTATAGCACTCTTTCCAAGCAAGCTGGATACAGCTTTAGAATCCTTTGCAGAGCCATGCACAGTGGCACATGCCTGTAAATCCCAGAATCTCTGAGGCAGGAGGATTGAGAGTTCAAAGCCAGCCTCAGCAACTTAGGGAGGCCCTAAGAACTTAGTGAGACCCTGACTCTAAATAAAATATTTAAAAAGGGCTGGGGATATGACTTGGTAGTTAAGCACTCCTGGGTTCAATTCTTGGTACTAAAAAAAGAGAAAATACTTTGCAGAACAGTACCCCAGGAAGCCACCCACTAATTGATTAGAGATGGCACAGATAGGAAACCTATTTGACATCCCTGACGCAGGATTCATCCCCCTCAGAGTCCTTTTCACCCTATGTGGCACCTATGCATTTGGCTTCTATATTGCTATCATCTTCCAGAAAGGAAAGATAATTTTTTATCACTTATAAAATGTTGAATAAATGTGAAGGAATGGAAATAATCAGAATAACATAAATAATAATAACCAACACTTACCAGCCACTTACTACCTGCTAGGCACTAAGCTTAGTACTTTGTTTACTACTTTTGCAAAAACTTTGTAATATAGGTATTATGTTCCCCTGTTTGTAGAGGGAAAAACTGAGGTTCAGAGTGGTTAAGTTAAGTGGTTCAGGTTCTGGAGCTTGTGCATGGCAGGGCAGGGCTGGAACTGACCATGGAGTGACTGTGGCACCTGCATACTTGATACTGACCCCTCATGTGGCCCAGTGCCTGTTTGAATTCCCTGACTGCCTCTTAAGGAAAGCCATGAGGTAATCTGTGACAAGAGAACTGTGACAGAGATGCCTAGATGGGCAGTGTCCTTTTGCAGTGAGTCAAGGGCCCACTCAAGGACCATGGCTCTGCCTCTGGGCCTCAATTTCCTCATCTGTAAAATGAAAACTGTTGGAGCTGTCCCTCTGGCTCTGGGTGGCTAAGTGGAACTCAGGCAACAAAAAGTGTCATCACTGATGGACAAGTCACCTCACTGATGGACAAGTATCCTCATATGCAGCAGTGAAGAAGGGAAGAGGCATCAGGAGCTCGCTGGGGTCTCCCTGCAACAACTGAGCCTAGGGCATGCTGCCACCCACCTGCAACCAAGGCCCCGTGAGCCCACCAGGCTGATGAAGACTTTTTTCTCCTTGTGTGCCCGTGTCCCAGGAGAACCCAGGCTGCCTCGACTGCCCTGGAGGAGGAACAAAAGCAGGTCATTGGGTGTCAATGTACATGCAAATAGTCTTTTGAGCTTGTGAGATCTTTAGGGTAAGTACTGCCTAATTTTCACAGGCCAGATGGTCATTCTGCCCCTGGGGTGTGGGTCTGTACACTAGCTAGACCAGCTGAGGGCCCACCACGCCACAGGAGCATTCTGGGTGTCCTGGAGGCCCTAAGATCATGTCCTTAGAGCCAACCCACTCCACCAAAGCGCCATCACAGTGGGTCCTAGCCCTTACCCCAGATTCTGACACAAACTGATCCACATACTGCCATTTGAGGGGCTCCTCAGGAGAGCTGACAAGAGGAAAAAATAGAACAAATGGTTATTAGAGATGATTTAGGGACCAGACCCCAAGTCCATATCTGCCACATTTGCAGCCTCCACTGGCCCAGGAACAGCGTGACCTGGGGGTAGAGGAGTAAGACCCAGGGATGATACCAGGACCTTGGACCCACAAGGAAAGAGTGTTACGAGGAGGGTCTCACTCACCTCTTCACAGGGATCAGGCCAATGTCTGTGGGAGAAAAGCACTGGGGTTAGGGCAGCTCCCTGCCCTCTCTGTCCCTGCGGGAGCTGAGTAATCCCATTGTCTGCTCCAGTCCACAGTTACTGAGCCCCACCACCCTCTGGTCTCACTTACGTCTCACTTTGATGGACACAGTCTTCTTGGTTCTTATCAGATTGATGACCTCCTCGTGGGTGCAGGAGGAGATGGAATATCCATTGATCCGGACAATCTCATCCCCCACCTTGGCCACAGAGAGAAGGAATAAGCACCAGGTGGAGGGAGCATCTATCTGGCAGCAGGAAAAGCCCACCACCAGGTGCTCATGGCCAGGCTAAACCTCTATATATGCCTATTCCTTGTCACAACCAACCCACCCCACACCAGCCCGAGGGATCCCAGGGCAGGTGGTACTTCCTTTTGCCTCATTTTACAGATGAGGAAACCAAGATGGGGGGGTGAGGAGTTGAGTAGGACTCAGGTCTCTGTCCCCTCACTCTGGCATCCCTTTCACCCCACATGATTGTTATCATTAGGCCTGAGCCCAAAACCCACGGCTCAGGTCCCTCTTCTCAGAGCTTAGGCAAGAGTGGATTGGGAGACATGGGCTTGCGGGGCTAGCTGGGGATACATGCTGACACTGCTCCTGCTGGACACTACTGCTGCCTGTCCAGGCACTCAAGCCCTGAGGATCAGACTGAAGCTTGTTATTGACTAAGCACGGAACTGAAGGGCCCTCAGATATTAGGTGACACCTAGGTCCAGGGAGGTGATATTTTGTCCAAGGTCATGTAGGCAGAAACTGCAAAATAGTAACTGGATCCTGGGTGCTCCCTCTTCAGTCTGAGGCCAATGCATGGCAGCTGGGGGTTTAACTCCAATCACATGTGCTGACCCCTTGGAGACTTGTTAGTACATAGCTGGATGCTATGGGGGCTAAGGGACACATAGCCTCTGAAGGGCCCCACAAGCCAACTCCCACCCTATAGCACTCCTACAGAGTCACCTCTCATTGTTGCCAGGAATGATCCCCTCCCTCTCCAGACGCAGACCCCAGTCTTCTTGGGGGAGGGGAAGTCCTGACAGAGATATCCATAGACTCAAAAAGGCACAAAAAGGAGGGGCTCAGTAAAGAACTCTCTAGGTTTATGGGGACATCAGATTCAAGGAGAACTGCTGGATTTGCTCCTTATACCTAGTTTTCACAGCAAAACTGCAGGGCAGGAACTTGTGTGTCTGTGAATCAGATGAGGAAATGGAGGCCCAGAGAGGTGCGATAACTTGCTCAAGGTCACCCCATGAACAAATAAGGTTGTCAGGATCCCAAGTCAGGTGTTCCTGACAGACAACAAGCCTTGTCTCTTGGGTGTCTAGAAGAAGAAAAGAAGGGCAAATGGCCAAGCCTGGCTACTGTTCCCTGCATCTTGTCCTCTCTGGATTCCTGCCACCTGTCAGAGCCTTCGAGTTCCACAGGAAGGCAGGGATTGCTCTGTCCATTATACAGCTGGGACCACAAAGGCACAGAGAATCATTTTCTAGCCCTAGTAGGTACAGCAAGTTGTACAGCACAGGCTGCCTCTGTGCAGGACAGAGACTTAATACAGAATTCCTTTAGGGGGCAAGAGCAGAGGAATGGAGTCCCAGGACTAAGTCCTATCAGAGGATCTGAGCCTCACTGGGGACCCAGACTCATAGGTCAAATCAGCACAGGGTCTTTGGCACAGAACGTGCCTCTCCCCTGTCTTCCAGAATCTTCTCCCAGCTATCCTCAGGCCTGAGATCTCCTTGGAAACATGAACCCAGGTAGGTCAATGACGCAAGTGTTTTCTCCCAAGCTCCTCTGAGTGAAGTTCCCTTTCTTGTTCCTAAAGGGAACTTGCCCAGGACCTCAGTAGGAATAAAATTCCCACAGGGTTCCTGGCTCAGGTTACAGGATCAACTTCCCTCTCGCTCTCCCTCCACAAAGAACCCTGCAAAAGGGCCTTTGTGCAGGCACCACGAAGGTATGAACATCTGAGGGTCCGTGGAACAAAGGAGAGATGAGTCCATCAGCACAAGAAAGGGTGGATAATTCATAAGCCTGAGAAACAGCTGGGAAGGTAAAACCTGAGTTTCATTAAAATGTCCTCTCGTCCCCAAGCATTGGGGCACTGCTGAGAAATGCTCATCTGAGGAGGAGAGCTCGCCCTGGAAAAAAAGAGGGCCTCAGATGATGCCAAGAGAGGCGCTCATTATGTTTATTTCTCTGACTCTGTTTCTGGGCTGGAAAATGTGCCTCAGAGGAAAGGAATAATGAAGGGGCTGAAATTTCAGACGCCATCGGCGAGCCGTGAGACAGGGATCAGAACAAAGCCATGTCTGTCAGCTCCCTAATTCCACCCCCACTCCTCACTCTCTGGTACCATTAGCGCTGGAGCCCCCCGAAGCCCCTGGCTTGGCCTCTGGGATTGGGATTTCGATAACAAACACTCTGGAAGCTCTGGGGAGGGCCTCCTTTACCTGAACAGACAAAAACACAGCTCCAGGCTCCGGGAGGAGTGAGACCTGCATGTCTGCCCTGCTCTGCTCAGACATGGAGGTGCAGGGACCATGGTGGAGAGGCACCCCGAGGTGTTAAAGGGAGATCTCTGGGTTGACCTTAGGAGAACCAGGTTCTAATCCTGGCTCTGCCACTTACTGGACTCCAAACCTCTATTAACTATAACTTGGGATGATACATCTAATGCAAACAGTGAGAATCCACGTGAGCTTGTGCCCAGCACATTGTTAATCATTCACTGTCTCCCTCTCTCTGCTTATTTATAAAACACAAAGCACTTCCGTGTCAGGCAGTGTTGTAAGCTTTCTAATACTAATTCATTTTTGTTCCTTGTACAACCTGATGAGGTAGATTGTTTCATCATCACCCCATGTTGCAGATGGGGAAACTGAGGCCGGGGGTTAAGTCATTTCACCAAATTCACACAGCTTAATGAACAGCAAGGCCAGATTTTGAACTGGGCACTTCAGTCTCAGAGTCTATATTCTTAAGCATCATGCTACATTGGGCCTTCTTCCCTGCTGCTAAAGGTGACCTGTGCCAGGCTTCGGGTGCTGAACATAACTATGATCCTCCTTCAGGAAGTAGGGAGGTGGGGGCCAGTGGGGCAGCAGCATCTGGGACGAGGCAGCAGTTAGGTTCAAGAAAACAGATTGCCTGGGACCTGGTTTCTATGGAACTGCAGATCCCTGACAGGGCTCAACAGCCTCTTCCTCTCCCAGAGGCTCAGGAGAGTGGGTGCCTGTACTGCACCACACCACCTAGCAGATGAAGGGGAGGCAGGAAGTCTGAGCTTCTGGGGCCCTCTTCCCTAGACTCTGCTCACTCACCTGGAGACCAACGCTATCTGCCTGACCTCCTTTGATGAGATGAGAGATGAAAAGCCCACAGCCAAATTCGAGGCCCCCACGCACGCTGAGGCCAAGGCCTTCGGGGTGCAGCCGGTCCAGACGCACCTCCTTCAGCTTCCTGCCATGGTGTGGGGTGGGTTAGTGATGGCCCAGCTCAGCCTGACTGCCAGCACTGCCCAGCCCACTAGTGAGAGACTCAGTTCATCCCAGGGAGACCTCTTCCACCCCTGCCTCTGGGCTAGTGACTCCTTCCATACCTGGAGCGCCGAGGGGTCAGCTGATCATATTCCACCTGATGCTTCAATGGGATCAGTGGCCGGATGGCATCAAACAGTGGCAGGCGGTTGGGCTCATTGATGACCAGCTTCAGGTCTCCAACAAGCACAGTGACGTCCATGGTCCTGCAGAGATATAGGGGATGCTTGGTGCCTTACTCCTGACCAAGACCTCCGACCCAGCCCAGCTCCCCACCCACTGGGCCCAGGCCTAGGAATTAAGAACTCTCTTGAAAGGTCCAGAACTTCTAACTCTGGACCATGAGCTATGGAAGAGCTTGTTTCTCTCACATAAGTGTCACAGGAAATCTGTGAGTTAGGGACTGTTAACCCATTCTGCACATGAAATCAACCAGGATTTCAAACTCGGCTCTGCCTAGTTCTAAAGTTCAGGATCTTCCCACACAGGAAAGCTCTGTGTGAGACGTGATGAGCTGTCTCACCCTCTGATCTTCTAGTTTGATCAGCTGCTAAACTCTAGAAATTCAGTATCTTTCTTGTGCCTTCACGTAATTCAGACACCTCTGCATCTCCAGCTGCCTGCTGATTTGCCCACTCTCATGGAATCTTTACTAACATAAGTCATTCCCTTCTCAAAATCCTTCAATGGCTCCCTACTGCCTAGAGGACAAAATCCATTCTACCTGGTGGCCTCAGGGTCCTCCATGACCTGTCTCCTGGAATGTCTCTAGTCTGTGGCTCTGCATGCTCTCAGGGTGCTCCAAGGTCTAACTCACAGATTATCTCTCATTCCCCATCCACATCCTGTGCTTCTGTGCTTCTGAACTTCTGATGATGCTGAGCCCTCATCCTGGGATGCCCTTCCCCAATATTTCACCATCCCAATTTCTTATTCTTCATAGCCTAGCTCAAGTTCTTCTGGCATCTCCCTGACCCCTCAGTTAGAAGTGAAAATTCCTTTCCTTAAATTCCTACTTTTACTTCCACTTACCAATTATTTTATTGTAACTTATGCTAGAGTTCCTGGTGCTTATAACGTCTGTTCACCTCCCCCGACCAGGCCACAAGTGACTCAAGGAAACAAAGTGGATCTTCTTCATCCCAGATCCTGCATGCTACCTAGTAACTTACAGGAGCTTATAAATGTGGGCCAAATGAATCAAAAAGCAGGTAATAGGTGACCAGAGACATCCAATGCAGTGTCCAGGGCCTGCTTTCATTTCTTCTTCTGTCCTAACAATTGCACTCTATTGAATATATCTGGCTACTTTATATCCTCCCCCATGATACAGTGATCAACTTAAGGGTGGAGACCAGTCTGTTTTTTTCACAAGTGTACCCTTGACCTCTAACAGAGTCAAGAGCAAAGAATTGTATAGTTGCTAAAACAAGTTGCTGAAATGGCAGGTCCATTTGGCTCCCAGGAGCACTGAGCATCTGCTCCCCGAAGTTCCTCTATTTTAGAACAGCTCATCCCAGGGCTCCCTGAGCATACAGTACCCCTGTGGGGATTGGTTCATAGGAGTTGGCCCAGCATACTTACTGGTGGTACATCCGCAGCACATCATAGAGATAGTCCTTCTCTGCATCATTTTCAATTAGAAAATCTACCTGTAAAACCCAAGGGCAGAATTACAGCTCCAGGCCCAGAAAACCTATAGTAGACTCCAGAGAAGAGAGGCCACACCCAAACTATTCCAGCAGTTCAAGAAGAGTTGTGAAGAGAGGAAGGAAGACAGAGGTCAGGGTGACCTCCTGACCCCAATATGTCATACCCACGCAGAACATGCCAGTGTAGGCTTTGCCCATCCCCATGTGGCCAGGCTGAGCCTTGTCCCAAGGTGGAGTGATAATGTGTACACACACAGGACGGGAACCCCCATGTGACAATGACATCCCATGGCAGTGCTGCTGCTCACCCCGTGGTTGCCATCTGTGTCTGGAAGAAGCCCATTGTCTTACCTGATGGTGGCTGTAGTGCCTGATAACTGCTTTCAAAAAGGATTTGGGCCACTGGTTCGGAAAGCACATCCCACTGGCGGGAAGCACCCTACTGCTGAATTCTGCGACACCTTTGCTAGGGGACCTCTGCCCTATCCAGTCCTGGCCTAAGCTGGGTTGACCCTGAGTTCTGTCCGCTAGTCAGCCTCCTGGCCACTCCTCCCCCTCTCCAGGTCCCTGTATGTCTCCCCTGGAGGGAGGGTCAGGTTACATCATTTCAACTTTGCTGACGTCAATGGCTAGGACTCCAAGGTCAGGTTCAGGAGCTGTTTCATTAGCACCCCAATCCCTGGGGAGTCAGTGATCTGGGACCCCCAAATTTCACTCTTTGGGACAGCTCTTTGTTCGTCTGTGTGCTATATCCTTGGCTCTCCCTTTAGCACAGGACGGAGTAACAGGGCAATGTGGAAGCTGGAGGGGTCTCTGGTTCTCTCCCTCCAGCCTCCAGGCTCAAGAGCATGATCCCAGGCTTCAGCTCTTCATCTGAGAGTCCCTAGTTCCAGAAGAATAGGGACTGACTGTCTGTTCCAATACAGAGAGGACTTGTAAGGCCAGACCCTTGGGATTTCTAGTCTGAGCAGGGAATGCAATTTTCTAGTCTTGACCTGGCAGCACTTTTGCCCCTAAAATCAGGCTGGGCATTTCACTGAAGATGAGCCTAACCTAGGAGGAGGCGCTCCATGGACTCATAGCCTGGGTGTCAGAAGCTCCCCAAGCTGCTCCAATCAGGAGAATTTCTGCTCCCTCCCTACCTCACTGCAGAGGCATCCCCCTAGAAGATGGGGATGGCACATGCGCTTGAGTCAGTGCTACTAAATCTTAGGATACTGGGCTGGGCTCTGGCCCACTCTGCCACACAAATGGTCACTCTCAAAAGCCCATCTCTATGAGGACACAAGCTTGGACTATCTCTACCCTCTTTAGCCTCAACTTACATAAGAAGGTTGGGGACTTCACCCAAAAATATCTTGATAAGTTAGATCAAGTCACCCATTACCTTCCTATTGTACTTAAAATCCAAATCCAGACCCCTTGCTATGTCTTATACAAGCTCTTCCTGGAAGCAAGGGCCTCCTTTCAGTTCCTCTCTCATGCCAGACTTTCTTCTGATGTATATTCATTCCCCTATTCCTTGGATGGCTAGTCTCCTTCTCAGAGAGGTCTTCCCTGCCCACCAACCTAAACAGAACCCACTCCCACCCTGCAAGATGTTTCAATTCCATCATTACATGGATTGCTGCTTTTAATTTAATGTTTGCTGGTTTTGTTTTTATTTTTTGTTTTTGAAATTGTCTGTCTCCTTTGCTTGATAGAAAACCCAATGAAGGGAAGGATGAGTCTTGGTTATTCTAAATTCCTCAGGCTTAACATATAGTTATGTGCTCAGTAAATAAGTATTTATTTATTGGGTGAATTTGTCCTCACAGTTCAGGTTGAAGGAGCCATGGGAACAGAAAGGAAAGGGAAATGACCTTTGCAGAGCCCCCATGGTGGCACTGGGCATGTGGGCTTAATTCCTTTGCATATTACACCATCCCTGTGAGCACATATTCTCACACCATTTTGCAGAAAGAACCAGAGAGGTTAAGTAAACTCAATGAAGACCCTATAGTTATTAAGTGGAACTATGATTTGAACCCAAGTCTGACTCCAAAGCCTATGCTCTGCTGCTAGTCATGTCCATTTGGTGTGACTCAGGCATCCCAAGGGGAAATAACCCCCAAAGCTCCTTAAAGTCAACATTTCCAACCTTTTGCTTTTAAGATATGTTGTTTTAAAAAAAAAAGATATTTTATTCCTCTGAACTGTTAAGAAAACTTTTTGATTGGTTCATAATGACAAAGAAACAGAACACATGTCTTTTGTTTTTGGTTTTTGGCCCTGTGAATTTAACCCAGGAGCACTTAACCCCTGAGCCACATCCCCAGCCCTTTTAAAAATATTTGATGTAGAGACATGGTCTCGCTAAGTTGCTTTGGGCCTTGCTAAGTTGCTAAGGCTGGCTTTGAACTCATAATCCTCCTGCCTCAGCCCCCCAAGTCACTGGGTTACAGGTGTGTGCCACTGTGACTTGCAGAACACTTTTAGATGATGCTTTGAACCCCAAATGTTCTGTTCTCTCAGGGGAGGATAAAAATCCCACCTGCTTCGGTTGGAGTGAGGACACCCTCACCAAAGGACATCCAGCCTAATTCTAGCCACGGGTGGTGAGAGAAGCAAAGGGCCAGGAGAGGGATCTCTGATTGGCTGAGGCCTTGGGTCTGAAGTCCTTTCACCCCTTTGCAGGAGTGCAGCTAGAGGCAGCATTAGGGTTAAGCAGAGAGGGACTCTCCTCAGAGGATAGCCTTTATTTTGCTCTGGGTAGAAAGCTAAGGTAGAAAACTAAGGGAATTTGCAGCTTTAGAGTCTAGGAATGCTTTTCTGCCTTCTCTAAGCCAAGCACAGAGCACTTGGTGACAGTCTTTATAGAAAAGATCTGGGAGTGGAGGGAGTCCCAGGCTCCTGATCTATGGACAGTCCTTCAATCCTGACTACTGCATTCAGAGGTCCTCACCCAGAAACTACTTTCTACCAGTCTCCTTCTGAGAGCCTCATGTCCATGGGCTCTCACTTGGAAGCTCATCTAAACCCTGTTCCAGTCTGTTCTTGTCTGCTATTACAAGGTCATTACCACCATAGTCCATGTGGGACTCACACTGCAGTTGAGCAGACCTCTTCCTCACACTGGAACCTCCCCAATCTCAGTCAGAATGTCCCCTCCACCTCCACGGCTAATGTTTCCATTTTTTTTTAAATCTACATACAGACAGGTGTGGAGAGAATCTAAGTAATGAGTCAACAGTAGAGCCCACAAATGAAGGGACAATTTTCCACCCAGAAATATAGAGAAACAGTCCTACTTTGTTCTCTGGAAACACACACTCACATCTCACTCTGCAGACTTTAGAATGTTCCAGAAGAAAAGAAAGAAAGATGGAAGTCTTTTAGAAGTCTGAGCATGCTGTAGCAATGCTACCATTAAACTAAGCTTTTAGACTATTTTTTAAAAAAAATTACATAGTATTCCTTTCTCTTAGAATTCTGCCTTCCACTTGTCCAGGGATCAGCTTCGACAGACGCTGCTTTGACTACTTGGTACATTACCATGTACTTATAAAGCTCCTGGCACACAGTAGGTCTTTGACATTCCTTTCTTCCCTCCTCCCCATCCATGATCTTTCTTTCCCTGCAGTGTCCAACACGGTGTTGTGCCCACAGGCACGTAGCACTCAATGGTGTCTGTGGAATGATGAATGAACTCCACTTGCTCAAGGCTGGGGAACCCTCCTTCTACACTTTTGGCCCTGTGTTGGACAACTGTCTTCCCAGAACTCCTGGAGGCTCTGTCTCCTCTCAGTTCATTTCTAGCTCATTGTAGAAAAGCAGGTCCCAGAGCCATGCAAGATGGAGTGTCTTCCCTCTTCACCGTGCCACCTCCTCTAGAGTCTTTCCTGATCGCGCCCAGCACACACTCCTCACCTGCCTTCTAGCCTGTGGCTCATTCGGGCCTGTAAGCTCTGAAGCTCACCTAGACCCTCTGCTTACTGACTATCTGCCATTTCTCAGTAGCTTCTTTAATTACTTTACTCTCTCCTTTAATTATCTTTAATCTCCTAATAATTTCTGGAGGTGGATATTGTTATCCCCTTTTTACACATGAGGAAATAGAGGTTCAGGGAAATGGGAGAGCTAAGACTCCAACCTATGCATGCTGCCTCCAAAACCTCGGCTTTTTTCAATCTACTCCATGTCATCCACCTGCCCTATATAACACTTTTGTATGCACCTGTCCACTGTACACATTTATTGAGAACCTGCTATGTGCAAGAGAGCAGTCTTTTTTCTCCAACTAGATTTAGAAAGCTTTTCCTTTCCTTGGATCCCCTTGATGTGGGGCACAGAAGTCCTAAAGGAGCTCACCCTCTGCAAGTGACTGTTGGGGGGGGTGGTCTCTATTCCACCTTCATTCCCATCTCCAGCCAGCACTAGCATTTTTCTATGGCTGATGCTCAGCTAGCTCTGAGCTATGGGTCTGTGTGGGGTGGGAGGGAGCACCTTCATCTTCACTAGGTTCAGGGGCATTGAAAGCAAAATCTGGGTTTGGCTTTGGGGCCCTTTCAGCCTCATTCCCTAGTATTCCCTCACAGGGACTGGCCCTTCAGGACTGTTGCACAGGCAAGGAGAAAAAGAATAAGTTAAATCATGCATTTTGTTCCACTCCTGTGCCCTCCCTGGTCTGTCATGAGGATTAAGCAGGCAACATATGTAAAGCACTTGGGACAGACTCCAAATGTGTGCTGTGTCTTCTCCTTTGACACTCCCAGCCTCTTGCACCCTGCCCTTTGTCCTCCAGGGCTTTGCCTGGATTCCTGGTGTTTCAGCCAGTGGGAGGCACAAGTAGGAGGTGAACAGGAGGAGGAAGGGACTTAGTCTCTTAGTCGCCTGGCTGGTGGCCTGAGGGACCACCTGAGGTAGTTTCCTTCACCTGAGGTGGTAGCCCCTGCCTGGGCCTCTCTCTGCAGCCCTGCTCTCCTGTGTTCTGCTGCCCTCCCTCCCCTGGCCCCTGCAGAGTGCTGGCTTCCCATTGCTGTCACCCGGCCTAGTCTGTTCCTGTAGCCCCGCCCTTTCCTACTGTCCTTTCACAAAGCTTACTTTGGTTTTCCCTTTGGATGAGCTGCCTGCCTCCTGCTGAACCCTGGCTGGCGGGAGGGCTAGCCATTAGTAGTGGCGGCACCCGCAGTATTTCTTCTTAGCAAATTCTTCCACCACCTTGAAGATTTACCCCAATGTCAGTACTTTGTCCTCACTTCTGCCATGACCTTGTTAAGTTGTTCCGGACTCTCTTGGCCCACTGGTCTTCCACAAACCTGTGCCGTAGCCTAGACACAGGCCTGGGTGTGAGGGTGGAGGGTGGGACAAACAAGCCCCTTCCTCCACTGGGGCTGCCTCAGTTTCCTCATCTGTAAAATGGTCATAAAACTCTCCTTTAATTTAATCCTTCCATGAGAGATTAATGATTGTTTTCATTACTAACTCAAGGAGTTATTAATCATAAAGTTTAAAACAGTGTCTGGAAAGTTGTAAGTCCTATGTGTTTGTTAAATTAAAAACAAATGGATACAAATTTCATAACCTCAGCAGCTGGCAGTGAGTGGCCCTCCATACATGTTGATCCAGTCACGTCTTCACAGTGTGTATCCTAGCCAGTACTGGATGGATTAGATTCTTCATTCTCATCATGGCAGGCATATGCCGTTCCCTCTTCCTTTCACATATACCCCCTGGCTCCTCCCCTATTCTTCCGTCTCTGCTCAAACATCACCTCTTCAGAAAAGCCTTCCTTATTACCCTACATAAAGTACCACCTGTTACTCTCTTTTCCCTCATCCCAGTTTATTTTTTAATAGCATTTATCACTACTTGGCATCATAGAATACTTTTATTGCTTTACTTATTCATATTCCCCATTAGGATATACTCTCTAAAAGGGCAGGGCTTTGTTTTGTTCCTTGACGCTTAGAATACTGTCTGGTATGTATAGAAACTCAGTCAAAATTTATTGCTTGTATGAATAAATGAATGATCAGCCACTCCTTGGAGTCAGGAACTCTTTCTGATCTTAATCATCCCACCCCACTCTCAGTTGTCTGGCCTCAGCTAGGGTACACCAGAGCTACTCACAAATGTGTGATTGCTGAAGAGACCATAAATACTTTGTGAGCAAATGAGTAACCAAGTTCCTGCAACGTGCAAGGGCTGTGAGCAGAGAGGCTAATTTGAAAAGATGGTCCATCGTAGTCTCTGATCATGCCCCCTAGCCCATCCTGGCCCAAGGTTGTTACCTATCATTGGGAAGGGCATGTAAGTGCTGCTGGTGGCCTTAGAGAAATGACACACTGATAGGACAATGCCTGGAGCCTGCTAGCTCAAACAATGGGACACTGCGGGCATCAGCCAGGAACCATGTGGTGACTACAGGCCCAGAGCAGCCAATATTGGAGTTCCTATTTAACCCTATCTCAAGAGTAAGCACTACAAACCCCATCTCATAGCTGGTGAAACTAAAGCTCAGAGAGATTAGATGGTTTGCCCAAAGTCTTACTGGCAGTGAGTGACAGGGTTGAGATTTGACTCCAGTTCTGCCTAATTCCAGATAATAAGCCACAGTGCATACTTTTGGAGGACTCCCTAGGTGTCAGGATCTACTGTAACCCCTTACACAGGTGTTGATCTCATTTAGCCCTCATGATAACCTTATTAGTTAAATGTCATCCTCATTTCACAAATTAGAGACCTGAGACAGAGAGAGGGTAAGTGACTTGCTCCAGGTCACCCAGCACTATCCTTTACAACATATTACCTTAAATACAACCTCCAAAACTAAAGACTTAGATTTCAAGTAAATTTGCTACAAAACACTAAGGAAAGGACATCTGAAAAGCAATCAACAGCAAGCTGTAAATTTCACCCAGCATGCCTCTAGGCCCCATGTCTGTCCTCTGCTGCCCCATTCTCTCTCCCTAGTTCTTGGGTGATCCCCAACCTGGGAGGGGAAGGCTGCTGCTGTCTCTGAGGCAGCAGGGCACAAAGTCCAGCCTAGGCCGGCCCAGCGTGGCACCTGCCCTGCCTGCACACGCAGGCACATTAATAGGTAATGCACTTGTGATGAGGAAGGGCAGGGCAGCGGAACACAGGGACCTTAAGCTCTGAGAGTCTTTGGGGCCCAGGGAGGAAGGATTGGGATGAACCCAAAGTTGAGTCAGACACTGGGGACTCTAGAAGTGATTCTCTCAAAGGAGGAAAAGCGTAGGTAACCCGACAGGAAAAAAGGCAAAAGAAAACCTGACATTACTTTCAAGCCACGGCCAGGAAAGTGAAATTCAAGCCCATGGTGGGGGATGGGAGGTTGAGTTTCTTCAAAGTGGGTTGCCTGAAACCTATACTCACCAAATGTCCTCCACAGCTGAAATTTCTCCCCACACATCTCTTTGCACCAGTGAACACGTCAAATGCTCCCTTGACATTAGCCAGCCCCCCAGCTTCTGCTGAACTTCCAGCCATCTCTTACCCAGGGGAGCAGAATCAGGAATACCTAACGCCTTGTTTTGATGAGACTTCTTCCAGTAAGAGTAGTCCCCTCTGTGCCCCTACCAAACCTCAGTTTCAACACTCAGTGCCCAGCCACGGGTGACTATGAGTGTAGGGGCTTCCTCCCAGCCACATGACTGGCAATTTGAGGACACAGACTGGGTGCTCAAAATATGCTTTTTAAATGAATGGCTGCTCACTCCTTGCCCCTCACCTTGGGCACCTCTGGGCCTCTCTATGGAAAGCAGGGAAGGGAGGGAGAATCACTCTGACCTTGCCTCATGAATTTTGCCCCCTCAGATCTGGGAAGGGGTTCAGCTTGGACCAAAGACACTGGCCCTCTGGGGCTCTGGCAGGGCCTGCGGGTAGCTCCAGACACCCTGGCTTAGGCCCTCTTAGAAGGCCTGGTGAGGAGGTCCACCCACTAGGCCCCTGGGATAGCCTTCTCTGGCCTTGGGGCCTCAGCAGTTCCTGCATAGCTTTGGAAACAGCACTAGAAATGCCATGGGTGGATCCAGCAGCTCCCAGTGAAGGTCTTGGAGCACCAGGGACCACCAGAGAGGTGTCTCACCTGGACATACCTTGGAGAGGAGGCTCTGCCCGAAGGAGCTGACTGGCCAGAGCTGGCTCCTCACACCCTTGGTACCTCCCCTCCTCCCCACTGCAGCTCAGCTGCCTCTCAAGTCCTAAGAAATGCCCCTGGACAGGGAGAGTTTCACAGAGCTGCTCCTAAGTCATCTTTAGAGGTCAAAGGGCAAGAGACATCCAGCTTCCCTTCTTCAATATCACCATGGGCTCCAACAGTCCTAGGCTGGGGGCACTAGGAGGGAGGGGATTTGCCCACTGCAGAGCATCTCAGATGAGTGTCCTGCCTTGGGCCAAGGCTGGAAGGAATCCCAACCTCAGAATTTCCAGTCCTTGGTAGGAGAAAGGAAGTTTTCTGGAGATGGAGCAGTTTACTATCAATGTCCAGGCCCTCATTTTATGGAGATCTCTCTGGCAGCCAGAGGACCCTCGACTCTCCAAGGTCCCAGTCCACCCAGATCCCTCCCCTCCCCCAGACGGGGTTAGAAAAGGGCGGCTAGCACAGGGGATGTCCATCCTCCACCCACCCCTCCGGGACCTCGGGTCCCTGTTGCTTGGGGCACCTCTTGCTGTTCTGACCTTATGCCGGAATTCTCGGGCCACCTTCCGGTCCATGGCTGGGCGGGATCGATCAGTGCAGCTGCACGACCCCTTCCTTCGGTGCCGGGCTACCGGGAGCTGGTTAGAGCAGGCAACCGTGACAGTCGCCGCCTTCTGCGGGGGACTAGGGCGGGGCCTGGAAACGGTGGGGGCGGATCCTGGGCGAAGGAGCCGGCGGGGCGGGGCTGCTGGGAGGCAGAGACACCTGTCCTGTAGCGTCGCCTCCTCCTGAAGCCTCGGAGAAATGGGCCCCCGAGTGTGGGACTGCTGGCCGCGGCCGGTAGTGAGTGCGGCTGGCTTTTCTTTTGAAGAACTTCCCAAACATATTGAGGAAGAGTATCGCGGAGACCTGGACAGGAAATTTGTGATATTTTGCGCCTGCAGAAATGCAGAGTCCCGAGACTCTTAAACTGGTTGGGTAGCAGGTGCAGTAATGGCAGTTTTCTCTGGACACACGGTAGAGGTCCACCTGCCCGGCTGATACAGGGACTCCTGCCGCCCATCTCACTTTGGGTGTGCCTTCCACAATGGTCTCCTCCAGGCACTTTTCCCACCAGAAATCAGTCCTTGATCTGTGGGTAGGACTGGGTCTTATTGTGGCCCACAAAAGTCTAAACCAGTGTTGGGGGGGGGGGTGCCCCCACCCACAGACTTCCCCTCCTCTCTTCCTTAAGTGCTCCCCTGGCCCTCAACAAATCCAAAACCAAAATCAACACACACCTTCACTGAAGCATGGAAGGGCCTGGCTGTGACATCTGATTTGTGGCTGACCTTTATCCAGAACACACACTCTCCGGCCCATTTGACTCAATACAGCCAAAATGTTCCCTGCCTGGGTCAAATTCTGGGCGCAAACAATAATGAAGGAGGCTTGGGACAGAGGAAAGAGGGGGGCAGGAGAGGAGTGATAAGCCCAGGTGAAGTGGGTGGATGGGATAACTATGGAGCTTATGCCTGAACCTAACCCAGATTGGGTGTCTGACTAGTTTGCACATAAGGGGCAAGAGAAAGAAGATGGACAAATGGTTGTAACTTCAGGGACATATAAAGGCACCTCTCAGGATGGGAATATAGCTTAGTGATATGGTGCTTGCCTAGCATGCTCAAGGCCCTGGGGTTGAGCATGGGGGGGGGGAAGGGGGGGCGGAGTGGAAGAGCCCCTTCTCAGAGTGCTGTCCCGCTGTGGGCTAAATTATTACCTAGTTTAATCTGTAAATCCCTCCTGGGGAAGAATTGCCTTACAATATTATCCAAGTCTTCACCTTTGTATTAACTAGGTAAGACAGAGATTAAAGAGAGATAAGATGTATGAGATTTTTCAACGGTCCAGAAAAATGTCACAAAGCATCTTCCCCTCCAACTTACAACACTGATTTGCTGCATTTCCTAAATGTGTCATGTGGCTGTTTATTTCTTATATAGAATCCAGGCAGAGTGATAAATGTCCTTACCCAAAAGATGCAGTCTACTGACCACCCAATCTTTTTTTTTTTTTAACATGACCACAACCTCCATGGATTCTCTCCTTCTTTAAATGCTTCCCACTTGGCTTCAAGGACAGCACTGAGTTCTGGTTTTCTCTTCCCCATGCATGTTTCTTCCCAAGCTTCCTCTGAGACCTCCCTGCCTCCACCCATTCCTTACCCAGTTTTTTAATGCCCCATCCTTGACTTTCTCCTCTTCACCTTCCCTTCTATGCCCATGTTTTCAGATAATCTGTGTGATGATAGCCTCAGAGTTCTATTTACCATAATATGACTAGTGTAGGGCATGGCACAAAATAGATGCTCAAAAAGTTTGTTAAATGAATGAATGAATGTGCACATCCAAAATTATACCCCTACCTGGGGGCCTACTGACCAAATCTCCTCCTCCTTGTCCTCTTCCTCCTCATAATTATCTGCAAGGACTGGCATCTAGTTGGTGTTTCTTAACTGTTAGCCATGTGAACAATGCACAACCTCCCAAGGCTTTCAGATTCAGCTTTCTAACACTTAAAAATTCATCTTGGACAGAGAGTGTGCTTTGTTCACAATTTTAAAGTTGTTTTGTCAGTCTGGCCTTGATGGGAGCAATGATACGGCAGTATGAGGCACTAGAACAACCTAGCTCAGTCAACATTTCCTGAGCTAGTGCTGGCATTCAGAGGAAGGACTCATAGTCATTCTCCAAAGATGTTCACAACCCGGATAGGTTGGGGATTTGGGAGCCCAGAGTCTGCTCCTGACTACTGACCACCAAGTGGCATGTTCCAGGCTTCAGTGTGACCCTCTGTAAAAGTAGAAGTTAGGATTGGACTCATTCAGCATCTCTGATTTCTGGTGGAAGCGGCTTCCAGGATCCAGGTTAGGGAGCTGAGGTTGCACAGGTGCCTCTGCTCCCTCAGGGGACTGAATGAGCTGAATCCAGGCTCCCTGGGGAGGGTAGTAGCCACAGGCCTAGAAAGGGAGAGTCTGGACCATCTTCTGGCGCCTAACTTATGGTAATGAGCTAGGCTGTCCTGTCACTCTAAATCTGGGAGGAGCCAAGATCTTGGGAGGAGGGTCAGGGAGGGAGCGGGGACACAGGAGCTAGTCAACAAGTAGTGTGGAGTGGAGGTGTGACCCTGCCTTGCTGTGTGAGACATCTCAGAGCTGGACCCAGCGCTCAGGCTCTCCAGTTCCCCTGCGTCCCTATGGGATTCCCGACGTCCATGCTCTGCCTGCTACTGGCTTGCATCTGGAGGCTCCGGGGTGAGCCTGCTCTGGAGTCCCGGCAGGTGCAGCCTGTCGGTGAGAGCAGTGTAGACAGGGGAGGCTAGGGCTGTGGGAACTTTTAGGGAAGCAGGTTGTGCAGGCTGGAGAGAGAGTGGAAGGAGAAGGTCTGATCTGAGGGAGGGAGGGGAGGGGGTCTGGAAAGAGGGAAGCTTACCGCAAGAGAAGCAGGTTTATGGCGCAGAGGAGAAAGGGTTTCAAGTGAGACTGGGTGGAAGACTTGAACTGGGGTTCAAGAAGTGGAAAGAAGGAGGGAGATCCTTTCCTAGAAGGGTCTCAGGGAGCTGGAAGAAGGACTTGAGAAGGCTGGAGAGAGAGAGAGAGAGAGAGAGAGAGAGAGAGAGAGACTAAGGGAATGCCACGTGATGCCAGAGAGGCTTCCTAGTAGGTGGGGAAATGGTGGTGGGAAACCCAGACAAAGGGACGCAAAGCCCCCCTTAATCTTCCCTCTCCAGCTGCATCAGCCACACCTGGGGCAAGTGCAGAGCTGCCGCCTGAGCCAGCCCAGGGACCCAGGTAAGTAGGCACATGATCTAGTTACCCCACCCACTGTTCCCATCCCTATTCCTGGTCCAGGTGACCCTAGGGGTTAGCACATAGAATGGGGTATGCCTGGGGGGTGAAGGGAGGCATGGTCATCCTAGCCCCTAACCCATGCCAGGCTTGATTCTCATTTAGCCACAGCTACCAGGAGGTGACCCTTGCCGCAGGGAATGCCACAACAGTGATGGGAAGCCAGGTAAGAGGACCTGGGAATAGGGTCTTCATTGGGTAGCGGGTATATTTCTATCTGGATGGGAGGCTGCCAGGGAACTCTGTAGATACAGGAGGGCTGTCTTGGGAATTAGAAGGGAACAGATTCCTGGTATGTGTCTGAAGTGTGAAAATCCATAAAACACTTCTATTCCCATTTTCCTAATCTCTTGGGGCCCTGAATCCAGCTGTGATTTTTTTTTTTTTTTTTGGCAGGGGTGGGCACAGCTGAGCTCTGCCTTCCTACAGGTGAAAGCAGGCAGGTGAGGCTCTAGGAGAGTGAAGTTCTCTTTTCCCTGTCTGCATTGCAAAGGCCCTCAACCCTGTCATAGGCCCCTCTCCATATGCTGTACAGTGCCCGGGAATACTGCCTGAGAAGCTAGCAAAAATAGGGCCACCTGCTGGAGGTTGCAGGGAAGGATTGATTGAGACGTAGAACACTGAGCTACTGTCCTTTGAGTCATGACCATTTCCTTGGTCCATCCTCCTGGATCCTCCTCATTTGTGGGAAAGGTGGTGGGGTTTGTTTTCTCCCTTTACCAAACTTTGTTGGCCTCTGGATCAGGGATTCAGGTTTTCTTTTGAATTCCAGTGTACATTGGTCTCCTTTTTTTTTCCTACAACCACAGACATGTTATACATTCAGCCCACCTGTGGTGACATTCCCCAGAGTGGCTTGAGTCACAGCTATGTGCACCACCCCAGTGAGCATCTCTGGGTGACCAGTTGGGCCAGCATGTTGGGGAGCATCATTTATAATAGAAAACAATGAGACCCAGCTATCTGCCTTTTGGAAATAGTTATAAAGGCCTATGACGGGCTGAGGTAGGCGGGGGTGAGCTGGGGTGGGGCACACTTTTTCTATAATGTGGATTTGCTAGGTGTTTTACTTCTCCTTTACCTGCTCTTCCAGGCTCCAAATTTTAGAATTTTAGTCAGATACAGTTTGAGTTGAAAAGGTGATCTTACAATGAACAGATGAACTCAAGTCTCCTGATTGAGCCAGGCTTGTCCCTCTGCTCACAGGTCTCTAGGAATCCACACATTTTAGTGGGAAAATGATCCTTACCCAGATATCTCATTCCCCAATGGACTTCCATCCTTCCTAGTTTCCTGGCAGCCTCCATCCCCTTTTCTTATGGAAAGGCACAAACATCTGAACCAGGTGACCTGGTTTCTCACATTATTCAATAGAGCAATAAGTAGTTTGAATGGTCTTACTCTAAGGTGACTAATGGTGTGTGGGTCTGAGCTCCCTGCACCAAGGACACTTCCAGGGCTCCTATCTGGAATGCCCTCATCTGCAAGGAATGAGCCATGATCCCAGACCAATAGCCAACTAACCTTGATTTTAAGACAGTCCAGCTTCTGCAGTGTTCAGGCATTTTCCAGGGAACTGGTGGTTTAGGCCAGCAGCTTCATGAATTTGAATAAGAGAGAGAGAGAAAAGAAGTTCATTATTATTTTCAGAAACCTCAATGCAACTGAAGTTTAGCTTGCCTTTCAGTTATCACTACAATAGGCTTCAGACCACAAGGGTGACTGTCACCAGAAGGAATCACAGATATTTTCCTATCACCTTACACTTGTTGATATCTCAAGATATCATTTATGCTCGTTACTACTTCAAAATTTTGGCAGTGATAAGATCTTGTCATTGCATGTGTTAATAAAGAAGCACAAATATTACTAAAGCACACACTTCAATAATACATTTTATAGTTATAGTATATTTGATTTCCTTTTTAATCTTAGGTTTTATTTGGTATATTTGAAAACATTACTCTGAGAAGGTGTCTACATAGTCTTCACTAGATTGTTAAAGGGATTTTTGGCATAAAACTAATTAAGAACCCCTGAGTCATCTTGAAGATGAATCATTTGGACAGAATTTAAAGACTACTCCAAAAATGGCTTTGGGGCATGGGCTGTCTTATCCTCACAATATGAGTCTCAGAGGCCACATCTAAGGTGGGGGTGAAGTGTGGAGACACAAACAATGAGCTTAATTTAGAGCTCTCCAGGGGCCAAAGGAGGATGGTGGCTTTACCATTTCCTGTTTCCTGTGGTCTCCAAGGGTCTTTAGGGTAGGTTGCTACAGGTGGGAAGCCTGACCCCTAAGGCTGACCTGGGTCTCTGGGTCAGGACTGCTAAGAAGACCCAGAAGGTACCAAAGGATGGTAAGAAACCTGGCAAAGGATGGGTCAGCGACCTCCCAGATGCTCAGAAGGACAAGGAGAGGGAGGGTATGAGTGTTAGAGCATGAGGCAGAGAGACTTCAGCTGCTAAGAAAGGAAGGGCAGAGAGCTGGGGCTGGGCTCCTGGGACCAAGGCTTCTGAATATTTGCTATGTTTCAAGTCATTTGCTGGAGACCAGGGATTCAGCCCCAGGCATGCAGAGATGCCCGTGAGGGGGAAGACATAGAGATCAACCCACAGTGAGGTTTGTGGCTGGTTGGTAGTGAGAACAAGAACGTAAGCTCCATGCAGGGACTCTGTCTCTTCACTGCACCTAGCTCAGTGCCTGGAACATAGTTCTGGGTACTTTGTACTGATGAGGAGGCTGAATCTCTAAGAGGGAGCCCACTGTGTTGGTCCCGGTCCCAGGTGTCATTAGACCCCTCAGACTGAAGTTCTGAGAGGTCAGGTGTCCGGTCATCTAGTGTGTGGCGAGTGACACTCCTGATGCTCAGGACTGAACTTTCAGGTGGTTTATGTCTGAAGAGACCATGTGCTGGGAGTGGTCTGGAGACAAGGCATTCTGAGCCCTGCCTTGCTGTCTCCTCAGATCTGTGGCCTTAAGGAGAGTTCTAACTTGGAGCTGAGTTCCTAGAACAAGTAGTTGGATCCCTGAGGCCCTGCTTTTTCTGCTCTTGGAAGAGCCCCAGGGGAAGGTGGGGTGGGGAGGGGTGTGGGGCTTCTTGTGTTCCTCACCTCTGCCCCCTGTTTGTTCTCCAGACAAGGGTTTCTGTGTGGGGCTGTAGAGGGCAGTAGGCTTCCTGTAGAGGGAGGGAGAAGGAAGGGGAGACTAGGGCATAGACTGGGGGGTATGTTCAAACTTTGGGCATCACCAGGCTCCCCAAGATGTCACTTTAGAGGGTCTAGAACAGTCCTGGGTCTAGAATATCCTGAAAATTCTCTGGTATCTCTCAATGGTGGCCAGGGGAGGTAAATGGCTTTAGCACTACACCAAGGAGCAGGAGAGCTTCCTCTTTACAGATAATGAACAGAAGAGCTGTGACCTCCAGGAAGCCCACCTAGGAGCTGGCCCTGAGGTCAGCCCTTCATTGTCCTCCCCATCTTGTCTCTAAAAGGAAGCCGAAGCCCTCAACTCCTTGGCCATGTCTTCCTGGGAAAGGCGGCTCCATCGGGCCAAGTGTGCGCCATCTTGTAAGTGGCACCCTCCCTGTAGTCTACAGGCTGTTTGTGACAGGTTCCTGACCCATAAGAAATTTTGAGGGCAGGAAGGGTCTTCTCTCTGGCCTCCTGTGACCTCTTTTCCTGACTCAGGTCTCTCTATACCTTCCCTATTGGCCTCCAATGCCACTCTGCTTTTTCTTCCTACCTGAGGAGAGCTGCATCCCAGGGCCCTGGGGCTCCCCTCACACCGTCTGACTCCAATGAAATTGGGCTTCTTATTCAGTGGCTGGTTTTCTCTCCCCTTCATTCTGTTTCTGTGCCTTCTTTCTACTTCCAGTGGCATTGCTCTTCACTATGTCCTGTTTTCTGTGTCCTCTCCTCTCACCTGTCCTGTGTCTATGGTCCCTCCCCTCATCTGTCTCATGCCTGGGCCTGCCCCCATCACCTGCTCCGTGTCTGTGGCCTATCCTCCCACATCATGACTGCTTCCTTCACCACGCTGTTCTACTTTGCTTCCTCTTCACCTGTGGCCTTCTCACTACAAGCTTCCCATAAAAGGGCCTCTCCCCATCTCCTGGCCTCTGACCCTGCCCTGTGGAGCACAGAGGAAGAATACTACCTGAGGATCTTCCAGACGGTCTCTCCCTGCTCACTCCTCATGCTCTATTTTCTCAGTTTTGCTCCCTTGCCTGCCTGCCAGGATTTCAGCTTAGGGAATTGAAGGCCTGACAGCCTTGGGGCCTCTTGGTGCATACTAAAGGCAGAGCCTCTGCCACCCCACCTGGCCTGCCTGCTAGAGAGTGGGCAGGGCTACAGTCTGAGGTATCCCTCAAGGCCCCCATTCAGGCCAGCTAAGAAATATTGGGGCTGCCTGGGATAAGGACCTGATGCCCAGCACAAGAAAGTATGTATCACTGGGTTCTGCCCGTCTTGGCTCCATTGGGAGGTGACTCTGTGTCTCCCTTGCAGATTTGTTCTCCTGCTTTAATGGGGGCGAGTGTGTGCACCCAGCTTTCTGTGAGTGTAGACGCTTCAATGCCAGTGGACCACGCTGCCAGATGGGTGAGTCTGGGCTGTACCCTTAACCCCCGGGGGTGGGTGCTGAGGCCTGCTGGGCTGAGGGGAACTCACCAGCCTCCAGCCTGGTGCCCAGTACAGCAGTGCAGAGAAGCTCTCTTTCCCCTGCCTCAGTGTACAATGCCGGCCCTGAGAGGGATAGTATTTGCCGGGCGTGGGGGCAGCACCATGTGGAGACATTTGACGGCCTCTACTACTACCTCTCTGGGAAGGGCAGCTACATGCTGGTGGGGCGCCATGAACCTGAGGGGCAGAGCTTCTCCATCCAGGTGAGGTCTCCCCTGCCCTGTCTGTCCAGAAAGTTCTACCAGTCCATGGTGGGTGGGGAAACCTGGGCTCTGCTTATGTTGGAGAACCTGGCACCCTCCTGTCCCCATCATGGCCAGCTGCAGCCCAGGGAGTCTGCACCTAGAAGGGGACATGGCTCCACAGTTCTTGCTTGCCTACTGAGTCTCAGCTATCCCCTGGCTATTCATTCATTTACTGAAATATTTGAGTGCTACTGTACTCTTTTCTGGGTACAAGGTTTGGGGGTGGAAGGCCCTGAGAACAAGAGACAGATATGGAAAAAACAGACATGAGATGAAGTGAATCATTTCAAATACAACTGGGCATCAGACGGGACATTTAAGTTGGGATCTGAAGAAAGAATTAGAGTTAGCAAAAGGGAGAGCAGTGGGAGTGGGGATGGATAAGAAGACATTCTAGGTAAAGGAAATTCTGGGTATTAAGGGCCTCAGATAAAGTGCATGGTGCCTCAGAAGAGATGTTGGAGGTCTCAGATGACTCCATTTAGTCACCAACTCTAAAGAGACTAACCAGATGTGCTGCCTTTCCAAGCTGGTAGAGGAGCCCCTCTCTGGGTTAACATGACCTTGCCATTGCACATCTCTTACAAGGACTGCTTCTGGGTTTCATCCTCTACCAAATACTTCCTAGGCTAGGAGCCATGTTTTTTGTTTGGTTTTTCCAGTGTCTGCATTAGTGCTCAGTAAAAGCTTGTCAAATATATGAACATACGTGTGAGAGGCACTATTTTGAAGACTTGATTTCCTTGCCACCCATGTGTTGAGTGAGGAGTCACCTCCAGGCCAATACACCTGCCTGGAGAAAAATCTACCTGGGAACCTGCTCTGCCTGAGGGCACCTTGGTCTTTAGGGTCAAAGGGTTGGGGGTTTGGGGAGATCCTAGCACTCAGTGTCACCCCTCTGCCAGCTGGGTATAATCCTCCTGCCTCAGGAATATGTGTACCAAAAGGCTGCCCTGGAGGCCATGCGCAGGATGGGCTGGGGTGGTGACCAACTCTCCCCTCTCTGCCTTGGGGAATCATGCATCAGAGTTTTTCATGACTGTCATTTCATGATGGATATGTTATGATTACTTAGATTAATGGGGTGCCACACATTGATGGGTTATGAAACAACTTAATGACTTACACCTAGCATTTAAAAAAGAGAAAGAAAATGTAAGAATGCATTAACCATTAATGTGGATATTAATTTTAAACTTTGTTTTACTGTTTTACTTATATATGTATGTCTTACTCTGGGTTATGGTAAAAAATGCTTAGAAAGCTGTTAATTAGAACTTGGGTGGCTTTCATAGTTCCCATTTTTTAGTTGAAGGAGCTTGAGCCTTTTTAACCACATCTAACAGTCATCTAATGGAAGGTTGGTTCCTGGGAAGGGTTTCTGGACATGGCAGGAAGACACTGTCACACCTTTTCCCTAAGCTCTGGGAACCCTACCCTACCCAGTGGGTTTATGGATTCTGAAGGGAACAGAGAAAAGATATGTGTGACTAACAGCATCAGAGTGATGTGTGTGCCTATGTGTGCAGGGGAGCTGTCTCTGCGTGCCAGGGGTATGGAGAGTGTGCTTATGACATGTGCACTGAAAGTGTCCTGTGAGTATATATATGGGTGTGTGTGTGACTGTGTTTTGAATGAGTGTGGAATGGTGTGAATTCATAATCAGCCTTCAATCTGATCGGACAACCTGGGAAGATAAACAAAACTGTCCACAATCAGGGAGATAGTACAATGGTCTGAAGGGAGCCCTGAAATCCAATCCATGCAGACCTGGTTTAGAATCCTGTCTCTACTATTTGCAAATTGTGTGTTCAACCTTAATAACTCCACCTCTAAAATGCAGATACTCATAGCTCTAACCTCCCTGTGGTCCTGTGAGGACTGGGAGAGGTCATAGAGGAAAGATGCTTGTCTCACAGGGGTAGGCCACATTAGCAGAAGCTCAACAAGGAGTGCCACTCAGGGCCAGGACTGTAGCAGGAGCCTGTGAACTGGCCTTTGAACTCTCCAATCAGGTGCACAACGACCCACAGTGTGGCTCCGCCCCCTATACCTGCTCAAGGTCTGTCAGCCTCTTCCTTGCGGGTGAGCAAGAGATCCATCTGGCCAAGGAAGTCACCCATGGAGGCATGAGGTAACTATGACTCTTCCACTCTGAGCCATCCTCCATCTCTACACTGGGAAGGGGACCATCTGCCCTTCTCAAGCCTAAAGGAAATTATTTTCAGGGGACAAACAGCACTTTCCACCATCAGGACAGAAGCTTACTGTTGGATCAACTGGGTTTCAGTAGGGTTGGCAGGAAGTTGAGTCTTTCATAGTTTTCTGCAACCCTTAGACTCTGTGGGTTTCCAGACGGCAGATTTTCACAAGATGGCAGAATTTTCTAGAGATTTGGGTTTACTACTATAAACATACTTAATTTTTTTCTTTTATAATTTGATGGAATTCTCCCCAAATGAATCACACAGTTTCTACCTCCTCTGAGCAGACTACACTCATTTTCACACTTTTCTGATGATGCAAGGTCATTTTGAATGTTGGTTATCTTGCTAGGCCATCAGGGATGCCCCGGGACCACCTGAGGGGTGAAGACTCTGCTCTCATACTAAATAGCCCCAGACTGTGGTTCTGTCTCAATTCTTTCTTACTTCCCTTGCTGTCCAATGTCACTTCAGGTTGCTGCCAGAGGGGCTCTTCCTATTTTGACTTTTGCCCCATCTGTATCTCTTGCTTCAGATCTGGAAACTGGGTACCCAAATTTTATGGGGCTGAGAATAAGACTAAGACCCTAAGCTTTCTGCTGTAAATATTGGACTGACATTTAGATCTTTTCGCTGGTTAGGCACTACTTTTGTTTCTCTTTTCTGATTTCCAGCTGGAGTGAAAATTGGCAAATTCTAGATTGGCTAGGGTCCCTGTACCAGTAAAACTGGGAAAGTGATCAGGAGTGCTAAAGCTCTATGTCTTTTCTTGGTCTCTCAGTTTTCTCCCTCTTTTGGCTTCTAGACTTATCACTATGTTTTTGCTCACCATTAAAATAAATAAACAAATAAATAAAGTAGAAGTCCACTTTATATCTGCTTTCTTGTCTGGGAGAAAGGAGGTGGCAAATTCAATTTCTCTAAGATTTATCCTTGCCAGGAAAATTGCAATATTGAAAATGCTTTTGCCAGCTATGTTGGTGCATGCCTGCAATCTTGGCAGCTTGAGAGGAGAGGCTGAGGCAGGAAGATCTCAAGTTTGAGGCCAGTCTCAGTAACTTAGTGCAACTGTGTATAAAAATTTAAAAAAGGAAATTAAAGGAATGTCATTCAATTGTAGCATGCCCTCAGGTTCAATCCTGAATACCAGAACAGAGAGAGAGAGAGAGAGAGAGAGAGAGAGAGAGCCCTCTGAAGAGTAAAATGCCTCTTCCAGGCACATGGGAATTCAGGGGAGAGATATTGTGGGGGCTTCAGATCATGGAGTAGGGGATGGCTGGTCCTTTGGTTAAGGGATAGGGTCGTAGAGATATGTGGACTCCCTGAAGCTCTGTGCTATGCTCTTCAGAGTCCCACTGCCACATGTGATGGGGAACGTGCGTCTGCAGAGGCTTGCTGGCTATGTCATTGTGCGGTACCAGTCAGCCTTCACACTGGCCTGGGATGGCGCCTCAGCTGTCTACATCAAGATGAGCCCAGAGTTCCTGGGCTGGACCAAGGGGCTGTGTGGAAACAACAATGCTGACCCCCAGGATGACCTGATGACCAGCTATGGTGAGGTGCAGGGCATGTGATTTCTGAAAGGCTTTGGTGGGAATTGAGACTGGGTTTGGCTGGGAGGGCCTGGAGGGGACTTGGGGTAGAGATCTGGGGTCATGGTCATAGTGTTAAGGACCCAGTGGGAGGCCAGGGACCTCTTGCTAAATGTGTGGCTTTAGGCATGTTCTCAATACTCTGGACCTCAGTTTCTTCATTTATAAAATAGTCATGATAAGAATTCCTACTCAGGTTATGTGCAGATATAATGAACACTTTCCAGGTGGCAGAGAGAGGAGCCAGGGAACAGGGGCCTAGAAAAAGCCAGGAAGAGAAAGGGCCCAATTAGACCTGAAGGTACCCATGGAGGGATGGGTAGGAAGTAAAAATGAAGGTCTCAGGATAAGTCATGGTGGCTCCAGCTGGGAAGGAAAGTGACTCCTTTTGAGCACTCACAATGTGCTAACCACTTGACTGCATCATCTCTAGTAGTCTTTGTAGTAATGTCACTAGGGGATTATTTCTCCTTTCTACACATGGGGAATCAGGCTCAGTGAGGTGCAAGAACTTTTTCTCTGTTGGTTGCATGGTATATGATACTCTGAGTTTGGAGCAGTAGGAAGCCACTACAGGTTCTTGAACATTTTGGGAGGTTGCAGGGGAAACTGGGGATTTAACTCAGGGGCACTCAACCACTGAGTCACATCTCCAGCCCTATTTTGTATTTTATTTAGAGGCAGGGTCTTACTGATTTGCTTAGCACGTTGCTTTTGCTGAGGCTGGCTTTGAACTCACAATCCTCCTGCCTCAGCCTTCCTGGCCACTGGGATTACAGGCATGTGCCACTACGCTTGGATGAACATTCTTGACTATTATAGATGAATAGCTTTTCTATCAGAATGGTTCAGCTGGGAAGTTCAGATTGAGACCGCAGCTCAGGAGGCTGGTTCTTCAAAACTTCTTACCTATTCCATGGCACCTCAGAGCCCACTGCTCCTCCTACCTCTACCCTCCCTGATTATGTGACTTCTTCCCTACAGGAAAGCTGACGGATGATGTAGCTGAGTTTGTGCACAGCTGGCAGGAGCTGCTCCCCAACCACCCTCCAGGGCCCACAACCTCCTCCCTTCCTCGCCCACCATGCCTGCAGCAGAACCCAGGAACCATGCAGGTCTGGGCCCTAAGGAGAGTCCCCCACCTCAGTGCCAAGCTGTAGTTGGTTTCCTGTCAAGTTCTTAGAAAGCCATTGGCCACCGGGACCCAGGCAACTGTTGCCATTCCTTCTCATCTGCACACTCCACCTCCTCCTCTTCTCCCTCCAGATGAAGTCAGGGTCCACTAGGGCCTGGTGAAGTGAGGGCTATGTGTAGCTCTTCCAGCTTCCAGCCCCAGTTCCTGGCCCTTACTTCATTCAGGGTGTGTATGAGCGTTGTGAGGCACTGCTACGACCCCCCTTTGATGTCTGCCATGCCTACGTCAGTCCTCTGCCCTTTGCAGCCAGCTGTACCAGTGATCTCTGCCAGTGAGTGGGAACCAGGAGTTGTGTGGTGTTGGGTTGTGGGGAACCCCTTCCAGTATTTGGGGTGAGGGCTCTGAATGTGGGCCACTGATAATCCCAGATATGCTTCTTAAAGCTCTGGAATTCTCATCTGCCTAGGTGGGGCAGAGCTTCCCCCATTAAACTGAGGCTCCGAGATGGGGTCTGATCCCTTCAGGGTCACACAGCAAGTCAATGGCAATGCTGGGACTGGAATCCAGGTTTCTGCCTTCAGTCTAGGGATTTGTATGCCTAGATGCCTCCTCAGCTCCCTTTCAAACTGAGGGGGAGGAGGGGTACCCTGAAGCCCTGTAGTCTCTACAAGGTGCTTTGGGACTGGTGGCAGGTTAGACCTTATTCCCATGTGACCTTCAATTTCCTTGCACAGATCAGGAAGCGACGAAGCCACCTGGTGCCGAGCACTGGCTGAATATGCTCGGGCATGTGCACAGGCTGGGCGGCCCCTGCAGGGTTGGAGGACCCAGCTCTGGCAATGCAGTAGGTGCAGCCTGGTGGTGGGCAGGGAGGGCTTCAGACAAGCTCTGATGTGGCCTTTGGGTGACATTTTCAGTCCTCGGCTGAATGCTCTGTCCTGCTCAGAACCATAGTCATCAGAGCTTTAAGCTCTGAGGTTCCAACTGCATGTGATGGGACAACTGAGGTTCAGGGTCAGGGATAGAGGACTGGCCTGTGAGATGAGGCTGGTCTGAAAGCCTCCGAGGCCCTTGCCAATTTCCTGGGCACACAGTGCTCTTTTTAGAACTAGAGAATCAGGAAAAGCAAAAGCTTTGCACTCCCATCCTGGGCCCTGGAGTGAACGTGGGTCCTGGCAGAGCCAACAGGCCACTGTTCCCTTCCTCTCAAGCCGTGCACTGCAAAGAGAAGGACTTTACCTACAATGAGTGCATTGCCTGCTGCCCCGCCTCCTGCCAGTCCCGGACGTCCTGTGTGGACAGCGAGATTGCCTGTGTGGATGGCTGCTACTGCCCCAACGGTATGCTGGGGGAAGTGGAGTTAGGATGTGGCAGCAACTTTCTGACCTAGCACAGAAACAGTGGCTCAGAGACAGCCTATTTGTGGAATGAATGAGTAAAAGAAGAAAGGAGCAAACAACAAATAAGTGAATGTCTTAAGAGATGTGGGTGGAACTGTGGCCTCTTTAGACAATCATCTGATTTTATTGGGATATTTAACTTAATTGGGACTGAGCTTTTTAAGGTGTGTAGATGAGGATAAGTCATTCATTTATTCACACATGTATTTATTTAAACAGCTATCCATATACAGTTATTTTATTTTGTTTTTTATGGTGTATAAATTTGCATCACATTTGTAGGGTACAATTCACTTAGCTAGGCAGAGGGTTGAGATAAAAAAAAAAGCTGTAGGCATTGACTTTAGGGATCAGGATCTGGTTTCAGGGATAAGACACACATCTGACGCCAGTCTAAGGTATGATGTGGTAAAAATCAGCTCAGGGGTTCAAACAAGGAGAGATAGAGGAATTCATGGGAGAGGAGGTGAGGGAAGGCTGTCTGGAGAAGATGGTACCTAGACTGGTTCCAGATGCATGATAGGCCTTTGAAAGGTGGTGAGGAGAAGCTAGTTAGTGTGCAGGTTGGGGGTGGTCCTCTGAGCAGTGGGATTATTACCCAGAAGAAATTCATGTCTGGTCTGAGCTTAGGATTTAGAGGAGATGGTTTGAAAGTGGGCTCAGAAGTGAACACATCTGTGTAAGGGATCTTTATTGCAGGCCCTGGGAAACTATAAATGGCTCATGAACATAGGCAGAGGTGACTTAAGCAGGCCTTTGTTGTTGCCCTAGGGCTGATCTTCGAGGATGGGGGCTGTGTGGCACCAGCTGAGTGTCCCTGTGAGTTCCATGGGACTCTGTACCCACCTGGCTCTATGGTGAAGGAAGATTGTAATACCTGGTCTGTATCCACTGCCTAGAGGGAGGGGCCTGAGGTGGCTGGGGCTTTCTGTTAGGGCTGCCCATCTGAGGTCTAGCAGTGCTGATGACACAGGGGCATTCACTCAGCTTCTGTGAATCTCAGGGGATCTCACCAGATACAATCCATAGCAGGTAATTCTCTACCACTCATTTTAGAGATGGGAAGATGGAGGACTGGGAGCAGGAGATCTGGGGCCCTTGCAGTCTCCCAGCAACTATTCCAATCCTGGAGAGGTAACCTTTGCTCCCTGGTCTCTGTGTTTCAGCACGTGCACTGCTGGCAAGTGGATGTGCAGTACTGCTGTCTGTCCAGGTACATTAGACCCTTATCTTGGACTCTGTCCCCTTCTACTAGTATCACAGATTTTGGGGCAGGGATGTTCCAGGGGCCAGGCCTACTGGGAACCACTCAGCTCCCCTTGTTTCCTCAGAGCTGGCTTTGCCTGACCAGGGAATTGCTCCACCCCTGTCAGAAGGGTGTTATGTGGAGTCCTATATATAGAAGGGCCTTCCTGAGTTTGTGAGACTGAGACTGGTCCCCAAGCTCAGGGCCAGGTCCCCCTCAAAGGGAGTTCCCCAGGTAGGGCTGTGTCTGTCTTAAGATAGCTTTCTGAGGGCAGGTCTGGGTCTCTCCCTGACCAGGACTCTCAAGTGGAAAGCTTCTTAACTCTGCCTGATTCTGGAAGATAGAGTTCTGTCTTCAAGCTTGTGGCCTGCAAGGCAGAGACAATCCCTTTGCGGTAGCTCCCTTGGTCAGTGGCCTTTCTCTTCCTCAGCTGAGTGCTCAGTGACTGGTGACATCCACTTCACCACCTTTGACGGCCGGAGGTACACTTTCCCTGCCACGTGTCAATATATCCTGGCCAAGAGCCGCTCCTCGGGCACCTTCACAGTGACATTGCAGAACGCCCCATGTGGCCTGGTAAGTCTAGGGTGCCCAGGCTTAATCTTCTAGCTACTCCTGTCCACTATCCCTAGGGAGAGTAGGATTTAGGGGAGGCCCCCAGGTCTTTCCATGGCCCCCTGTCTGTTGCCTCTTTTCTCTGAGCAGAGCCAGGGTAGCATCTCTGTTGATTGAGAGTCATTTCCCTTTCCTGGTCCTTGGTGTTGTAATGAAATTTATAAATTGTATCTAATTCCACTTCATTTTCTCTGCTTCAGTGAATTGTATCTTCAACATTTCCATCATTCATTCATTAATTCATTCACACTGAACAGCAAACACTACTGGTGTCAGAGGTAGTGCTGGGTTTTGGAGACTGGGATGAGTTAGACGTGGCTCTGTCCTCCTAGGCCTTACAGTTTGGTGTGTGAAGATGAGGGGCTCCATAACCCACTATGTTACAGCAGCTATGAGAACATAGGGTGGTCTCTATGGAACAACTTTTCATTATTTTTGTTTTACCTGGCATTAGTGACAGGGGGTAAAGTGGAACAGGAAAGGTTTTCTGGAGGAGGTGACCCTAAAGTTATGTCATCCACCTATGAACATAACTGAAAAAATGGCCAACTTGAATGTCTGGGGAAGGTGGGTTGACCTTTTTGTGGTGACTACATTGTCCCTCAGCTGAGTGCGCTGAGCCAACCCTGAGAGTCCTAGTCTGGGCTTTGCTCAAGCTCCTCTCTGCACAATAGGGCAGGGACTTATACTTAGAGCCAGGGCAGCTGTCCCATCCTGCCTCCCTGTTGGCCTTGCTCCAGCCTCCACCCTAAAGGGCCTCCCTGCTCAGAGCAAATGTCAGCTGGATGTGCTCCTCCCTATCCCTGGAGACAAAGGCTGGTCTGGGGATGAAGTAGAGGCCAGGCTTTCTTCCTCTTTGGGCTCAAGCAACTCCTCCCTTCTTCCTACTAGAGAATGCCCCAGCTTGCCCTTGGCTACTGTGTTCCTGGGAGATGGCTTGTCCTCAAAGGTAGGATCACTCCTTTGCATCCTGCGAGAAGCAAAAGAGGGAAGGCAAATAGACCTCCAGGGTTCCTCCCCTTCATGGAGCTCTGGTCTTAGAACATCTGAGGGCTGGGGGTCCCTTACTCATCCCCCTGTCAGCTAAATGTGAGTTCATATTCATATTCCAACTCTACTCTGTTACCCCATGGATCATTCTAGCTCCTTCTCTTCCATATCTGGAAATAGTCACCTCAACAGTGGAAAACCTGACTTTTACCATCCACCATCCATTACATATTTGTTCAATTCCTGTGTGTGTGTGTGTGTGTGTGTGTGTGTGTGATTATCAGAATGATTAACCTATACTTCCAAGGAAAATTACTTGATCAACTAGACTACAGTGATTAGGCACAATTCATTTTGCCTTTAGGTGATTGCTTGGCTGAGGCAACCTTCTTCAATGCTGGACCCAGCCTCTTGATTATAAGTTCTTTCCACTGAGAGCCAAGTCTCCTCCTTTTGATTTCATTCACATGATTTTTCTCATGGCTAGATTGGGGTTTCGTTTTGGGAGGAAGAACACAGAGGTTAAGTGTCATTTCCATCATAGCTTATTGAGGGTAAATACTGTCAACCTGGTTTACCACTGTTGATGTTGACCTTCGTCACTGGGTAAGGTAGTGTTTGTCAGGTTTCTCCACTGTAAAGTTAACTGTTCCTCTTCCATACCATTCTCTTTTGGAGTACAATTCACTTAAAGAGTAGGGAGATATGCTTTCCCTCTTTGAAGATAGAGAATATACGAATTCTTTGAAATATTTTGGCCCAGGAGATTTGTCTTCTCCCTCCTTTGTTTATTCTTTTATTTATATCAGCATATATTTATGGCTATTTATTTTATGCTTTAGGATACAATATACTACTTCTTTACTTGTCATTCAAATTGTTCCAATTTGGCCATTGGGTGATCTTTCAGTTGGCTTCTGTGTTCCTTTGACAAATACCCATCATTGTGTGTGCGTATGTGTGTGTGTGTACGTGTGTGTATGTGTATGAATGTGTGTATATGCTCACACACTTTTGCTTTTTGGCCCTGCAAGATGCACTGTGCTTACTTATCTTGTATACTTTTGTCTCATTACTAGTATCATTCATTCCTCCAAAACTAGAAACGGGATCTTGGTTCCTTTCATTGAAGAATGGTATTAGAAACCCCAAGATTTGGGCACTTGGTATGTTCACTGCCACTAGGGTATCATTTCTTTTTGGTTTTGCTGACAGAGAGAGGAAATATATGTATAGCCCATGTACATCTTTGCATAATAAATGTACACGTCTATAAATATTTCTATATGTAACCATATGTATTTATATGTGTTAAACATGAGTTTATATTCATATTCCAACTCTAATCTATTACCACATGGATCATACTAACTTCTTCCCTTCCATATCTGGAAATAGTCACTTCAACAGTGAAAAACCTGACTTTTACCATCCACCATCCATTACATATTTGTTTAATTCCTGTGTGTGTGTGTGTGTGTGTGTATATATATATATATATATATATATATATATGTAAAATTATCAGAATGATTAACCTATGCCTCCAAGGAAAATTACTTGATCAACTAGACTACAGTGATTAGGCACAATTCATTTTGCCTTTAGTCTTATCAACTTATTTGCAAAGTTACTTAGGTCAATGTCTTTCCTCCCATCTCCTTCAGTGAGGTTATTTTATATTTGTAGTATAGTTCAATTCTTTGGGCACTGCTTCCATCCTTGGATCTTCCAACCTCCTACATGATTTTTTAAAATATGTATGTATTAGTTTTCATTCTTTGTGCTATAAAGTTCTGTTGGTTTTAATAAGTGCAGCCTTCCAAGAATTACATACACTTAAAAAAAATCTGTAGCCAACAAGAGAGGACCAACCAAATATTGTTGTAACTCTCTTTTGAAGACTGGAGACATTAAGTGATTTCTTTAAGGTTTTAAAGCTTTCAGTAGCATTAGGATTTGAACCTGAGACTTTGACTAATGGGTATAGGCTTTCTTCTCATACAACTGACATATACTTACGGGTCCAGAGGATGAGTGAACTGGAAAAAGATGATGTTTTAAACACAATAACTTTGAGTTGTTTCAGGTATTTTGTGTCCTCCAGGGCAGGAACTTGGGAGGATGGTTGTGGATTTTTGCACAATGTTTTTCTGAAAAGTTTTAAACCCTGATCATTTCTTCATTCCACTGCATTTGATTATGCTACTCCATTACACTTTTTCTATCATACTTAGAATAAAGTCTCCAAATATTACAAGGCTCTGTCTAAGCTGTCCCAGCCCACCACTTGACCCTCATCTTGAACCACTTTTCCCAGTGAGTTCTGGTGCCTCAAGTCTTCCTGTGTTGGGCTTTTGTGTAGGCTCAATACAGGATATTTCCTTCCTCTCCTTGTCTCTTTGTCCAACTAGCTTCTATGCATCCTGTAAAACTCAGCTCAAATGTCATATTTTTGTGCTTCAATTTTCTGACCTGCAAAATGATGTTGCTAGTAATACTAACCTGATTTGATTGCTGTGAGGATTAGGTGAGGGTATATATAGAGATTAGAACAGCATCTGAACATAGAAACTCCATATTAAAGTTAGCTGTTATTATATCATAATGATACTATAGAATTAAGGTTTATTACTGTTTTGATTATTTTACATTATTATTGTCATTCCCTAGGATGGTTTTTCCTATTTCCACAGACAAAATCTGGTCCCTTCCTAAGCTTTTCTAACACTTTAACCCTACTTGCAGCACTAATCAAATTTGTAATTACTTATTTAATGTCTGGGTCCTAAAGACATTAAATAATCTCCTTGAGGACAGAGAATATATTTGTCTTGTTCATCACTTTCCTACAAAACTTGGTATAAGTATAGCATGCACATGGAAGGCACTCAAGAAATGTTTCAATGAATGATTGCATGGATGTCTTCCTATGGAAGGGAGGTGTGAATGGTCCCAAAGTATACTATCCATTTTGGAGATGGAAAACTGAGGCCTAGAGAATATTAGCTCATTTTTTCCTGCCTGAAATGGAGTGCAGGATGTGACACATGGGAAAAGCTATATATAAATGCCCATAAAAGAATGAAGCTGAAAGTTCTGGGTTGTGGTCAGGTCTGGGCCAGTATTTCCAAGGTTAGAGTTTGGGTTATCTGTGTATCATCTTTGTTCATGTTTTTAGACAACCTGAGAGCTACAATTTTTGTTACCCTAGATCTTCTACTAACTCTTCCAATTTAAGCATCTGTTTGATCATTCCCCAGATGAAGGCACTTGGTTAGATGATCCCAGATATTCTTTGGGCTTGTTTGCTACTCTGAGGAGCCTGCCCCTCAAACTGGACTGGATCTCTGTCCCTGTAAGGCCCTGTTGGGCCAGCAGGGCAAAGAGACCAACCCATTGGCCCTTCTTTCTCTTCAGAACCAGGATGGAGCCTGTGTCCAGTCAGTGTCAGTGATTCTGCACCAGGACCCTCGGAGGCAGGTGACACTGACCCAGGCAGGAGATGTCCTTCTCTTTGACCAGTACAAGATCACCCCACCCTACACAGATGGTATGTAGGCTTAGAATGGTCAAAACAGCTATTTGGGAACTGTCTATTCAGGCCTCTTTTTCCAGGCTCCTCCAGCCAAAGGAACTGCCACATAGGGGTGAACTCACATTCTAGTGCCATGGGGATCAGCTAGGGGATACTTTTGTTCCAGAAATGCTGGCTCCTAAAATGTGTCTTTGTCCTCACCTCAACATGACAGTGTTCTTCATAGAAGTATGATGGTTTCTCATGAATGGGGCTCTTTCCCATCCTTATACTTAGTATTCACAAGGGACTTATGCAGAGATTGCAGGGAGCTTACAGGGAACACATTTAATGGAAGAGACAAAACTATTAACTAAAACATAGAACAAAAGACCTTTTTTTTTTTAATTAGGAAAAAAGAAAGGGAGGGAGGAATGGAGGGTGGGAGGCTGGTTGGCCAGCCGAAGAATAGCTATTCAAGATGAAGAAGAGTGGGGATTCACTGGGTGTAAAAGAACCACAGATATGCAAGTCATGAAAGATGTAAAAGCTGTTACAATTGAATCTAAATTTTTAATTTGCTACAATTGAATCTGTAATTTATATTGTAGGCTTCCTGATGACCATTCTGGAGAGAATTGGTGGTTACAGAATTCTCCTTGTGCTCAAGGAGGAAACATACCAATTCCTTAGGAGAGAAAATTTGTAACTGTTAGTACCAGAAGGCTAAAATAAAAAATTCAGCTCAGGCTGCCTAATTATCCCATGGTCCTCATTTCATCATTAAACAGGTTTTCTTCAGGGGACCCTCAAACCAACCCTGTGGCTGGGGGGGTCTGCAGCCTGGACTGGACACAGGTACAGGAGTGGTCAGTGGGTCCGGGACTCAATGGCCAGACTTCCTATATCCCCTTTCCGGTTCCGTGTCCAGATGCCTTTGAGATCCGCAGGCTGTCCTCTGTGTTCCTGCGGGTGAGGACCAACGTGGGCGTGCGAGTGCTCTACGACCGGGAAGGGCTACGGCTGTACCTGCAGGTGGACCAGAGATGGGTAGAGGACACCGTGGGCCTCTGTGGCACCTTCAATGGCAACACGCAAGATGACTTCCTGTACGTGCCCCTGCCCCGGAACCGGAAGGCAAAGGGGAGACGGGTTCTTTGCGGGAAAGTATCACGGGACACTACCCGGAAGTGTCTCCTGTGGGCCCCAGCTGTGCCTCATGTGCAGCCTTAAGTATTCTTCTATATTTAAATTGAAGTAGGTTCTTTAAAGCACCAGTTCCCAGCCTTCTGTGCGCAGAACAGTCGTTTGGGGAGCTCCTTTAAATACAGATTTCTGGGCCCTGCTTCTCATGAATGTGACAAAAGGTGGGGCCCAAGAATCTCATTTTTGATAAGCACCACTGAGATTCTAGTACCTGAGATCTATGAACCGTACCTTGGGAAATACTGTTTTTATAGAGAAATTTTAAAATTGGGGGAACCTCAGACTGGATTTGATTTGGCTCATGATTTTAACTGACTGTAAATTCATTTAGGTGAGTGCAAGCCCCCAGTAAGCCAAGGACACCAACATTCCCGGGAGGCTCATATAACCAATAAGCTTTTCCTACCTTATGCTTTTGAAGGCTTTTGAGTTTGTACACCACGAGTCTTCCCGAATTCAGCTGTTTTGCATGACCTAACAGAATTGAAAGAAAGACTCTTGGAGCTTGGGAATGGACAGGAACAGGACTTTGAGAAAGGAGAACAAAGGAGAGATCTTGGAGCTGAAGGTTCTGGCCATTGGACAATGCAGAAGGAAACATGAGAGGCATTCTTTAGCTAAGAATGAGAAGTCAGGTTTTCTGTAGAAAACAAGAACAAGAAAAAGCTGAGAGCTTTTAATGCATGTATATTTAAAAATGTAGCTTTGTTCTCTGTCTTGCCTGGTAGGGATGATGTTAGGGAAGCTGGCCAGGTGGTGGGAGCAGACCTTGGTTTAGCATGTGGGTTGCTTGCCACCCTCCCATATGTAATTTCTGGGTGGGAGTACTATTTTATATAACAGGCGTGCTTTCACTGCCCTGAAGCAATAATGTGGGCATGGTGGGTGCCAGGCATCAGTGCAGACTATGACCTCTCTCTACTCTGCCACCTACACTAGAGTTTGGTGACTCTTGGAGTCTGGTTGTCAGGAAAGCATGCTTGTCACCCTTTCTTCCTTCACACTCCTTGCTTGACTATTTCCTACCTAGAGAGCCAAAGGCAGAGCCAAGGAATTTTCGGGAAGGAAAGGGGGAGAAAGTCGTAACCTGGTGACGTTTGGTGCTCTTCATGATGTTCTTATTTCTCTTTTTGACATGAAGATCTTGTGTGGGTGTAGAAGGCAGGCAATATGTGGTCCTAAACTCATTTTCAGATTCTTTTGAATCTTAATGTGTTGCATTTATGTGCATGTGCCCATGTGCCCTTCCATTGTATGTTTGAATGTGGCTGTGTAGATTGCCTGGGCTATTTGTGTGTCTGACATATTTTTGTGCTGTGTGTATGTGTATGTTAGGGGTGCGTGCAAGTGGTTTGTATGGGCTTGTATCTGTGACACATTTAGGTGAATACATGTGTGCCTCGGAGTGTGTGCTCATGCTTAGACTATGGCTATGTGTGTATAGGAGCAAGTGGGTGGATCTGTATGTGCCTCTGAGTCCATATGGGCAAGTATGTGAATATGGCTGTACATGGCTACAGGTCCCCTGTGGGTGTGCCTGAAAGCACCCCACAACTCTTTGGCAATTCTTGGAAAACACTATCTGCCTGCTCTCCGCTGGTCTCTGGCTCCCCGCTGGACCCCTGTGATGTGCATCTGCAAGCCGGTGAGGTGGGGGCAGAGGGAAGTCATAGAGTTGAGGGTGGGACTGCTTTGAGAGAAATGAGATGGGAACTCTGGACATAAGGATGTTGGTCATATTCATAGGAGTGATAAGAATAGAAGGAGCCACAGGAACAGGACAGGAAAGAGGTGAGGGCTGGGTAGACAGGAAGCCTCATATTCTACCACTGTCATGTACATACACATTCACACTGAGTGAAAGCTAAAGTCTTCAGTGGTTTCCCTAGGCCCTCTCTGCCCATGCCCTTATCTCACTGACTTCCACTCTACACTGGCTGCCTTGACCTCCTTGCTGTTCTTCCTATGCAGCCAGATCTATCTTCTTCCCAGCCTTTGCACTCATGGTAGCTTCTGCCTGCAGTGTTCTTCCCTCAGACAGCCACATGCTCTTTGAAAAGACTTATCTATTTGCTCAAATGTCATCCTCTCACTAGGGCCTTCCTGACTACTTGAATTAAGATTTACTGGCCCTTCTGTCCCACCTCACACTTACTGTTCTCCTCCTTGCTTTCTCTTACTTTTTAGATTCTTTAGTATTTAGTATAATTTAGTATTTAATTATTTACTATCTCCTTTAACTATCTCCTCCTCCATAAGGGCAGGGACTTCTGTTACTTTCGTTCACGCCTGTGTCTCCCTCTACCAGATGGATTCGTGCCTGGCACAAGGTAGAATCATGACATGAGTGCATGCATACACATATACACTCATAGTCATTTCTACCTATGTCCAAGGCCAGCCACTTATTCACACTCAGACTTACTAAGACACACCAACACACTCCCAGCCATCCATGCACTGAGGCATCTGCCTCCATCTCCACTGTACAAATACACACATGCACATATAGACACTCACACACACACACAATCCCCAGTCCCCTCAGCTGTGGCCAGGGAGGTAGAGGCTGAGTCCTGGGGCATCAGGCAAACCAGACCCCTGACCACCTGTCCTCTGCCCCCAGCCTCCTATGCAGTGCAGTCCTGCAGCGTGCTCATGGGGGAGCTATTTGCACCCTGCTCTGCCTACCTGAGCCCTGTGCCCTACTTTGAGCAGTGCCGCCGGGATGCCTGCCGCTGTGGGCAGCCCTGCCTATGTGCCACACTGGCCCACTATGCCCATCTGTGCCAGCGCCATGGACTGCCAGTTAATTTCCGTGCCAACCTGCCAGCCTGCGGTGAGTGTGCTGATATGGTGTGGGCTGAAGGAGCCTGGACTCCAGTCCTGGATGTTCATTGCCCCCTAGACTCTCCATTGGGTTTTATCTCCTGCTCCTGAGTCTGACTTTGCCTCTCACAGCCAGCTTCTCCTATACTTTCCATCTCTGACGGGAGCTTCTGTCCCCTGGTGACCTGGTCTTGACACCAGGGCCATATCACTCAGAATTGCTTCTCTTACCTTCACCTCAGTTCATCTCCAAGAACTGTCAGTGCAGCCAGTCCCAAGTTCACCCACTTTTGCCACCTCCACTGCCACTGCCCTAGTCCTAACTACCTTCTCACTGTAGCAGAATGAGCTTTCTAAAGAGCACTGGCTTAGAGGCCCTCAAGTTTTGGTGCACACATGGCTTAATAGCCACCCCATCTGAACTATGCCTTCCTTCCTCTTCTTAGTCATCTCTGTGCCCTCATTCCCAACACAGTGCCCAGCTCTCAGTGAGCTCTTAGCAAAGTTTTGGAATAAATGGAAAAGACACTATACTGGAATTCAGGAGATGTGAATTCTATTCTAGCCTTGCAGGTAATGTGCTGCTGTATCCCTATGCAAGACCCTGTACCTCTCTGAACCAAAGTTTTCCAGAGGTGATTGGACAGAGTCAGTGGATTATGACTCTGGCTGCATATTAGAACATCATAGGACTTTTTTTTTTAAATTTCACACATCTAAGGCACATCTGGTATCAACTAAGACAGCATATCTGACACTGGGGTAGAGACATTAGCATTTTTTTTTAAAGAGAGAGGGAAAATTTTTAAATATATTTTCAGCGGATACAACATCTTTATTTTATTTTTATGTGGTGCTGAGTATCGAACGTGTATGCCAGGCGAGCGTGTTACCGCTTGAGCCACATCCCCAGCCCAGAGACAATAGCATTTTTAAAGAGCTCCCTACATGCCTTTAATGTCCAGCTTAGATTGAGAACAATTGAGTTTGACAGTCTCAGTAGGTCTATTGCCCCTGACACTATGGGAGGCTCCTCTGGAGTGGGACCATAGCCAGATGAGGAGAGAGTGGCCCTGAGTCTTAGGAGCACAGTTGATCTTTATAGCTTTGGAAGTAAGAATGGAGGTGCATGTGCATGCACACACCCATGGGATTCATAGGCTAGATTCAGGGCCATCAGGAGTGGTCACTTCCCCTCTTCACCCAATATCACTATCTATGAGCAGTGTCCTGCAGGGAAAAGGAAATGCCAGTGGTAGACAAGGCCCACCGCCTACTTTACTAGAAAGACAGTGGGATTCTGGAGCCAGACCTGGGTTCAAATCCCAATTCTGACTTTGATCTGCTTGTGACCTTGGGCAAGTGTCTAAACATCTCTGGGTCTCAGTTCTTCACATCAGGATGACACCCCACCATTCTACACTGTTATGGGGATGAGAAAGACAAACCATGATTCCCCTTCCCACTGCAGCACTATCCTGTAAGGCCACCAAGGAGTACAGCCCCTGTGTGGCCCCATGTGGACAAACCTGTCAAGACCTGGCCAGCCCTGAGGCCTGTGGACCTGATGGTGATAGTGATTTTAGCAAGAATGAGTGTGTAGAGGGATGCACCTGTCCACCAGACACCTATCTGGATGCCCAAGCAGACCGCTGTGTCCCCAGGTAAGTGAGCCAGCTTGACCTGTGAATCAGGTCAGAGAGAGGTTGGGATCTCCAGAGCCTCTAAGACTGGGGATCCTGATTGGATATCTCCTGTCCCTGCCTTATCTTATGGTCAGGCCAGATCTTGGTGGGTAAAGTGGTGGGGGGCTCTCTCCTCTTGGTCCTCTCCTTGGCTCTGGCTCTTCAGGCCACTCGCTCTGTCTTTCCCACAGAGCAGAACAACCCATGGAGTCAAGAGGGCCTCCCTTTCAGCCTCCCTTTCCTCTTTCACAAGTATTTATTACATCCTAGTGTGTTCCACACATTTCTAGGCTCTGGAAATTCAGTAATGAACAAAATGGTCTTTCCTTCATGGAGCTCACACTCCAGGGGAGTGAAACTAAACCAACAGAACCTCAAGGCCCCAATGGTAAAAAGTCCTACAGAGTAAGGGCAAAGAGTTCTGTACTGTTACCTACATGTGGTGAGGTCTGAGTGGAGACCTGAGGGAAGTGAGGGAAAGGCTTCAGGGGAGGGGAGGTCTGAGCTCAGCTCAAGGAGGATTCCCAGTGCAACTGGAGGGCAGAGTGGAAGAGAGTGGTAGGAGGTGACTCCACACGATCCGGAGGCACTTGTCAAGGCTACACTGTCAGTCCAGCCAGTCCCAAGCTCAATATGGGGTATGTGGGTCCTGTCAAGGCTGTTGGTGCTCCCTAGCTTCTGCTTCTCCATCTAGAAAATAGTATAATAATGAATTCCAGTGAGGGGAAGTATTGGAGAGAAGCCTCTGTAGGGGAGAAATAGGAACAACTCCAGGTTTTCAAGCTACAGAATCCTCTGTTGAGTTTCGTATGCGTGCCCTGCCCCTATCCTGTGACCATGAGTGTTGCCAACAGAAGGAGTCTTTGTGTTATATAGGGAGAAAGTAGTGGAGAGGCACTGGTGTTGGATGAGTTCAGGCATCCCTTCCAAGTATCCCTTCCAACCCTGACCTGCATGTGCCATATTGGCAGGTGCTTTGGTGTTGTGTGATGAGATACACAGCCTTTTCCCTCAGAGAAGTCAGAAGAGTCACGACAGCATGAGAATTCCTACCTCCCAAAATCCCCATGAGGAGTCGATAACACAATGTATGTGGAAGGTCTGATTCAGTGTCCCCAGCCAAGCATCAGTATATAACAAGTGTGGCATGGCACTGACCAGTCAGAACAGATGCTGGGTGCAACTGATCAGAACAGCTGCAGCAGGATGCAGGCGCTCTGGGAAGCAGGGGCTCTGGGAACGGGAGCTCTGTTCTTACCATTTCTCCCTTCCTCAGTCCAAATGAGGCTAGTTGTGGGAATGGACAGAGACCAGTAGGGCTGTCCTTATCTAAGCTTGATGGATGGCCTGAATGTGGCACCCAACCCTGACCTCTGTTGCTGGTGCCAGATTAGCTTTCCCACTTCCTAGAAGTGTGACACATCACAGTAAATATCATTACTTCTTTCTGTATCCTCATGTCCCTGGCTGTCTGAGGGTGGGCCCTCTGTCCTTGGAAGTCCCTCCAGCTTGTGAGTCCACTTACATTTCTCTCTTCTTGGTTTTTATAGGAACCAGTGCTCCTGCCACTTTCAAGGCATGGATTATCCCCCTGGAAACAGTGACATCCCATCCCTGGGCCACTGGTGAGCTCCCTGGGTAACAGCCTCATTGTCCTCTCTCTACTAAAGCTGCTAATGGAAGACAATGCAATTGAATGGAGCCTTCCTTAAAGTGGCACCCAACTACCCCCTCTGTATGGGGACAGGGGGACAGTGAGTGGGGATGTCTGTCTTATCCCTGCAGCAATCTGAGTGAAGTACTATGGGGTATGTGGGTCCTGCAGCGACCAGGTCAGCTAACACCAGTGCCCCACTTCTCTCTCTGCAGCCACTGCAAAGATGGAGTCATGAGCTGTGATAGCAGAGCCCCAGGTGAGGGTGATTGGAAGGACTGGAACTCTCTGGGGGCTCCTCTTGGGAGTGGGGTATGGAGAAGAAAGTGGGGGATGTGGAGTGCTGATAGGGACATGGGAGCCCATCTCAGCTTTTGCTCTACACCAAACTTATATATTCTTTGCCCTCTTGGCATCCTGAATCCCTGCCCTAGCCCCACCCTAAACCTCTGGAGTATTCAGTGCAGTTTCTCAAACTCCTTACATCCTGGATTTTCTTGGTCTAAGCTGTCAAATATCTACTTAGTCTGGCTCTGCCCTCCCCAGCACTGAACCTTGGGTCATAGAGATGGAGAGGACACCTTAGGCCTTTGAGACTCTCCCAGGAAACAGAAATTGGGGTAGATAGAACATTGATCGGTCAGCCTGTGAGGGGCTTAGAGGTGGGGTAGGGCATGGGGCCTGGAGCACTTAGGGAGAGTCTCTTAGGGTGGAGGAGCCCACTAAAAATAAAGATTAGCAAAGAGAGAGAATAATCATGTGGCAGGCAGTTAAGAGCTGAGCCTGTAAGCTTAGATGGCCTAGGTTCAAATCCTGATCAGAATTCACTAGCTGTGCAACCCTGAGCAACTCACTTCACCTCCCCAAGCCTTCATTTTTGCTTTTGTAGATAATTCAAATTCCTACATCCTTCCCATGTTTTATGTATATTCCTGAAAATGATTTTCTTTTGATCATTTCTGGCTTCAGATTTCTGCCTGTCTGGGACATGGCTATTCCTTTTTTCCATCTCCATCCCAGCCTGAGCATGGACCTCAGTGGCCTTTTATTGATTTCCCTAAAAGGGTCAACAAAGTGCAGGTGAGGGCCTGGGGATGTAGCTCAGTGACCAAGTATTTACCTAGCATGTGCCAGGCTCTGGGTTCAATCCCCAATACTACAAAACTAAACAAAAAAAAATTAAAGTACAAATGTATATGGCAGACTTTATGGAAGGCTTAGGGAGAGAGGCTCGTTTTATGTCACAGAAACAAGTGACAGGAAGTTTACTGTCCCTGTTGTTCCATCCTCTGGCCACCCCACCATGAAGTTTGGCTATCTTCTTTCTGACCCCTCTCCTGGTCCCCCTTGTGCCCTTTCTTTCATTTGTGTGCCTTTTTAAAGCACAATAGCTTCACTCCCTTATATGAGAAAAGGGGGATAATAATACCTTGCAAAGTGGTTGCAGGGTTACATAAGATAATGCATGGGGAGTGCCTGGAACAGCACCAGATATGGAGGACTTATTCAGTCATGGGTCCTAGTGATGGTTGTCTTGTAATATAATGGCACACATCCCTCCCTCCTATGTAATGTATATGTGGGAACTCAAGCAAGGCCCCAGGAGCAGCCTCCTCCAGGTGCAGGTCCCAGGGCTCCAGGGTCATCCTGAAGCAATAGCCTACTTCCAAGCCCAAGAGCTGCAACACCCACCTCTTATCTTTCAGCTGCAGCCTGCCCAACAGGACAGGTCTTTGTGAACTGCAGTGATGTGCACACAGACCCTGAGCTGAGCAGAGAGAGGACGTGTGAGCAGCAGCTACTGAACCTGAGCAGGCCAGCCCATGGTCCCTGCCTGTCGGGCTGTGCCTGTCCCCACGGGTAGGGACTCCTGTTGCCATGGTCTCTCCTGCATAAAAGCTGGCAGAGCCAGGGACCACAGATGTGTGGGGTGGAGGTGGGGGTGGAAGGAAGGGAAGAACTATTTGAGGGCAACTATGATGCCAGTGGGCTGAGAAAGAAGAGGATCTTGGGGATCCAAACTGGGATGGGTTCTGCCCAGCTCTGCTTCTTAACCTTGAGTGAAGAAGGTGCCTGGCTTCTGAGGCTGTATTTCATCTGTAAAATGGGAATAATAATAATGCCTACCACCTTAACAGATAGATTAAGTGGAAGTACCAAAGAGGAAGCTCTGAGTCGGGTGTCTGGCATGCCCTTGAGACCCAATAGGTTGAAAACCATGCAAAAGGAAACCCATATATCAGCCCCCAACCTCTTTCCCTGCACAGTTCTGAGCAGCGTACTCAGGTAGAAGACTGGTTTCCCTGCAATCCTTGAAGAAAAAGGCCCCACCCAATGAAAATAGTCTCCCTCCTCAATCTCCAAAATGCTGCCCATCAAAGTCATGTAGGAGTTGAGTTATGAGGATGTACCTTCTGGGCGCTTTGTACACTGGGACCCAGCACCCAGCTCTGCCAATGCTTAATCCTGGGTCTGGGCCAAAGAGACCACTGGGCATCCCATGACTTGTCAGCACTGGGCTGTGCTCTTCAGCCAATGAAGAGATTATTGGTCAGCTGGTAGATCTGGTCAAGGCTTGGGAGCCAAGGAAAATGAGATGAGGATCAGGGCTTCTAGGCTGGGAAGGGGAGGGGATGGCCCGTTAGAATTTTACTGTTTGATAAGAACACTTTAGTGTTACCTCCTTTGATATCAGAGCAACCATAAGAGAAAAGAGGAGAGAATGTTTGTTCTAATTTTGCAGATAAAGAAACTGAGACGGGGGCAGGTGCACTGGAAGTGGTCTGCCCAAGGAACCATGACTTACACCCAAGCTTCCTTACTCCAAACCCTACCTCTTGCTGACAGCATGCCAGCTGTATGAGGTCCAGGGTTTGGTTACTTACACAGAAGTCACAATGTGGGGCATGAGCCTACCTCTTCCCAGAATAGAGCTTCCACAAGAGAGCCTGCACAGAATCCTAGGTCACCCATGGCCATGTGGGTCCCAGACCTTGTGAGGAGTGTCTTTGTCACAGAAGGTCCTTTGGGGCACTGTTTTGTGTTTACAAGTTCAGGAAAAGCTATGACTGAGGTCAGGAAAAGCTAGGGCTCTGGGGTCAAGAACAGGGGTAATCCCCCATTTACCTTGGTGACAGACCTCAAAGGCACGAGGGAGGAAACACTGGACTAGATTCTGGGAGGATTAAACTCTGGGCTTGGTCCTGCCAGTGATTTTATTGAGAGCTGTGTCAGATGGCCTATAAGGAACTGACGCACATTCCATAGGGGTTTACCAAAGGGGATTATTACAATCTCATTACTATAGGAAGGGGAGGCATTTCCCACTATCTTGAAATGCCCTATTGTTGGATAGGGCTCCCAAAGATGCCTCACTATCATCCTTACCAGCCCCTCTGAGCCCAAAGTCACCTCTGGGCCATCTGGTCACCATTCTGTCTCCATAGTGCAGCTAAGAATCTTTGGATGCTGTGCATTGCTCCAAAGAACACTGGAGCCATTGCAGGCATCTGAGGCCTGACCACTGCAGGAGTCAGAGCTGTTTGTGCTGCTCCACATTTATTTGTATCTGGGTACTTTACCAAAGGCCTGGGGGCCCCAAGCAGTGAAGTATGGTGGTTATGAGCAGACTCTGGAGTTGAGCTTGAATCCTGGCTCTGCCACTTAATGAATGATTAGTTTGATACCCCAAGTGAGTCTCCTTTCCCTCTTCTGAAAAAATGGCACGGAGTAAATGCTCTATGTGAACCAATAGCTTTGTCTCTCCTCATCTGGTTTCATGCATTTGTAAATGCCCCCATGAATTAGTTGGTCCTCTAAAAGGTTAGAGGATGTTCACTCTACAAGTTAAGGGCAACTTGAGCGCAGAGGCTGCAGCCCTGAGTCACACATACTCTTCCCTGTGGTGGGCACATAGGCACTCAGGTATGTAGGCATGTCTGCTAAGGACAAAGAGGGAGCAGTGTAAGGTGGGTGGCTGTGAAGACCCTGCAGAAAGGGCCTGTGGGTGATGGTGGAAGGTGATATAAGCCAGCCTTGCTGCTGGTGGTTGATGCAATTATGAGGAAAAGAGCATCAGGGAAATAATATTTATTGTGTATTTACTTGGTGCTGGGCATTGTTCCCAGGCCTATAATTAAATTCTCAAAATGACCTTGGGAGGAAGGTATCATTACCCACATTTTATGAATGACAAAACAGAGGCTTAGAAAGGTTAAGTGACTGGGTAAAATAGAGTGCTTTTTTTTCTGCTTCCTCCCATAACCACAATGGAATGTTGGTAATGGAATAAAAAAGGTATAAACCTGCAGGAACAAAGAGAAAGAAGTGGAGATAACAGTAGCACAAGATCAGGCAATAGTTTTTGAAGGAGGAACATGGGTGGGTGTGTAGACTGACCTTGCAGAGCAGAAGTTGACAGCTGATGCCTTCTGGGGAGAACGCTATGTTGAGAGCTTCAGAAGTTCAGCTGAAGGCATCTCAGAAAGGGGTGGTGGGATAAAGATGGGAGGATGAGTTGCAAGTCCAATAAGGAGCAGCTCAGTGATAGAGCACTTGCTTATATGGAAGGCCCTGGGCTCAGCACACATACACACACACACACACACACACACACAAATCTAGAGAAACGAAACCAGATATTTTTGATCATAGAGGCACCAAGGTAGGGGTGATGGAGAGTGGAAACAGGCAAAGTGAAAGCCACTTGGATCCCAGCCTTCCTTCCCTAGCTTGGTTTCCCCAGATAGTGGCAGGGAGATTTTGCCTCCCATCTAGAGATGGGAAAGATTTCCACTCCAGAAACTTAGTTATGCCAAGAACAAAAAACAAGAAACAAAACTAACATTTTAGATTTCCCCAACAAAACAGTAGGTCCCACTTAGTTGTTATGGAGCTTCTTTAGGTCATTATCACACAGTCTGGTTTCCTAAAACTGTGGAGCAAGCCTTGAAATCTGTAAGTGATAGTTCTCTAACTTGGTTCTTTTCAGAAGTTGTTTGGCACTTCTAGGTCTTTGCATTTCCATGTAAATTTAGAATCAATTTGTCCATTTCTATTGCTATCCCTCAAAAAAAGTCTGTGGGATTTTGATTGAGATTGTGTTGTATCTATAAATTGTTTTGGGAAGAAACCATATTTTAATATCACAGAGTTGTACAATCCACAAATGTGATATTATCTCCTCATTTATTGGGTCTTTTCCCATTTCTCTAAGCAGTGTTTTATGGTTTTCAAAGGAGGTTTTGCATCTTTGTCATTGAATTTATTCACAGGTATTTGATGTTTTTCTGATATCGTAAGTATTTTTTATTAGTTTCATTTTTGTTCATTGTTGGAATATAGAAATACAGTTTACTGTTGTATACTATCTTTGTATTCTGCAGTCTTGCTAAATTCATTTATTTAGTTCTGTTGACCTTTTCATAGATTCCTGGATTTCTATACATAATCATATCATCTGTGAATCAAAACAGTTTATCTTCTTCATTTCTAATCTTTACATTTTATATTTTTTTCCTTGTCTGGTTACAATGAATAGAACCTACTCTATACTTTTGAATAGAAGTAATATGAGTAAAAATTATTACCTTCCTCTATTTTAGGGTAAAACAATCATTCTTTTATCATTAATGATAATATTAGTCATAGTTTTTTGGTGGATATCCTTTACTAGATTTATTTCTAGTATGCTGAACATTTTGAATTTTGAATTTTGTTGATTGATTTTATTTATTAAAACATCACATATCATTTCCTATTTATTTTGTTATTTTTGATGCAAATTGCATCAGTTTATTTTTGAATGTTAAACCAACATTCATTCCCAGGATAGACCCCAGTTTACTTAATATTCTGTGTTCATGGAAGATATTTTTCTGTGTTTTTTCTCCACTTGAGATGTTTTCATCTGATTTTGGTATCAGAGTAATGTTGGCCTTACAGGAATGAGTTGAAAAATATTATCTTACTTTTAATTTTTTTGGAAGAATTTGTTTAGAATTGGTATTGTCTCTTCTTTAAGTACTTGATAAAATTTACCAGTCTTGAGATGCTTTTGACTTCAAATTCAATTTGTTTAATACATATTGGGCTTTCCAGGTTCCTTCTTGACTAAGCTTTCATGATTGTGTCTTTTAAGGAATTGTCCATTCCACCTAAGTTGTTACCTTTATTGACTTAACTTTGTACATGCTGTTCTTTTATTTTTCTTTTAATATGTGTAGGATCTGTAGTGATGTTTCCTTTTGGTTCTTGATATTGGTAATTTCAGGTTTCTCTCTTTCTTGTCTCCCCACTCTTCTTTATTCTCTCCTCTCCTCTCCTCTCCTCTCTTCTCTCTCTTTATTATTCATTCTAGCCAGGAGGTTGTCAAATTTTATCAATCTTTTCTTTAATATGCAGAATTCTAGATTAACCTTTTTCTTTTACTAGTTTAATTTTCATCATTATTCCCTTGCTATGTAATGTCTTGACTTTTTAAACATTCTCCATCACTGTCAGATGTTTGACTACATGCCTACATATTTTGTATGTGCATTTATTCTGTTTAGAGTTCACTGAGCTTCATCAAAACTGATAGTATTTCAGCTCCGGTTATTTCCCCTGGAATTACACTGGAATACCTGATTGTCTCATAAGTCAGTGAAACTGCATTTTTTTCCACTAGGCTTTCTTCTTCAGATTGAACCATTTCTTTTGTCCATCTTCAAGGCTATTATTCTTCACTTCTGAAGTATTTAGTTTGTTGTTACGCCCTTTTAGCAAATTTTTAAAACTATATTAAAATTTTAAGAATTTCCTCTTTTAAAAATAATTTTTATGTCTCTTCTGAAATTCTTCTACTATTCACTCACTATGTCTGCCTTATTTTTAAAGCTTAAATATATTTATAGTAACATAAAGTCCTTATCTGCTAATTCTATCATGTATATCATTTTGGAATCTCTTGTAACTATTGACTGATTTTTCTTCTAGTTTCTCCTAGTTTGGGGTTATATTTCCCCACCTCACATATCTATAAAATTTGTACTAGATGCTGGACATTATGAATTTTACATTGTTTTATGCTGTATTTTGTTGACTTTGTTTATTGAGTGTTGAGTTTTGATATTGTAGGCAATTAATCTACATGGTTTATTAGCATGATCTTTTCAAGACTTGTGTTTGAATTTGTTAGTTTGCCTATAGTAGTTCTATTCCCAAGGCCTGGAGTGTGAAGAAAAGTCTTTCTATTCTAGCTGGTCATAATCCTGACATGTTCCAGTACTGTACTGTATCAGAAATCTCCATTAATTTTACATTTTCTCAATGGCCATTTCTTGCCAACCCTTAGAATCTTTCCTCATGAGAAATTTAATATTTGGTTAAAGACTTAAGGTAACTTAAGCAGAATTCTGGAATTCCTTCTCTGAGCAGATCTCTCCTCTTTTATATACAGACCTGCATATTCAGCCACCTCACAAGCCCTGTACTCCAGTTTCTGTCTCTTTTCCTCAGTGACACATTGTACACTGCCCGAGTTTCATTTTCCTGTACTATAGTCCAGAAAGTGCCTCCAGGAGGAAAATCTGGAGATAGGGAAGAATTAACAAGAGACATTTTTCAATATAATACCTGCAGTGCTTTTCTCTTTGTTTCTTTTAAAACCATGAACTTACATTCTTTTGAAAAGTAAAATAGGAAGGTTAAATAACTTGTCCTAAGCAGATCCTGAAATTGAACTAAAAATTGCTTATTGTCAATGCTTATTTTCTTACCCCTGCCCCAGATTGTATCCTGATGATGCCCAGACATGGTTAGAGTTGCACCTGAGAACTTCAATAAATTCCCTGAGATGTCCCTGGCTCCTGCCTGAGAGTGGGTCAGATTTCATGGAAATCAAACTGGAAGGTGGTAGCACAATGACTTTGGGCCTGTGATCTGAAAGCTCCATGAACAACTTGATTTGGAGTGTCAATGCCCATGTCCCTGGTCTGTTCATTAGTTTATAGCTAGTATCTAAGGAGCAACTGACATCTGCCTGACCAGGGAAGCATTGACTAGTAAGCTTAGCCTTACTTGCTGAAGGATAGCAGAATCTTCCAAACTGGGCATCGCTTGTCTTTGATTTCTTTATTCACCAAGGTGCCTCTGAGCCTCCTTGGATAGTAGCAGGCTACACAGTGGGTTCTCGGTTAGTCTCTTTTCAGGAAAAGGCTGAGATCCACTCCAAGACATCCATGTGATGCATGGTTTTGCATAGATGACAGATCAAGAAAGAATGCTCTCTTGAGCACTTGCTTGCTGTGTCCCTACAGCCTGCTCAGACATGGGGATGCATGTTTCCTACCAGAAGAGTGCCCATGCACTTGGAAAGGGAAAGAGTATTTCCCTGGGGACCAGGTGATGTCTCCCTGCCATACCTGGTAAGTAAGAACTCTAAACAGGGTTTGCTTTTTACTGGAAAGTGCATGATTATGGAATGTGTTATCATGCATAGAGTCTATCATTTCCTTTCCATAGTGTTCATATTCATGTTGTGTGTTTTTATGTTGTATGTGGGGGTTATGTACATATACAGGTGTAAATACATAAAATTATATTTTGTAATATTTTTGTGTATTTGCATGAATGTGAGTTTGTTCAGACATGTGTATAAATGTATATAAACCATAACCATGTGCTTGCAACTTATATGAGCATATAAATGTGAGCACAAATCCAAAATGCACAGACTTCTTAGGTGAACATGCATGTCTCTGAAATGGCAGGCATTCATAAATCTGAGTATGTTCGTGAATACCTACAAGTAGGAATTTGTGTATGTATATAGGTGTGTTTATATATATTTGTATGTATATGGATCTATATGCAAAGTTCATCAGTATCTGTGTGCATTAGATAAGCATTTTATATTCACATGGGAGTGAACATATATGTGTAAATGTGCATTTGTGTTTTTCTAAGAATATATACATGCCCATATATAAAAAGTGAGTGAGTGCATATGTGAGTATATTTTCACACTGTATGTTCAGCAATGTAAGTACACATATGTGGGAATGTATATACCTGAATTGGACTCTGTGGAAAGAGTCTTAGGACTAGTTCTGTAGAGCCTGTGCTGGGCCAAGCAGCAGGGAGTATGGTGGAAAGTAGAGATTGAGTCTTCTGATGGAGACAGTGAGAGGGGAAGGGCTGAGAAATAATAAACTGGTGTCCTGATGTTGGAGAGCAAACTCAGACACTATTCTAATGTTAAGAACCAGCCAAGGGTGGCCTGATATGAATAGGCAGCCCCTACACTGGGGCCCAGAAACTTAGCAGAGAATCTCAGAGAGGTTCTATCTTAGAGATTCATCTAATTGGCTAAGAGCTGGACCCCAGTTCCTGTTCCATGCTGAGGTCAAAACTGTTCTGTTTCCCTGGCCCATATGATGGGCATGGCATTTCTTTCCATGTTTGCAGTAGGTTCACAGTCAAGACCATCTACTTCAAGGCTTTCCCCCAGATAGGTCAAGGTGTATATATAGGGTTGGAGTACTGGCTGTCAGACCCCAGAAGTCCTGGAAATAATATCAAGATATGGAACTCTGTGCAGGTGTCTGAAGGATATATAGCCCAGTATATGTATGATTTCATGACTGTGATGGACTGGAGGTAACTAGGAATGCCAGGTACATGTGGTGAGAGATTAGGACTAGCTAGCCTAGACTTTTCCAAGAGTGCTCTGCCAGATATGGTATGATATGGTATGCCTATCTAAAACCAATCCTATCACCTGTGCTCTAAACCACAGCGCCTTTCACCCATTCAAGGGTGTTAACAGCTACTCTCCCTTTTCTGTCCCATTTAATCAGTTTATCCTTCTCCACTGGATCATCCCCATTGCATAACATTATGCAATTTGATAAACTTTCAACCTCTGAGCAATTGCTCCATTTCTTTGATAATCTTTTATTGTCAAATCTCCAGTAAAAGTTATCTATATTTGCTGTTCCCAATTCTTCTTCTCCCATTTTCCCTTAAGCTCATTTTAATCAGGCATTTTCCCCAGTGTTCCATTGAAACTGTTCCTACCAAGGTCACCAGTAACCTCCATGTTGCTGCACCCAGAGTTTATTTCTCAGCCCTCACCTTCCAAGACCTATTAGTGGCATTTAACACATTGATCACCTGCAGGTCATTTATTTGCCTTGATTCCTTTATTCAAGTAGCTTCTGGAGCACCATGCCTTCTTGATTTTCTTGCTACCTTTCCTGTTTCTCCTTCTCAGCTTTCTTGCTGGTTCTTCTCCTTCTCTGACCCATTTGGGCTGGGACATCCCAAGGAACCTCTTCTCTCCTGTGTACTCGTTCCCTTGGTAAACTCCTTATAATAGTAAGGTCCATCCATGTGCAGATGGCTTCCAGATTTCTGTCTGCAGCCAACATCTCTCTTTTGAACTCCTGACACAGACACCCAGCTACCTAGTTGACACTACCACATGAATGGCTAATGGAAATCTTAAACTCAGTGTGTTTTAAACAGATCACCTTATCTTTCCCCCTCAAACCTGCTATTCTCTATGCCTTTCCCATCCAGGTTAATGACTTTCTTGCAGTTGGTCATGCCACAAAACCTGGAGTAATCCTTGAGTCTTCTCTCTTACTATCCATATCCAACCTTTTAGTTCTGCTTTCAAAATATTCCCCAAATATTTTGGAGACTACATCTTCCTCCTTCCACTGCTATTACCCTACTCCAAGCTGCCATCATCTCTTCTCTTATTTATTGCAGTAACCTCCCGACTGGCTTTTCTGCTTTTCTTCAACCCCCTTCAGCTTAGACTCTGTGTAGAAGCCAAAGCAAAACACAAGTCAGATCATGTCATTCCCACAATCCATCCCTCCAGCTATGTCCTCTCTCATTCCTAGCAAAAGCTAACATTTTTACAGCATTCTGGGACCTATGTGATCTGAATCTTTATTATCCCTTTGAGTTCTTCTACCATCTTATTCTTGTGCCATCCATTCTAGCCATGTTATCTCTTAAGTGTTCCCCAGAGCCTCTGCAGACTATACCCCTCTCCCAGAATTCTCATCTTCCAGATGTCCATATAGTTAACTCTTTCACCTCCTTTAAGTCTCTGCAGACATGTCGCCTGACCATCAAAATAAATATATTATATTAAAAATATAATCTGTTGCCACAATATGCCTTCATCCTGTTCCTTCCATATCACTCATTGCCCTCTAACATATTATATTATTTACACATACTTTTTATTTTTAAAATGTTCAGTGCATGTCTTTCACCTCTAGGACAGAAGTTTTTCTAAGGCAGAGCACTGCCCCCCCACCCCGTTTTATTCACTGATATGTCTCAAACTCCTGGAAGAGTGCCTGTTGTCACGGTAGTCACTTAATATTTGTTGAATGAATTGAATGGAGTGAAAAAAGAGAATATGGACTTCAGAGTCAAAAAGATCTAAGTTAAATCTCAGCTCCACTATTTAGTAACTGTGCATACTTAGCCTCTCTGAAGGTCAGTGTCTCCTAACTTCTCTGAAGGTCCAGTGTCTCCTACATAAAATGGGAATCACAATTCTGCCCTCCAAGCTTCAGTTGGAGTTTGATGATGTTTGTTGACTCACTTAAGGGCACACAGTGTGTATTCAATGAGCAATGGCTCCATCAAGGGCATTCATATATTAAGTGGCATGTGCTCTGCAAGCTGGTCTGTGTGTGTGTTTCAGTGTGTGCCAGCAGGGCTCGTTCCAATGTACCCTGTACCCCTGTGCCTCCACCTGCACTGCCTATGGAGACCGGCATTACCGCACATTTGATGGGCTCCCATTTGACTTCGTAGGGGCCTGCAAAGTGCACCTAGTCAAGGTGAGTTCCTGGATGTATCTGCTCCATGAGGACCCAGAGCAGCCTGGGATGAGAACCTGTCAGGGCATGTTGATCCTCTGGACTCCAATTTGATACATAACTGGGTGGGCAGGTGGATCTATGCCCTGAGGTGTGGCTGTGTTGAGGAAAAAGCTAGAGCTGCATAGAACCCCACTCCCTGTCCACTCACCTTTACAGACTTCTCCTGTTGGGCCTGATGTTTTTTTCTGTCTGTAATAGAAAGTGCTTTTTGAGCTTCTATGACAATATACAACTAGTGGTCTACTGAACCATTTCTGTGGGTTCTTTTTTAATTCTCACTCCATCTTACAAGGTTGGGTTAATTGACCCCATGTTACAGATATAGCAACTTGAGCTTGGGGATGTCAGGGAACTTGTTCAAGGTCACACAGTTAGATTGTGGCAGCTGGGGTTAGATTTGAACCAGAAATATGACTGAAGTGTTAGTATGTGTCAGGAGTCAAGTGTCAAAATCTTTGATTCACCCAGAGGAAGAGGAATGGTAACATGGGTGGCACAGTGAAGGGTAGGATTCCCCAGAAGGAGACAAGGGGCACCATCAGAGTGGGAAGTGCCAGATACACCAGGGGAACTTGGTTTTGCTAAGGCCTGTCCACCTCATCATAATAGCAATAAAAGCAACGAAAAAACCTTCCATGGAAGAAGTCTTATCTAAGGGATGGACATTGCACTGGGGTCTTTCACCTAATTCTGATAACTTCACAAAATAAAGATTATTGACCTTGTCCTATTTTATTTTTTAAATTTCAAAATTATGCATGCTTTTTTGCCAGAATTTAAAATGATGTGGAATATATTGAAAGCAAATATTCCCCTTCACATCTCTTCTGTTTCTGTCTCCTATTAAACAACAACTCCTAACGGGTGAATCCTGCAAGACTGTTTTCGTGAAACACACACACACACACACACGTACTCATACACATACAACAGGCACACACTGTCTTTAGTTTCTATGGTTAGGATTCTTAAGTTTGCTTTTTTCACTTGAGTTATAACTTGGGCTCTCATTTTCAGTACATACTCTTTTTAACATTAGGACCTTTTATAGAAAGAATATACCCTATTTTATTATTCCCCATTGATGGACACTTAGGTTGTTCTAGTGTTTAAATGCTGCTACATATTCTTGTGTAGATATATTTCTAGATTCTTTTACTTGTTTCTTTGTTGGCAGTCTGGGTATCAAACCCAGGGCCTTGAACATTCTAAGCTAGCATTTTACTCTCTAGATTTTTAGAAGAATTGCTATATGAAAAGTTATGTATATTTAAAATGTTATTCAAGTCTGACAAATTGCCCTCCAAAAAAGGTTTACAACAAGTGTGTAAGTAAGACAGTTCCCCTTCCTTGTGCCCCCCTGCCAATTCCATTCATTCCTGTTATATCAGTCAATAAGGGAGAGTCACTACTTCTAAACACTGCATTAAACACACCAAAAATGAAACTGTGCTTTGAAGAACTGAAATAAGTTGCCCCAAATCTCATAACTAATAAAAAGAAGTGGGTTGAAAACCACTTCAAAGTCCACTTCCGCTCTGTGCTTTCAGCAGGATCTCTACTCTCCCAGGTTTTATTGGATTCATTTTTCTTCTCCCTAGAGCACATCAGATTTCAGCTTCTCTGTGATCATAGAAAATGTGAACTGCTATAGCTCTGGCATCATCTGCAGAAAATTTATTTCCATCAATGTTGGGAACTCACTCATCATCTTTGATAACGACTCAGGAAATCCTGTAAGGCTTGCTGCTGGTGAGGGTTGTGTAGACAATGTACAGGTTACAGGGAGGTGAGGGAAAAAAAGGTAAGGACTGAAGTGCCACCAAGCCAGGAGTTCAGGCTAAATTCCTTGACCAGGAAGAAAGAGGTCCATGCCATGGCCCAAGGGAAGTGGAGGAGTTGGAAAGACACTGGCACTGGGCAGCGATTGTAGCCAGGACCAGGGGCCAGGGGTGTCACTCAGTAATAGAGCATGTGCTTAGCATTCTCAAGTTCCTGGGTCCAAACCTCAGCACCAACACACACACACACACACACACACACACACACACACACAAACACATACAGCTTTTGTAGCCAGGACTAGCTGATCTGGGCATTGGGGAGCATTTGGACCTCAGGACTGATCAACTCTGTCCCCTTAGAGTCCTGAAAGTTTTCTGGATGAGAAGCAGGAAGTCCACACATGGCAAGCAGGGTTCTTCACACTGGTGCATTTCCCGCGGGAGCACATCACCCTCCTGTGGGACCAGAGAACCACAGTGCATGTCCAGGCTGGGCCTCAGTGGCAGGTAGTCATGGGGGCAGAACATTTCTGGGTCTGCTATTGCCTGGGACTAAGTCAAGCTTCGGGGTGACCTTGGGTAAACTGTCTCTCTCTGAGGAGCCAAGAAGAACATGCCTTTGTCTTGTCTGCTCCACCTCACTCTGTACCTCTTCTCTGACATTGACCCAGCCCTCTTGAAATTGAAGCCCCAGCAGTTGCTTTTGGGTTCATGAAAACCTCCTTGGCTCATGGTGACCCCTATGCCCATGGTTCACCCTCAGCATGCTTGCAACTGACGTAGTGTCCTCTCTTCTTTCAGGGTCAGCTGGCAGGCCTCTGTGGGAACTTTGACCTAAAAACCATCAATGAGATGAGGACTCCAGAAAACCTAGAGTTAACTAACCCCCAGGAGTTTGGCAGCAGTTGGGCTGCAATTGAGGTAAAGCCTCCCTAGACTGGCTTGTGTCTGTCACTCAAATGGACACTGGCTACACTGAACCAGGCCCCAGGTCAGGGAAGAGGGACATCAAGTGGAACTGTTCCCAAGAATGCTCTCTCAGCCTCTGTCCAGATCCCTAGCTCTAAACTCTGTCCTGTGGCCTGAAGACACACAGTATCTCATCTTACAACTCCAGTTGCCCATCTTGCCCTGGGCCAACCTGCAGTGGAAGACTGGGGTGGTCACAAAGGAGGCAGTGTCTGTCCTGGGAGAGGTGGCCACCTAGTGGGGAAGGCAAGGCTTGTGCCCTTTAGTGTCTGGTGCTGGGTCTGGTTCAGAGGAGAGATGGATATAGGTTGAGGACATCAGAGGTTTCCTGAAGGAAGTGGGACTGGTGCTGTCAGTTAAAGGATAGGCATGCTTGGAGAGATGAATGTATCCAAGAAAAGGCCTTTGTGAGGGAGGTAAGGGTAAAATCAGGGGTTTTCTTGAGGCTTGGGGAATGCCTGGCAGAGGCTGCCAAATACTGAATTGAGAGCAGGTCTTGGATCATCCACTTGCTGGGTGACCTTGAGTAAGTACCATCTTCTGTATGATCCTTTGAAGTCAGGGGGCTGGGCCCAGAGAGGGATGGTGAATAGATTTCACTTTATGTGACAGCTGATCAGTCAGAAGAGGCTGCTTAGCAAACTACATTGAAAATATCTTAAGATGTGTCAAGTTTAGCTGCAAGGAGGATTGTGATTGATTATTTATGTCTGTCATGGGTGCAGTAGCAGAGAGTGATGTGAGCATTGCATATTAGCCTTTCCTGGACTGAGTGATCTTTATTTTCTTTTGAGGAGTAGATGGAGATGGGCCTATGTATATGGAACAAGAGCAGTAGTTGGGCATGGCTTAGAGATCAGTGAAATCCTGAGGTGGACAAGGCTGTTCCCACAACTTCAGAAAAGTGCACCCATTCTCTAACCCATCCCTATGTTAGAGAATCCAAGCAGGTGACAAAGCTTTGTTGTTGTCCCCAGCACTGTCCCATATTTCTTTCTTGCTTATACCCTTAGTCATACCCAGGGTGGGCACTTCAGTGAAAATATTGAACCGAAGAAGGAGGGTCAACAGACATTGGGGAAATCTGTGTTAGTTATTTACTGCTGGGTAACAATGTTATTAGGACTAGTGGCATTAACCAACACACAGGTCTTATCTCAGTTTCTGTGGGTCAGGAAACAGGGCATGTGACTTAGTTCTCTGCTCAGTATCTCATAAGGCTGCAATCAAGTTGTGGCCAGGACTAGACTCTCCCCTGGAGGCTGGACTGGGGAAAGAGCTGCTGCTTCGCCTGCCTGTGTGGTTGTGGGTGGCAGTCAACTCCTAGCAACTGCAGGATGGAGAGCTTCAGCTTTTGGCTAGCTGTTGCTTGAGACTGGGCTCAGCTCCTAGAGACCAGCCACACTTCCTACCATGAGGGGTCCCAACATGGCTGCTGGCTTCCTCACAGCTGGCAAGGGGGAGATTCCAACAGGATGGCCTCTGTGATCTTATGTAACATAATCATGCAATTATATGCATAGTCATGTCCATCCCATCTCTTTTGCCATATTCTTTTGGTTTGAAGCAAATAGTAGGTCTCTCCCACTCTCAAGAGGAGGGGATTGTACAAGGACAGGAACACCAGGAAGTGGGATCATGGCAGCTACCCTAGAGTCTCTCTGCCACACCAGGCAGTAGGCATTTGCGGGTGGGGAGGTCAACAGCCCTGCCTTTGCACCTTAGTGCCCAGACACCCTTGACCCCCGGGACACATGTGTCCTGAATCCTCTCCGAGAACCGTTTGCCAAGAAGGAGTGTGGCATCCTGCTCAGCGAGGTGTTTGAGACCTGCCACCCCGTGGTGAGTGAACTGCTTCCCCAATCCCTCCTGAACCCCTTCCCACTTTCCCAGGATCCCTTCTGCTCTCAGACCCCATGTCTTGAATAAGACAGTTCATGTCTAGAACCCATTTTTTTCATTCTCCTGCCTTTGGCCTGCTCAGATGAATCTGCCTATTTCCTCAGACAACCAGGGAGGCAGCTAGGAAACAGTTTCTGTGCCCTCTATAAGCCCATCTCAGTCTGGCTCTTCCTCCTTATTGGAAAGCTGTGCTGCAGAGTGGACACAAACCCGTCAAGCTGTGGCCCTGTCTCTTGCCTGCTGTACCTTTTGTGGAAATAGGAGCTCCAGGGCTCAGCCCTGCGCAGTCCCTCCAAGGCCTTAAGGGGTGCTGTCAGACCGGCCTCAGCAGCTCCAGCCCAGATGGGCAGTTCAAACTCTGTTCTTCAGCCACTCCTTGGCCCCTGAATCCAGCAGTCTGGGCCCGAAGAAGAACAGAGCTTAGGGCTCCAGTGGGTGTCTGTGTGTGCCATGTGGTTCTTGTTTCCTTCTGAGCTGGCTGCCTTCTGCCCCCACCCCTCACCCCACATGGGCAGCTTACCCATTTATTCTGTGATCCTTTTGAGTTTGTCCTGGTGGCCAGCAGACTAAAAAATGCAGGTCTGACATTTAGGATCTGTCCTCTAACCTCTTGACTTCTGACCTCCCCCAGGTCGATGTCACTTGGTTTTATTCAAACTGCCTGACGGACACATGTGGGTGCAGCCGGGGTGGTGACTGTGAGTGCTTCTGCGCCAGCGTGTCTGCCTATGCCCACCAGTGCTGCCAGCAGGGGGTGGCTGTTGACTGGCGGACCCCCCGCCTCTGCCGTGAGTATCCCAGGCCCATCATCTGAGGGAACAGAGTAGGGTACCTTATAATACACTGGCCAGTGTTATTGAGTACCCAGTATGTGCCAGGCACCAACCACTTCATGGGTATTATTCACTGAGTTCTTATGCCTACCCTTTGCAATAAGATTGTGCATTCCTGTGTTACAGTTGGCCTAGGGAGGGAGGTAAAGTAACATGCTCAAAGTCACATGGATTAGTGGTGTAGCCAGGGGTCATCCCCAGACTGTACCAAACCTGTGCTTTTAACTATTCTGTTAGAGGTGTCTGGAGCCTTGGGTTTCAGGCCCAGAACTGCCATTTGCATGCTGTGTGACAGCAAACAAGCCACCCAGCCTCTCTGGTGCTCAATTTTCTCATCTGAAAAATAGCACTAGACCTGCCTCACCAGGGTTATTGTGAGAATCAAAAGGGATAATGAACATAAAAGCCCTTTGTCAGCTGAGCTACCAAGATCCCCACAGAGGCAGCACAAGTTATGTTTATTCAGAGCAGTGGTTGTGTGCAAATGCAGTTTATTGAACGTCTCTAAATACTTAAGCACACAGGTATTCACACATAATTTGATACATAAATATATACACATATATCAGTGGTAGTATAAATATATAACAGAACAATTTTAAATATAATGCATAATATACTAATATTTAATGTTAACTCTTAACAATATTTAATATTGTCTATAAAAGTTAATGTTTAAAAGATGAAGTAAATATATGGAAAGTTAATGATTATTAATTGATTACTGGTTATATATTTCTGCACACAATGGATCTCCCTGATACAAGCATACTCCGTGTTTGGGTGCAATAGTGATTACCCAGGTTCTGGAGTCAGACCATCCGTGTTTGGACCCCAGTTCCACTAAGCCAGCTGGCCTAGGTACATTCCTTACACTGAGTTTCCGTCTTTGTAGTAGAGGGGTGGAGACAACTGTTAGGATGTACATGAGACAATGCATGGGAAGCATTTGACCCAGTGCTCTGCACTTGTTGTGGGGGTTGCAGTCATTTTTTTTCATGGAGACATGGGTGCTGGTATGTCCTTCAGGTAGGAAGACCCTAGGAGGATGATGGGAAGCACCTGCCTTGAACCTCTCTTTCTTTTGCCTGTTTTCCTCTAAGATCCTTTACCACATATGCCCTGGGTCTTCATGCATTCTCTCTGTCCCTCTGCTTCTCTGATAGCAATCTTTCAGGAAGGAGAGGGACACAGACACTTACATAGTATCTACTGTGAGCCACACTCTGTGCCATGTGTGCATTACCTCATTGATACCCAGGACTAGAGTGAGGTGAGTGACATACTCATTGAAGCATGAGACTTAGGGGGCACCAGAAAACTCAGGAAACAAGCAAAATAACATATTAATGCAATGTTTTTTTAAAAATAAAAATGGCTGCAAAAAAATCCTTGATGAACAAAATATCAAAGGATCAATATTATTGATCTTTTTTCCTTTTGCCTCAGGCTCAGCCCATCTTTATTTTAAAATTTGATATTTTATCATGGGCTTTTGCATTAATTTTGGTGTAGAAAAACCATTGCATTAAAGTAGCATTTATTTTATTAACCTAAATAAGACACAGAGAAAAATTCTTCAGAGACTAATAAGTTTATTTGGGAATAGCACTGCAGTGGGAATATGTCTGCCAGAGTAAGCTGAGAGTGTATTCAAAGAGGCTGTGGCAAGGGGAAGTTCTTAGAGGCAAAATGAGATTTATATGATATTTTGGAAGCAAAACAATCCTTGGCTGTAAAGATTAAAAACAAGGATCAATAGTCCAAGATTGAACAGACAGTTTAGAACAGATGTCCTTGCAGAAGTGTTCTTGGTGCAAGGGTGTAGTTCGGGCAGGTTTTTGTGGTAGTTCTTATTTCCAGGTGTGTATATGTGAGATCCCCTTTCATGCCTTCCTCATTTCCTGCATTATTTTGTTGCTGCTGTTGGAGCTTTACACAAGTGACTCCGTTTGGTTCTGACAATTTCACGATTTAATTACTGGGAATTTTGTCCTCTCTCCTTAAATATTGCTCCTGAGGCAAGCATTTTGCCTTACCCTGGAAGGTGATAGCAGGAGGACACTAAATTTGGCAGATGTTAAGTAACCTGCCCCAGCACACTCAGTTGATGAGTGAAGAGACATGGGATTTGAACTCTGCTATGACCCCAGATAGCTGGCTTTTAAGGACTCTTCTGAGCCACCTGTTGACTGGGTACATAGCTGAAACCAGAGACTTGGACATAGAATTTCTAGTTCAAGTTATGTTTATTCAGAGCAGGGTTCACAAATGAGGAGAGGTTGGTACTCTCCTGTTGCCACATGGCAGGTTACTTCCTGAACGAGTGCCCTTGATGGAGGGCAATGTCAAAGATGTTAACCATAGGCTGGGAGTGTGGAGTGGAGTTGGTGACTGTCTTCAGACCATGCATACGTGTGAAGCAGACCCCTCCTCAACTTTTATCCCAGGTCCACCCAGCTCATACCTCATGACCTTATTCCTGGTTTTAGGTATCCCTGCAAGGTCCCAGCTTACTCTTGTGGATTGAGGAATCCATGGCTGAGGCACCAGGGGAACAGGCTGTGGTGCTAGACTCTGCCACTAGAGGGCGTGCTAAGATCACTGCTAGGAGCTTGTCAATGCCTGACTGATTGTTGGAAGTACTTCTGAGCCAGGGAGATTACACAGAAGAGCCTGAAGGAGCTTGGGACTCTGGAGGCCCTTGATCCCCTTCCCACTCAAAGCTCTTTGAAAACCACCTTCTTTCTTATGCTTGCATTCCTCCTCTGGAGATCTTCCACGATATTTCCAGCTGGAGCTCCTACTCCTTGGTTCTAAACCTACTCTTTAAAGCCACACAAAATACAACCTTCTGCCAGCATTCATTCATTCATTTATTCAACCCATTGCTGAACACCTACTTTGTGACAGGCTTTGAGTCTTGTGCTGGGGGTGCATAGAGGAACTTCTGTATTTCCTTATCCTTAAGACATCTGAATCTAAGACATTCCTAAATCTTGGAGTTTGGAAGCCAGGCCAGGCCTGGCTCTTGGGGAAGGAGGGAGGCTGGTATGCTAGGGGCCTTGACTCTATCTGTTCCAGGCTCTGAACCAGCTCTCAAGAAGTCTCTGTTCTCTCTTTCAGCATATGACTGTGACTTCTTTAACAAAGGTAAGCCCGTCATCCCCAAATGGAGACTCAAGGGCTAGGAACTGCCAGCCGTACCCTTATACCACACCAGCATTGGCATCCTGAGGTGCAGCTGTCCCTAGAAGAGCTTACATAGATCCGGGAGGAACTCTGTTATGCAAATAGCCCTGATAGTGCGGGGCCCAGGGATGCCCAGGGAACCTGTTCTATTGGTTCCTGCAGGCCCTGTGTGGGCCCAGGCCAGTCAGCTTCCCAGAGATTGTGCACACCCAGGGCAGCTTTGCCAGGAAGTACAACCCCCATTTGCACCAATGTGCCTTCTTTGCTGCCTTCCTAATGTAGCTCATCAGGCCCACGGAGTGTCGTCTTAGGTTCCCTGAAGATTTGAGTTGGCAAAAGCAAATGCAAACTGCTCTTTCTGAGGAAGCCTGGGGCAAAACATATGGCCTGTCAGATCCATCTTCAAATATAGTCAAGGTTTCAGGATACCAAGATATGCTCACACACCTAGATTGTTAATGAGGGCAAAATCAAAGGTCATAACTAAGGACCCAAGGAGGTTTAAGTATCCAGCATTAGAGCCATATGATCAATTTCATCCTGGGGCTGACCTGGCAGCAGGGGGAGGGCTACCCAGAGTATTTTTCAGCACTGAATTTTGTTCAGTTGGGCCAAGGTCAGGCCTTGGCAGAGATAGATACTCCTCTGATCCTTAGTGCTGTTCAACCTTGACTTCCAAGCTCCCAACCCTCAAGGTATCATCCTGCACAAGCCAGTCTGTGTGGGTATAGGCCTAAGGCTTTGTCCTCATTTATCTGCATTATCTGATTTTGGTTTGAGACACAACCCCTGACAAGAATATGGCAGGAAGGGGACGGGCTAGGGGAATTTTGCCCTCTCTCTTTAAAAAGACCCCCAGTTAGGGGGTCTGCAAGATTAGGGCTAGACTATGGTATAATGTTGGTCCCTAGGGACCAAAATACCAAAATGTTGGTCCCTAGGGAATCCTACTGGCCCCAAATCTTCAACTCCTAAAGGAATGAATCTCTAATGGAAGAATTGCAATCCTGGGACAGGCAGGGCCTGTCTGACATCAGGCAAGACATTTCAGCAAAACAACTCTGAGCAGAGATTTCTCCCTTCTGTGGCATTTTGGGTGGCAATAACTGGCAAAGGACAAGCTGTTTCTAGCATCCTCCACCTACTCACCCGCCCACCTCTTCGTTCCTTGCTCCACTCTTCTACCAACATTTTCTCTGGCCCAGGCCCTGTGGGGTGCTGGGAAGTCAATGGTAAAGGGACCTGTCACAAGGGATCCCTGGAGCAGCTCTCACTGCCTCCCTGGCACCCAGTTTGTGTTCCTAACTCCTCATTCAGTTGGTAGTTTGAAATCGATCACTGCTGAGAATATTTACACCATGGAAATCAGCAAACAATTCACACTCACTTTTACTTCTCCAGAGCCAATTGTTAACCATTTACCATATAGGACAGCCCATCTTCTGTTTGGTGGGGAAGATTACAGGGACCCCCAGTTCAGATCCTCATCATAGAGCTGGTGGGGCACAAAGAAAAAGGGAAAACTTTTGTGTGTTGCAGGAGAGGGTGCAGGGAAAGCTTCACCAAGGAGGTGACATTTGAGCTTGTCCCTAGAGACTGCGTAGGCATATGCCAGGCACAAAACAGAGGACTACTCTGTGGGGGTGGAACAGCATGATGGAGAAACGAGCTAGGACAGAGCATGGCTCTTTTAAGGAAGAGTGAGAGAAGTTCAGTGTGGCAGGGGCCAGGGAGTAGGGGAAGGGGTGGCACAGGTGTGTGTGTGTGGCAGGGGAGGGTTGGGCTCTTTGGATCTATGGGGGGAAGGCATGGGGAGCCCCAGACAAGTCCCAGAAGGGAGTGTTGCTCAGGTAGCCATGGGGGCACACCAGAGGCAGGAATCTCAGTTAGGAGACTTGCATTCACCTAGGAAACCCACGTCCCACTCTAACCTATACCTACAGCTACAGAACCTGAAGACACTAAAGTGTCATGTGCTTGAAATAAATAGGTGAATGCTACTGCTAAGCCCAACTCTCCTGGTCTTTGTTTCTCAGGCAGAGGATAGACAGAGATTAGGTATAGATGTCTTGTCTTAGGGTGACCCAGAACAGAGAAGTGACTGACATGGAAATGTTGCAGGAGTGAGATAGGCGTGGAGAGACATTTGGGGGCCTGGGTACCCTTTGGGGGTATCCTTCTGAGGTTCTCTGTGAAAGATTCAGCCACTGTGTAGAGGGTTAATTCCCTTCAGGGGCTTCCAGCCTGAATCTCCTCTCCCTTCCTTCTTATAGACATCAAAGCCTGGGATAAGAGGCCACAAACAGTCCCTCCCTGGCACCCAGCCTCTGATGTAGGTGAGATGGGTGGATGGGAGTTGGAGCTTATGACTGGCCTCTTTTCTCTAGCACTAGGTAAGGGCCCCTACCAGCTGTCCAGTGTGGCGGCTAGTGGTGCCCTGGTGGTCATGAAGGCTGTGGGCAATGACATAGCCCTAGTGAGGGCAGAAGATGTGGCACCAGGGGACATTGTGAATTTCCTGCTGACAGCTGCTCTGTACAAGGCCAAGGCCCATGGTAAGTCCCACCCTGGCCTCAGTCCAGCTCTTTTGGGAGAGAGGCAGGTGCTGAAGGAGGGGAGGCTGGGAGGGAAGGAGAGAAAGGAGGGGAGGAGGGAGGGAGAGAGGGGGGTAGGATATAAGAGAAGGAGGCAGTTCAGCTACCTTCTGAGGCTCTGTAGTCAGGGACTTCTGTAAACCTTCACCTCCCCCCAGACAGAGATAGTGGGAACAGGAGGCAGCTGGCAGGCAGAAGTAGTTGGCTGAGGGAACCAGGGAAGCTATGGAGGAGCAGGACCCTGTAGCCCACAGGGGACTGCCACCCTGAGCCAATTGCGAATGCAGACCTGTGCCAGCGTGCTGCCTGCCCACCCTCAGTCTGGACCCCTCTGTGCTGACCTTACCCATGTGTCTCTGTGCAGACCCAGATGTGGTATCTCTGGAGGCAGCAGACAGACCCAACTTCTTCTTCCATGTCACCGCCAATGGGTCTGTGGAGCTGGCTAAGTGGCAGGGCAGTGAAACCTTCCATCACCATGCCTCCTTCTTGCTGCATCAAGGGACTTGGCGGGTGGGCCTGGTGGCCCTGGAATCTCTGGCAAAGCCAGGCTTCTTCCTCTATGTATCAGGCCTTGGGCTGGCCTTGCGGCTATATGAGCACACAGAGGCATTCCGCTGGGGCACACTCTTCCACCTTTGGGGTAGGTGTCTACTTGTCATCACCTTTGGGCTTTGGCCCTTGGTCCTCACTCAACTACTCTTCCTGCCCTTTCCCAACTACTCCTTTCCCATTGCCCTAATAGACAGAACTCTTACCCTCCTGGCAGAGGGAGGCCATAAGCAGCCTCCCCTAGGATAGAAAGTGACCTGTTCTCCATGTTACCAGTCTAGGAAGCCATGAGCAGTGTGGCTTGGGGACCAGCCAGTTTCCTGGGTCCTGCCTCCTATCACAGGCTAATTACATGGTCTAAAAATACATGGCCTTTGTGGAAGTGAGGGGAGAAATGATCCTGGTGGCAGCTCACATAGCTGATGGCTCAGGTTTCCTGCGGATGGTTACACTTCTGCTCCGTAGCTTTGAGACCGCCCACTGGGGCACCAGGCTGAGGAGCCAGCAGCCTCCACTTCTCCCATGGGAGGCCTGTGCAGTGGTGGGGCAGCTCCCTCGTCTTTCCACTAGAGGCTAAGGTACTCTCCCCCTGCCAGGTGGGTCTGTTCCCAAAATGTAGATCTCTGCCTAAACCTCGGGGCCATTCTTACAGGAAGCGGTCATACACTGAGTCCTCCATGAACCCCAGCCTCTACAAATTCATCAATTTATAGAGACTGATGGCAGAAGTAGGCTGTGTCTCCCTCTTGAAGACACTAAGGCAGAGTAGAATGATCCCAGGTTTTGAAGCTGGACAGCCTGCGCTCTAATCCTGACCCTGGTCCTTGGTACTTGGACAACCTCCATCATTCTGTGACTTTACCTCTAAAATGGGAACATATGCCTCAGAAGGCTGTTGTGAGGATGGACTGGTTCCCAAGAGCTTTGCACTAGGCTTGACACATAGTAGATGTTCCCTAAATGCCAAGCTCTTGGAAAAGCAGTTTCTTCATGGTTGGTAGCTATGTGGGGATCAGGGTCAGAATGGGCTGACAGGGTGGGGCTGCTCCCCTCAGCTTGTGGCAGAGCCTGCCCACACCTCCCTGCTCAGACTGCAGTTTTAGAGACTGGTCGCTTGTGCCAATATAGTCTGGGGCCAGGTCTGCCTCCAAGCCCCAGTCATCACAGGCCACAGAGCCTTCCCTAATTTATCCAACACTGGCCACAGGGGCCTCTTTTGAGAACATCTCCCCTGGAAAAGTTTATTTTCCCACCATCATCTGTGCCTCAGTTTCTCCATCTATAAACTGGGGTTAATAACAGTGCCTACTTCATAGGATTATTGGGAGGATTAATGAGTAAGTATGTATGAACTGTTCAGTGTAGGGCTCAGTGCTGTGTAAGAGTTGGTTATTGTTATTGTCATCATTGCTCCAGCTACTTGGGCAACAAGGGCAGCTCTCAAGCTGTAACAAGGTCCTAAGAGGCTACTTTGGGAAGGCCCCTGGATACAGAAAGCAGAGCTTGGGGAAGAGGGCCTCCTCTACCTGCTGGACAATTTTCTAGCAGGGCCTTGGGCTCAGAGTTCCCCAGTGCCTCACTCCACCCCTCAAGGGTGAGTCTCTTACCTTCATAGAGGTCTGCAGTGGCCCTGCCAGAGTAGAGCATAAAGGAGGTGACTGTGTCCTGGGGTGCAGGGCAAGCCTGTAACCAAGGTCCCAGAGGAGCAGGGTGACAAGGAAGCCTTAGTGAAAGATCAGGAGTCCAAGCCTCCTCTTTGGCCATCCTCAAAACCCCAATCCACCTACTCACATGAGGGCTCCTTCAGGCTCAGCCTACCCCAAATTCAAAGCTCCCTATCCCTAGGATTCCCAGGCTCTGACTCCAGGCATCATGGATATAGTTCTCTTAGCTTGGCTTTTTCTCCCTTCACTTTTCCTACACGAGTCCACTTGACTCCTCCACTGGGTAGGGAGGTCATGCGCTGAGCAGGGATTACCTCTGTGCTCTGGTGCTTGATAGAGCTGGTGCCCAGCCTCCATCAGTGGAGAGACTCTCATCTTTCTAGATGCCAAGTCACTGGGGGCTGCCTACCCAATCTGTGAGTGGCGCTACGATGCCTGTGCCAGCCCCTGCTTCCAAACCTGCCGGGACCCACAGGCAGCCAGCTGCCAGGATGTACCCAGGTGAGGGGCCAGGGGATTCTGGGTGTGGAGTCCAGATGTGCACAAGTGTTTTGAGCATATATATGTACATGTTTGTATACACATACACATGTGTGAATGGGCTTGTTTGTAGTCTGTGGGCAAGCGCATGAGCATGTATTAAGATGTATGTACTCAAATGTGCCTGTATATGAGTGTTTCTTGTGTGTATGGGGATGTGTGCCCCAGAGTAAATGTGTTTCTTTATATCTTTATATTTGAGTGTGACACACATACAAACAGACACACAAATGTGTGTATATCTATTTGTGTATGATGTACTTACAGCTGAGCCTTGTGTATGTTTGTATATCCAAGAGTATATGAGCTGTCCACAGCTGCACCTGTGCACATGTGAGCTGCATGTAGGTGGGTATTGTGTTCATGTACAAGGTGATACATTATTGTTTGTGGGAGCCTGTGTAGATATGTATGTATGTGTAAATATTTTGGAACCCTTCAGGTTTGCAGGGAGTACATGAGGCTGTGTAAGAATGTGCCTTTGTGGAGACACGTGAGCATGTGCACAGTGTGTGCATAACTGTATCCTGTGCATGCATTCTCCCTTTTAGCCTGATGGGTAGGAGTGTGTAGTAGTGTGTGGCACATATATTTGGGTATGTGAGCTCCTGTACATGTGTGTGACAGTATCTCTGTGGAGGTTCATGTGAGAGTGTGTATGATAAACCTGGGCACATACACACACGTATCCTAAGGAAGGATGAGATCTGTTTTATCCAGGTAAGAAAGGGTGACCAACAAATATTTTAGACCATTAAACTGCTCCCTGCTCTGTCCTCAGGATAGAAGGCTGTGTCCCTGTGTGCCCTGCTCCCAAGGTCCTGGATGAAATCACACAGAGATGTGTCTACTTGGAGGATTGTAAGTGGCCTGAATTTTCCTTTCTCCCTCAGATTTCCTCCAGTCCTCAGGGTGTTACTGAGGAGTCATGCCCAGAACCCTGGATCCTAGATCAACAGGGTCAGCACAGGGCCTTCCAAAGGAAAAAGAGCAGGCAGAGCCTCATCTGGCCCATTTGATCCATTTATAGAGAGAGAGAAAAAAACAAGGCACAGAGTGGGAATAGCACCAGCTTGGGGTCGACCTTATTTACTTAAATAATTTATTTATATGTGGTGCCGCGAATCGAACCTAGTGCCTCACACATGCCAAGCAAGTGCTCTACTACTAAAACACAACCCCAGCCTTCAGCTTGGTATCTTATAATGAGTAGGTGGGGCAGCCAGGCTTAGACTTAGTTCTCTTGGCTCTGGATCAGGATTTGAGGTCGGGACAGTCTGATAACTTCTCTAAAGTCATCCAATGTCAAGGCACAGCCATTGGAAGCTGTCCTCACCCTATCAGTTAGGGTGCCAGTTGTCCAGGCCCACACTTCAGTCTTGCCTAGGGATGGTAGCCTGGGGCTGCAGTCATCTCACCTTCCGAACCTCTTCTCTTGTCTGCTCAGGTGTAGAGCCTGCAATTTGGGTTCCCGCAGGGGCGCTTGGCAATGAGACTCTGCCTCTCGGGCAAGTGCCACCCACCTCCAGTGACAAGCAACCTCAACTTCTTCAGGAAACTCTCAGGGCCCCCACCTACAGGCCAGCTCTCACTCCAGCAGCTCCACTCACCGGGGCCCTGAACCCACCAATGGCAGCCAGTAAAGTGCCAGTACTATCCCCAAGCCCCACCCAGTCCTCTCTGCAACAGCCACTGGGGCTCACCGCATCCAACCTCTCTACCCACCCCACAGAGGCCCCTGCCAGCAAGGGAGCGACTACCAGCCTCCTGGCCACCTCCTACCCCCCAGAATCTGCAACCCTCCCCCTTTTGCTGCAGACACCTACACCTGGCATGGTATCAGGTGCTGTGGAGACAGCCAGGGTGACTATGACCTTCGCAGGGAGCCCCAACATCACAGTCTCCTCACGGTCACCCCCTGCACCTCGCTTCCCACTCATGACCAAAGCAGTGACAGTCACAGGTCATGGCTCCTTGACTATTAAGACGACACCCCTACAGCCTGCCTTGCCAGCAAGTATCTCCTCCAGGCCTGTGGCTTCTTCTGGAGTGATCTCCATGTCCCCTACCTCCTCAGGATCCCACAAGACTTTGTTGACACCCTCATTAGCTAAGGTCACAAACAAGACAGAGATCCCCCAGCCCATTCAGACCCAGACCCTTTCGAGTCCCAGCAGCTCCCCGGCCACGTCCAGCACAGCACCACAGCAGACTCCAGTTAGTTCTCTTGCCGCAACAGGAAGGCAGGTAGTGCCATCCACAGAGAAGGGTGCGACTGGGCATGGCCATCCCATAGGACTGCCAGCATCCCCACATCCAAGTCTAGTCCCCACTGCCCTGCCCCGCCCAGTCCAGCATACCTCAGCTACCAGGCCTACAGCTCTGTCCCCAGGGCCCCTAGTAGCCACCAGCCTGACCACAGTTGCTCACGGGCTAGGGGCCACAGCCTCCAGGTATCTGGAGTCAACTCGGCCATCCCAGCTCCTCTCTGGTCTGCCTCCTGATACCAGCCTACCCTTGGCCAAGGTGGGCACATCTGCCTCAGTGGCCACATCAGGCCCCAAAGGCTCTGTCATCACGCCTCCACTTCAGCATCAGGCCACGTCTCTGACGATAACCACAACTCCACCTGCTCTGACACTTAGCCCAGCACTGCCTCTCACCCCGGCTGAAGATACAACAAGCATAGCTCCAGGCCTGCTTCTGGGAGCCAAACGCCCAACCTCTGGAGGTGTGGCCATGGCTGCAGGGGTGGCCTCCACAGTATCCATTGCTCCACGAAAGAGCACCACACAGAAAATGACCATCCTTTCCAAGCAAGTGTCTCTGCCTACTTCTGTATATGGTTCTGCCCAAGGTGGGACCACAGAGTTCACACCTGCTGTGGTCCGCACCCTTGCCACATTGGTGACTGAGGCTGAGGGCTTCTGGACTGGCACAGTGTCACCAGTGCCCACATCCTACCCATTGGGCCATGTTTCAGCCAGGACGAGCTCCCGGGAGAGCTCACTGGTTCTGCTGCCTCAGCAGACAGAGGCCCATGGAACCTCAGCAGGGCCCCAGCCCCAAGCGGAGCCAGTTGGTGAGGCCACCACAGAGCAGTCTGGGCGCTCAGCCCCAGCCCAGAGCATTGCACAGGGTCCTGCTGAGTCCTTGTCAACCACTACTGAGGCCAACACATCTGCCACCTGTGTTGTGAGTGACTTGTCCCTCCAAGCCTTCTATCCCCCTGCCATTAGACTGGACACTAGTACATTGCGGGCCAGCTGCAGCCTCCGTCTTTAACCAGCTGCCGGGATGCAGTCACGGTCCTCATGCTTGCCCAAATCTGCTGGTGTCTGAAAACTTCCCCAGGTCCTCTAGGTCCCCGAAGTCATAGCTAGGTCCTACTCTGCCCATCTGGGCCCCAGGGGCTGATTGGATGGCTTGGTGTGATGCCCAGGGTGTGAGAACAAGGGTGTGCCAGTAGGTGTGTGTTTGTGTCTGAGTACCTGCATTGAGATGGTCTTCCCACTTTTGTGTTCATGTGTGTCTGACTTCCAATGAGTGCTCGTGTGTGTGTGTTCTTGTAGCGTGTGAGACATGTTTATGTAAAAGAGGGAGAAAATGGGTGTGTTTGTATGCACGTGCCACACACATGCACATGCATGTGCAGGCTTGCTTGGGTGTCTTGAGTGTGAGCTAGTGTGACTGTATGTCTGTGTACCTGAGGGCAGGCGGATATGCAGAGGTTTCAGGGAATCTGTCCCTTGGTCCCCAATCTGTTACTATATGCAGCCCCAGACCCCAGATAGTTTGGTAGACTGGTAGAGGGTGAGGGCACCATTTCCTATTAGTTTTTACTTCAAAGTCCCCCGCCCTATTAGAAACCTGCATCGTTCCAGCAGATTTGGGGGGAGAGGAGGGACTGTAGCCCCTGGGATGAGCACTCATGCTGTTTCTCCACTCTGTGCCCAGCCAATTGCAGAGCAGGACTGCATCCGCCACATCTGCCTAGAAGGCCAGCTGATTCGTGTGAACCAGTCCCAGCACTGTCCTCAGAGCGCTGCACCCCCTCGCTGTGGGGTCCTGGGCCTTGCAGTGCGGGTGGGCGGGGACCGCTGCTGCCCCCTCTGGGAATGTGCCTGTGAGTCATGGGTCAGCCAAAGCCTCGGTGTCCTCTTGTACTCCTACCCCAACGTGACCTTTACCCCTGATTTGTGTGTTCCCCTGCCTCCTCTCCCACGGGCCTGTCATCAGTGTGACCCCCTGACCTGGCAGATTTCCTACCCTTGCAACCTCTGATCTCTGTGAGACCCTTGATCTGAGGCACTCTCCAGACCCTAAGGCCTCTGAATAATCTAGGAAAGGGCCCAGGCACCTGCCCTGTCTTCCTAAGTGGCCTTGGCCTTGGAGGCATCTGTTTATTTTCCTCCTGCCCTACCCCTGCCCTTGCCCCCAGGTCGATGCTCAGTCTTCCCTGACCTGAGCTTCGTGACCTTCGATGGGAGTCATGTAGCCCTGTTCAAGGAGGCCATCTACATCCTCAGCCAGAGCCCAGACGAAATGATCAGCGTCCATGTCCTGGACTGCAAAAGTGCCAACCTGGTGACTGTGCCTTACCTCCCTTCCTGACACACCCTGGGAATTGAACTAGATTTAGAGGGGCAATTGAGAAGTGAGCTGGTTGTTTTGTTTGTACCAGGAATTGAACTCAGGGATGCTCTATCACTGAGCCACATCCCCAGCCCTTTTTATTTTTTATTTTGAGGTAGGGTCTTGCCAAATTGCTTAGGGCCTTGCTAAGTTGCTGAGGCTGGTTTTGAATTTGCAATCCTTCTGCTTCAGTCTCCCGAGTAGCTGGGATTTCAGGTGTGCACCACTGTGCTTCACTCATTAGCTGGTTTCAAAGGGTCCCAGAGGTGAGGACAGATGTGAAAACACCTCTTCTGCAGCTTCCTCTGTCTCCCAGGAATCTCTTGGAATGGTCTCTCAGAATAGCTCCCCAAGTGACCATGGGAAAGAGTTGAGTGGAGAGCACCACTCTGGGCCCTTCCTGGGGCTGGCACCATTCTCAGTATACCAGCCTCCAAGGCACATGTAGGACAGTACTAAAGTACAGAGGAGCAGGAAGGTCACTTTGAGGGTGTGGTCTGTGATCACGGGTGCCAGCTGCAGAAGATTGCCTACCAGGATGCCCCCATGAGCCAGGCGGAAGGAGGCAGCTTTTTTCTTATTTATTTTATTTTATTTATTTTTGGCTGGATTTTCATGAGGTCAGGTGCAACCAGAAATGTTCTGTGAGATTTCGTGTACCTTGTTCATCCCTGTGAGTGTGCTCACACTTGCTGTACTTGTTTACTTTGAGCAAAACTCAAAACAGGAGTCTGGGTTGATGAGGCTGGGTTCTCTCTGCAGGGACATCTGAACTGGCCCCCATTCTGTCTGGTGGTACTAAATGTGACTCACCTGGCCCATCAGATCACAGTTGACCGCTTCAATAGGAAGGTGAGTGTATCAAAGACATGAACTCCATGCAGGGCAGCAATCATAGAGGGTCAGGGTATCCAAGGGTGGAGGGGCCTTGAGATTTAGTTAATTGGGGGCAAGGAGCAGGAAGAGACTCTTTTATCACAGCAAAATTAGGTATATCTAGAAGTTATTTTAATTAGAATGCTTGTTCCCACTCCATTGTCAGGGGAGGAAGGGCACCAGGAGGGATTGTGATAAGATGATGATGAAATGGCAAGACATGGTGGCCTTAAATAATTGCTGTTAAAATATCTCACTTTTGCAATTTTTATAAAAACATATGGCCATGTAAACACATTACTAGGGCACAATTCAGGAGATATATAAGTGAGGAATCCCTAAATCTAAGCTTCATAAGCTTGATATTAAATCTCCCATGGTCAGCCCACCGTGAGTGGGGATCCCTCTCCACAAGAGGGACTGACTATATACCAGCCTCCAAGGCACATGTAGGACAGTACTAAAGTACAGAGGAGCAGGAAGGTCACTGCCTAGCAGGCTGGTCTATGTCTCCATTCTCAGAGTTATGATTTCCACCCCCATTCCTGTGTAAAGACCTGCAGCCTTCCTATAGGAATCTGCTCTTGATCTCTGAACTCGAGGTCATCACACTAGAGCTCTCATAAATAGGGCTAGGGACAGTGGGCTTATCATGTGATGAAAGCTTATGCAAAATATTCCCTGAATTTCATTGCTTAGTCTTTTTATTTCTTCATTCTTAAAAATTAAATTCATTCTGTTTAATAATATACAATCTGAAGTCTCATAGCTACCACCACAGTCATGTCATAGGACAGTTCCATCATCCTGATTGTGGGTGCATCTCACCATATGCTTTGTGCAATCTATATGACATTTTGGAAAAACAAACCACAGAGACAGAAGACAGCAGTTGTTAGGAGGTGAAGGAGGCGCCCACAACATTGATACTAATAATTGTGTCTTTGGTGGTCCCTGACCAGCTGGCTAGGGATTTATTGTTCTTCTCAAAGAATGGATTCATAGGTTTTCTCTATAGTTTTTGTTTTTTATTTCATTGATTTCTGCTCTTCTCAAATATTTATTTTACTTACTCTGGGTTTAATTTAGTCTTTTTTTTTTTCTAGTTTATTAAGGTAGGAGCCCAGGTCATTGATTTGAGACCTCTCTTCTTTTTTCAGAAGTCTGAAGTGCTACAGTTTATCCTTTAAGTACTGATTAGCTGTATTGTACATGTTTTATTATGTTGCTTTCAGTTTTATTAGTTCAGCATACTTTTTTATAGTTCAACATAAATATACCTTTGACTTTTATTTGACCCATGAGTTATTTATAAGTGTTTTATTTAGTATCCAAATATTTTGTGATTTTCCAGAAACTTTTCTGTTATTGATTTCTAACTTAACTCCACTCAGAAAATACAATTTGTCAAAACCTGAACCCTTTTAAATTTAACAAGGCTAGTTTCAGGTAGCTTTCTTACCTGTACTGATCAATATTCAGCTGAAAATTCAGAACAGAGTCAAGACAGTGTCAGGAGGGACTCTACAAAGCTTCAGAGCACAACTTTTTCTCTTCAGCTCTGTTCTCTGAAGTAATCTGCCCTGCAAACTCTAGCTTTGTTGGCCTCCATGAACCTCCAACTCTTGTAAATTCAGGGTAACTTCTACGCTTTGCCTGGGTGCTTTATCCTTACACTGTGGCCTAGAAACTCTCTGAGCAACAATGGGCAATCATAGGGCTCACCTCATTTGTTTCCCCCTTTTCAGGAATTACTCTATTGTGCTACCAACTGTTCAATATATTTTAATATATTTTGTCAGGTTTTTTTTTTTTTTGGTGGGGGGGGTGGTTATATAGGCAAGAGGGTAAATCCAGACTTTATTACTCCGACTGGGTTGGAAGAGGAAGTCCAAATCCTTACCTTTGAAACTTTTGTTTGTTGTCCTTGCTTGCACTTGGAGTCCTGTGAACATAGACGAGGATCTCTGACTTCAAATATGGATATTCACTCCCAGTACTTGGAGAATGTTTATGGATTATGGAGCCCAAGCCCTTCTTGGAACAAATAAGAAGGCTCAGGCTGTGGGAGAGATAGACTTGTCCAAAGTCACAAAGTTTTCTGACTCCTGGATTGGGACTCCCTCTATGCCAACACAGTTTTTCATGTGCTAGGTAATTTGCAAAGTGATTAATAAAACAGCTTATTCTTGAAAGAAGGAGGTTAAGTCATAATAAATATTTTATAATCTTAATCTTTTTCCTCTCTCAGTTTTATAGCATAAAACTAATAACCCATGATACATCCAAATTTAATCTTGTTAATATAGAGCAGAGGTCATAGTTTTGAATTTAAAAGTGTGAGAACTAAGTGTGTTGAATATTTAACAATTAGGGAGGAAGAGCATGAGAAGAAGATCACCATTAAACAGGGACGAGAGGGGGGAGGGAAAGAGAGAGAGAAGGGAAATTGCATGGTAAAGGAAGGAGACCCTCATTGTTATACAAAATTATATATAAGAGGAAGTGAGGGGAAAGGGGAAAAAAACAAGAGAGAGAAATGAATTACAGTAGATGGGGTAGAGAGAGAAGATGGGAGGGGAGGGGAGGGGAGGGGAGGGGGGATAGTAGAGGTTAGGAAAGGCAGCAGAATACAACAGACACTAGTATGGCAGTATGTAAAAAAGTGGATGTGTAACCGATGTGAATCTGCATTATGTATATCGGGTAAAAATGGGAGTGCATAATCTGCTTGAATCAAATGTATGAAATATGATATGTCAAGAGCTTTGTAATGTTTTGAACAACTAATAATAAAAAAATTAAATTAAAAAAAAATACTGATTAAGCCCCCAGTATGTGTCAAGTCCAGATGTAGGTTCTGGGAATTCAAAGAATCAGACATAGTTTCTTCCCTTAAGAAACTCATGGGAAACTTGACTAACAAACAAATAAATTTTGTCTCAGTGGTCCATCCCAGAGATGGACTGACCCCATAGGAATGTCTAATCCAGGCTGATGATTTAGGGAAATTTTTCCAGAAGAAATTATCTGAGCAGAATCAGGAAAGAAGAAAATGATTGGAGTGACTCAGGATTTATATTTATGCAAACATCAAGATGTAGCCTGCCTACTGTTAATTTTATTGTTTTTGCTCATAAAAGTATTTCTAAAATTCTTCCATGCCACCTTGGACTGTGTCTTGGTTATGTGTGCCTGAAACAGAGCCTGGCACATAGGAGATGCCTAATAAATGTCTGTCAGATGATGGATGGACAGATGTATGCATGAAGGGATGGATGAAAGGATGGATGAACGGACGGATGGATGGAAGGATGGACAGATGGATGGATGGAAGGACAGATGGGCAACTTGTGCTCACACTGAATCCCTCACTTCTCCAGATAACTGTGGACTCACAGACTGTGCGGCCACCTGTGAACAGGTACGGGTTCCGAATTGAGGATACAGGACACATGTACATGATCCAGACTCCTTTATACATCCAGATCCAGTGGCTCCACAGTTCAGGACTCATGATCCTGGAGGCCAGCAAAGCCAGCAAGGCCCAAGGCCATGGCCTGTGTGGTGAGGTGGGACCCAGCTGTGGGAGGGGAGTGTTTCCTTAGTCCATCACTACCAGACTCAGGTTCTTCTGGACCAGGAGAGTCTGGGACAGTTTACTAGGCCAGGGGTGGGACCAACAGAGCTGCCAGGACAGCAGGGTATAAGGTCTTGTGTTCTGAAGCTGAAGCTGCTAGCAGAGAGATGGTGCAGTGCTGTGGTCTTAGCCAGTTGTCTTCAGCCAGGATTGTCTGTCAGCTTCCCTGACAGCCTCCTAATGCCAGATAATCCCTCCCGTCTGCATGTGCCTGACCCTTCACAAAGCACTTCCACACTCTGAGCTCACTTATTCCAGGTCATTCACACAATAGCCCCAAGAAGTGGTCCTTAGTATTCCCATTGAACCAAAGAAGAAAGGGGGCTCAGGGAGGTTAAGTGGTTGCCTAAGGGCATATGGCAGAGCTGCCACAACATGCAGAACTAATGCTCTTTAGACCATAGAATGATTGCAGAGAGCATACTCTAAGGGACTAGATGTGTTTGGCTAAGAAAAAGAGGTACAGGAAGAGTCTAGATGTGGACTTCTGCTCCTTGCAGGGCCACTCCATGACAGATTGCTGTGATCATGATGATGGGTCTCACGGACACACACACACTCACTCCCAACTGCCATCCTCCACTTGCACCCTTTGTGTTCATTCATATTCATGCCCCTGCATTCAAAATGCCCCCTACACATGCTCTTGTACTTGTGAATCAGCCCCATGCTAATTTTTCCTTTTTGCCACACATAATTACTAAGTACCAGTCACTGGGGAAAGAACGGTAAGCAAAACAAAATCCCAGTTTGATGGGGCTTCCATTCTCACTGACACACCTTTCATTACACTCACACATGTGCATGTGCACACACACCCCACCACCACCACTACCACCACAACCACTCTTTTCTCACCATTTCTGCCTTCTACTCTGCTCATCCCTAGCAAAGATCACTGTGGTCAGCAGGCAACTGGCAGGTCAACTCTTCCCAGGATGCTTTTGTAATACCCCTTGGTGACTCAAAATCAAGACCTAAAATGTGTCCATTAAGACTGTTAATAAGATCTGAGAGCTTTGACTCAAATTATGCTTCATATTCACCAAACTGGTGGTTGGAGATGTCAGAGCAGAAAGTCAGATTATAGCTCTATTTTATCTGAACTAATATCCTGAGCATCCCACTAGGCAAACGGGGGAATGATGAGATAAGTGAGAATCTAAAGGAAAATGAGTCCTGTCACTTTTTGTGAAAGAAAGACCTGCAAACCAGCAACTCTTATGTAGAATTGGGAAGGTCATGAATGGGTGAATCTGAGATGCCCTTGAAAAAAGTATGTCTAAGAAAGCATTTCAGGCAGAGAAGTATGTGTCTGAAGCTAGAGTGTGAGATGAAGTCAGAAGTTCCCAAATGATTAGTGATTACTCAAAGCCCAGATGCCTTCTATCTTGTGGTTCTGCCATTTTTAGCACAAGCTACCAACTCTACAGAGGAGATGTGTTTGGGAAGTTTCTGTGGACTAGGTCTGGAAATGGTGTCCTGCACCTCTATTCACATACTATTGGCTGGGACTCAGTCACATGGTCTCACCCAGCCACAAGGGAGGCTGGGAAGAATAGGCTAACTGGCTTGACGAAGAAGAGGTAACCAGTGTTACAATTAACCAGCAGTTTCCATTAAAGCATATTCTTTTGGATAACTTTGTATTTCAATGTCAGACTTAGAAGTTGAAAAAATATTATAAAGAAGTCCCATTATTTTTTACCCAGACATACTACTTATTCACATTTTTTTGCTTTTGCTTCTCCCTCCATATATATACACATACATATATACATACATGCATATACGTATGTACATACAATTTGTGTATACACATGTGCATATGCGTGTGTGCACTTTCTGAACTATTTGAAAACAGATTCAAGACTTCTCTCCTTTTATCCCTAAATCCTTTGAGTGTATTTCCTTAGGAAAAAGACATTTTCTTTCACAGGAGTTTTCCTAGTTTCTTTGTACCTCATTTCCCTTATCTGTAAAATGGAGATAATAGTAATACTTTCCAAAGAATTGTCATGGTGAACCTTCAGAGTGAGAACTGAGGACTTGGCAGAGGATAGTGGCTTTTGTGACTATTGGAATAATTCTGCCCCTTTCAGGGATCTGTGATGGAGATGCAGCCAATGACCTCACCCTGAAGGATGGCTCTGTGCTGGGCAGGGCTGAGGATCCTGCTCCCTTTCTGGACAGCTGGCAGGTGCTCAGCTCCTTGACCTCAGAAGGCCAGACCCGGTTCCGCCCAGACAGCTGTGCCACTGCAGACTGCTCTCCCTGCCTTCGCATGGTGTCCAACCGCACCTTCAGCGCCTGTCACCGCTTTGTATGTGCTGAGTTCAGCATGGGGAGACCTCCTGAGCTGGGGGAGGGGGCAGCAGCTACTTGCAGAGGCACACTCTTTTCCCTGGGCATGGCTGGGAGGAGCTGGGTCCTGGGATTTGGGGCACTAAGGTAGACAGCACTGCCTGATGCATATGCCCAGGTTCCCCCAGAGTCGTTCTGTGAGCTGTGGATCCGGGACACCAAGTATGTACAGCAACCCTGTGTGGCACTGACCGTATATGTGGCTATGTGCCACAAGTTCCATGTGTGCATTGAGTGGCGGCGCTCTGACTACTGCCGTGAGTTGGGGGACAGGGAATCTCTGCCTTTGGGACTCTTGTTCCCATCCTGTTAAGAGTATAAAGAGGCTTCCAGACCCATGTTTAAGTCTATGCTTTTCCAAATTTAGCTGTTCCTTCATTTGTTGATTTATATTAATTAATAAACTTATAAATAGTATTTCATGAACAATCTATATTTTATATTAATCAATAAAAATTATTTTATTATAATTTATTATCATAAATTTTTAAAAATTAAATTTAAAAATTCAAAAAGCAATTATTTTAATATATTATTTAATTTATTTGAGTTTCCCATACATAAAATGGGGATAATAATTATAGCTTCCTTTTAGCGTCATCTTGAAGATGATAGTAGATAATGTGTGCAGGGTGCCCTACACATGCTCATCACATGGTTACTAGCATGAAAATATTAGTTCTCTTGCCCTAATTTTTTATTTTGGTCTCTTCCTCCTTCCTTGATGTTGGAAATAAGATCCACTCCCTTCTAATCTCCACTCAATAGTAAGTAGGCATGCATGGCCTGGGATAGAGCAGTCTGATTTCTAAACACGAACACATACAAAAAGGTTGGGTACAGCTCATACCTGTAAGTGTTGGGGAAGACCATACCTATAAAATGACAGATAAAGAGGAAAAGACATAAATACCTTCTGTAGTGTTTTTCAAACCTTGGATCCTAACACAGGGGGGTATGAAGTTAACTTGGGGGGCCAGCACTAGCATTTTAAAAAGTGTTATAGAATAGAATAGAAAATACTAGATTTATTGCATATAGGAAATTAAGTATCATTTTAGAAAAATATTTTTAGTTTCAATACATCAGCCATTCTCAATCCCAACTACCCTTTTTAGTCACAAGGGGAACTTCTGAAAATACCAATGCTCAGGTTTCCAGTCAGAGGTTCAGCTGGTCAGGGACAGGTCCCAGTAATGGTATTTTCAAAACTGCCAAAAGATTCTTTTGCAGTCAGGCTCAAGGACCACTGTTCAACACACTTGTGTGGACTGCACCATGATGTAAAATCTATTTATTACAGTCAAACAGTGAAAACAGTCATCTAGAGCGAGGGCTTAGCAAACTTTTTCTTAAAAGGGCAAATAGCAAATATTTGAGCCTTTGTGGGCCATATGTTCTCTAGTGCAAGGACTATATTACAAAAAGAGCCACAGATGATATATAATATATGAAAGAATCGTGCAAGAAATGCCATGGCTACATTCCAGTACAACTTCACAGGCAGGATTTGGGCTGTGGGCTGTACTTTGCTGACTTCTGATGGAGAGGAAGGAGGTCTCACACCAAGCCCCTTGACTTAGGTGCTCAGTGCTCTGAGCCCTCTTCTCACCACTTCCTGCTCTTTGGCTGTCAGTGGGGAGCCCTACATAGGGTCTGAACTAGTCCTGGTACCCACTTTGCCCCTGCAGCCTTCCTGTGCTCCAGTGACTCTACCTACCAAGCTTGTGTGACAGCCTGTGAGCCCCCCAAGTCATGCCAGGATGGGATGCTGGGTCCACTGGACCCTGAGCAGTGCCAGGTACTGGGTGAGGGCTGCATCTGTTCTGAGGGCACCATTCTGCACCGGCGCCACTCTGCGCTCTGCATCCCTGAGGACAAGTGTGGTAGGTTCCTTCCCTCCCTGTGCAGGCCCTCCCAAGCTGGCCTCATGCTCCTCATAGCTCCTCATAACTGGGGGTCCCGCTGTGTCCTTTCAGTTCTGCTCTGGAATGGTCAGTATGGCTGGGAGGGTATAGCCTGGGACAGTCTAGGTCTTCTCCCTTCCTCAGTCCTCTGTGCCCCAACATGCCTCCACTGCAGCATGCACCGACAGCATGGGGGTGCCGCGGGCCCTGGGGGAGACCTGGAACAGCTCCCTCAGTGGCTGCTGCCAACACCGGTGTCAAGCCCCAGACACCATCGTACCAGTGGACCTGGAATGTCCTCGCCCCCAGCCTGAAAGCTGCCCACGCTTTGGGGAAGAGGCCCTACTCCTGCCCACTGAGGACCCCTGCTGCCTGGGGATTGTCTGTGGTGAGTCCCAGCCTTTACTTCCCTGGCCCTCAACTATAAGACAGTTAAATGCCTCCAGCCCTGCCTGGCAAACCTGATGGATGAGGCCTGAAAAAAATTGAAGCATCTTGTGTGGAGTGAGCTGGGAGGAGTGGAGAACAGCGCCAGGGTTGGGGGCAGGCAGAAGCGGAGGCTTGGGTGGGTGTGAGGTGGTGTTCAATTTAAAGACAATGGCCCTGGGTCAGACACCTGGTGAGCTCTTCTTCCACCACCTTGTAGCCTGTGACTTCTGGCAACTCATGTAACATTGGTTGTGCCTCAGTTTGTTCTTCTGTTACATGAGAGTTAATAGTCACTTTGGGTTGACTGCAAAAATTAATTATTGTATTAATACTGGTTTGAGCAGCATTTGGCACATGGTACAGCTCCATGAATGATTATTGTTCTTTTGTCCAAGTCCTGGGCCTTTGTGTGATCCTCAGGGGCCCCTCCCAGGAGTAGACCTGGGGACTTGGAGTTTAAGAAGATCAGGTATCCAGGGTATGTCAGTGCTGGAGTGCAGTGGGGATGTCCCAGCCTCTAAGTAACAGGTCCTGTGCCCCCTGGGTCAGTGTGTAACCAGACTCTGTGTGAGGGACTGGCCCCCACCTGCCGTCCAGGCTACCGACTCGTCACCCACTTCCAGGAGGACTCCTGCTGCCCCAGCTACAGCTGTGGTGAGAGGTCTGGGGGTGGGGAGAATGGAATCATCCTGAGGGGAGTCAGGGGAGGACAGCTTTGGGACTAGGTCCTGGCTAGAGATTAGGTCAGAGCTGGGGTGGAGGCCCAGGTGTGTACAGCCAGTGTCTGCTCTCAGCACCTACATTTTTTCCCCAGAGTGTGACCCCAATCTGTGTGAAGCGGAGCCAGTTCCCAATTGCCGCCAGGACCAGACCTTGATCGCAGGCCGCCTGGTGGACTCCTGCTGTACCTCCTACTTCTGCGGTGGGTAGACGTGCCCTCAGATGTCAGCCCTTCCTTGCCTCTGCTGTCGTGGTGGCTGGAAGGAAGGCTGAGGATCTTTCTGTGATGGGGGCATGAGGAGAAAGCCAAAGTCACTGTCCAGAAAGTAGTATGGGACAAAGATAAAACGGGCCATTTTACCCCTAGGTTACTGAGCATGAAGAAATTGGAGCTTGTTCAGGGTCAGACTTTGGGTAAATATAGGGAGAAGATCCAGTTTCTGACCTCAGGACCGTTTCCCTGAAATGCTGCTTTTAGTTTAGCTCCTGCCACACCTGGGCTATTGAGGTGTCCCTCTCCCATTCTAGCAACCTGCTCAGCACCAAGCCTCCATGAGGGGGACTTCTGTGACAGCAGTGACCCCTCTTCTCCCTCAGCCTGTGGCGATTGTCCAGATCCCATCCCTGAGTGTCAGGAAGGGGAAGCACTCACGGTGCACAGGAACACCACGGAGCTCTGCTGCCCTCTGTACGAGTGTGGTGAGTCCTGGCCAGGTGCATGGAGGGCCATGTGGAAAGGGACTCCAGGACCTTTCTGTGCCTCCAGGAGCGGGACCAGGGCCTCCTGAAGGAGCCCTATGGAGAGGCATTGGGAGTCCAGACTTTCCCTAGACTCCAGAGTGTGTCAAAGGATATTGTGGGGACAGGAGGGGAGTTCTTGTCCCCCTTCTTGGCCAGTGTTGCATCCTGAGTATTCACAGTCCAAGGTGTCTTTGATTGATGTGTTACCTGCCCTTCTCCACCCTGGCAGTGTGTGAGAGCTTCCGCTGCCCCCAGGTGCAATGTGGCATGGGCACTGCGCTGGTCGAGGTATGGAGCCCAGACCGCTGTTGCCCCTACAAGTCCTGTGGTAAGTTCCAGGTCAGGAACACCCTGCCCAAAGTGGAGATTGAGGGCCCCTACTGAGGAGTGGGTCCGGGAAAAGGACCCCACCACTGTCAGGTTCTCCAGGTCCCAACAGGGACCTTCTGTATCACTCCCTGAGTGCTGAGCATTCCTATATCTTTCCAAGAAAAAAAGAAGAAAAAAGTCCCCATTCCAAAAATATTTCCCATTTAAAAATCTTTACTGCAGCTGCCTGATAGCATACATCTTATGTGTTAAAATTCACCTCCCCTTCCTCTGGAAGGCTGGTGGGAGTATCAATGATCAGCAATGAAAACCAGTGAACTTTATATAAAAATGTTGTCTTAAAAGGAGTGGAGAAATTCTATTTTGCCTCTGGCTGTCTTGCTTGTCTTTTCCAGACCTCACTAGAATGCAAACTTCAAGAAGGCAGAGTTTCAGTCTATTTTATTCATTGCTTTGTCTTCAGAGCACAGAAAAACCATAGGTATATAGGGGGTATTTAAAATGTCTTGTCACATGAGTGAGGAACCTGGAGAGTGTTTCCCTGCTGTCCTGACCTGCAGCTCTGGGTCCTCAAAACCAGAGTTAGTATGTCTTCTAAATTTGTTAGTAGCTCTGCATGGCTCAGACTTGCCCTCAGGTAAAGGCTGGGGATGGCAAAGTTAAGCCAGCTTGAATATGCAGAGTCAGAAGTTCTATGTTGCCATGTTTATTCTCAGAGAGGCCCCATCTATAGGAAGAGGGATGAATCCCAGGGATAAAAAGAAACCTGTGAGTGGTCTGTCTGCCTATTTATCCTCACTCTGTACCTGGTGAGGAGCTTGGCACTCAGCATCCATCACTGCCCACCTTCCCAACTAGGCATCAGTAGCCCCTATGCAGGGAAGGAGGGAGGCACAGATTTTAGCCTCTTCCCCTCACTCCATGGTCCTAGACTGTGCTGGAGCTGGAGCTGTATCATTGCCAGGCAGGGGGTGGGGCTGCACCTGCAGTGAGCGATCTGGGAGCTCCAGGAACTTCTACCTGGGCATCTCTGGTGAAGGTGGGTCCTGACCTCTCCTGTTTTTCAGAGTGTGACTGTGACACAATCCCAGTGCCCCGGTGCCATCTGGTATGGAGACCTGCCCCTCCCCGCCCTCTCTGTTCTGCCAGTCTTTCCTTTCCTCTTTCCTCTCCCCTGGAGACCCTACTTCTCCAGTACAAAGAGCCCTGAGATGCAAGTCAGCGTTCTTGTCCCAAGCTCTGCCACTGGTTTTCTGGGTACAGTGCCCTCCTTTGTAAGGTGGGCATGATCATAACTCAGAGTTGTGGTGAAGATAAATTATGTTGATGATACTAATGGTGGTGGTCATGGTGGGAATGATGTCAGGATGAAGCAGATGGTGGGGAAGGTGAAGATGATGAAGGCAGGAACAATGATGAAGATGACAATGAAAGTCATGATGGTGGCTTATGCTTATTGAAAGCTATGGTAGGCCTGGAACTTTCCCAGGCCTCTTTGTGTATTATTATACTGATTTTTACAACAACCCCAAGAGGTTGATGCTGTGATTATCTGTTATACAAACAAGGAAGCCAAAGTTAAAGTCACAAAGCTAGTAAACCACAGAGCCAGGATTGGAATCAAGAATTGATGCCAGAGCCATGCCCTTAACCACCAGATTGCTCTGCCACAGAAGGGAGTGAAAATACCTTGAGAAAAGTGAAGTGACCTTTAGGTCCTTCTCTGGATCACATGCACCTTTGCCTAATTCTAGCACACATTTCCTCCTATTTTGATCTCCATCCATTTTTCTTCTTCCTGAAACTGATGAAGAAAGAGAGGAGGTAGTGTGAGCCAAGAGGGACACCAGGCCAGCAGCAGAGGAACAGTCCCTCCATGAAGGAGGGAGGCCGGGGGGATGCTCCTCAGAGGGAGGCTTGGGAGTGGGGAGAGTGAGTGAGCTTCCAGGGTGCCAAGGGTCCCCAGGCCTGCCAGCCCCACCCGCCCACTACAGAGGCAATTGACACAAAGAGGGGCCCTGGTGGCAGACTGCTCCTGAAGATGGGACAGGGCCTGCACCCAGGGTGCTGACCCCCTCTACCCCATCCAGTGGGAGAAGTCCCAGCTTGATGAGGAGTTCATGCACAGTGAGGAGAACGTGTGTGGCTGCGCCAAGTACGAGTGCGGTGAGCAGAGCAAGGGGTCTGTGGCTAGAGCCTGGGCGGGCCAGCCAGGTGGAGGCCATGTGGAAGCTGGGCTCTGGACGACTTATCACACTGCTTGCCCTCCCAGTGAAGGCCCCCGTGTGTCTCAGCCGTGAGCTGGGGGTGATGCAGCCTGGCCAGACAGTGGTGGAGCTCTCGGCAGATGGCGTGTGCCACACCTCCCGCTGCACGGACCTGATCGACCCCCTCACCAGCTTCTATCAGATCAACACCACCTCCGTGCTGTGTGATGTCCACTGCGAGGCGGTAGGGGGCAGCACGGATGCATGGGGGTCAGCAGGGCTGGGCTGGTAGATACTAGGCTCTCCAGAAATCAGGGGGAGCCTAGAATCTTGCCAGGAGCCCCTCAAACAAGTCTAGAGAGTGGGTATCAGAGAAGCCTTCAAGACCTCTAAAGAAAGGCAGGATGAGAGAGGCCAGGAAGGGGCCATCAAGAGCAAAGGGACAAATTTAAGTCCTGGAAAATATGGGTATTTGACATTTATCCTTTTGGTTTATTTATTTGTGGTGTTACTATTTGCTGATCCCTTCTACATGCCCAGTACTTTCAACAGTGAGTACTTACTAGTGGCTTCTAGTAAGGGCTAAGTAAATATTATTTGAACAAAAGGGGTTAGATTTATTCCCATTTTTTCAGAAGAGAAAAGTAAGGTTTAGGGAGGTTTAACCAGTTATAAAAAGTCTCACAGGAACTGGGACTTAAATTGAGGTCTGTCTAGAACCAAAACTGGCACTTTAATTACCAGAATGCTGCCTCTCGGGTGGTGGAGGGTGGAAATGCTCTGACACCATGGCTGATGGGCACTGGCAATAAGGGGGCTTAAGGTAGAGAGTAGGATGAATTGTCTGGCTGCCTGGGAGAGGAGGAGGCTGGTAGTTCCCCTTCCTGAGCACCTACAGGGGGCCCTTCTGGGGCTCTGGTCTCACTTGGAGATAAATAGACAGTGAAGGGCTGGAGGCGGAGGTGGGCGGGAACCTGGCTGATGCCATCCCATCCCACCCTGGCCTGCAGAACCAGGAGTATGAGCACCCCCGAGAGCTGGCGGCCTGCTGTGGCTCCTGCAGGAACGTGTCCTGCCTCTTCACCTTCCCCAATGGCACCACCTCCCTGTTCTTGGTAAGCAGCCCCTGAGCCCACCTGGGCAGATGTCCCAGAAAGGGAAACTAGGACCAGCACCTTCTTTGGCTCCCATGCCTGGGCTCAGTACAGACAGGGTTCTGAGCAGTGCCATGCCCTGGACTGGACTGTCCTCAGGCCTGTGCCATCCATCTGACCACAAGCCCCCGCTGCTCACCTCTGTGCCCTCCAGCCAGGGGCATCCTGGATCGCAGACTGCACTCGTTACCACTGTGGCAGCACTCCCCTGGGTGCTGTGCTTGTCCGCTCGCCCATCAGCTGCCCACCACTCAATGAGACCGAGTGTGCCAAGGTCAGTCTACCTCCTCCTACAGCATGGCCTAGGCCAAGGCATGGGCTGCCTCACGGATGGCTGTTGGGGCAGGGTGGGAGTCCCATGTGCAGTCCCTGGAACCTGTGCTTGCACTGCCACCCCCAGTCCACTTCTCTCCATGCAATTTTTTTTCTCTGACTACTTCACATCCCACATCCTGACAAATCACATGATCACACATCAGTGAATGCAAACATACATTGTCACATGTTCAGGTATACTCAGACACATCTCAAGCAGTGCATGGCCAGTCCTGTGATGGGCTGACAGGTGTCCAGTCCTAGCACAGACAGCTGTCAACATGGGCACTTCTCATGGAAAAGGATGCTTGGAACTTTAGGGATTATTGTTGAATTATTAAAGTGCCTGAGATTAACACTGGACATTTGAAGATTCTGACACTTTCCTAGAGAACTAATACATAAACACACACAGAGACACACACAGGCACACTTTCATACCTGCAGCATCACACATGTGCACACATACTTGCATATTTGTTCACAAAATCATAGTGTATATTGAGACTCACACACACACACACACACACACACACACACACTTATTTTCTAAGAACTGTCCCATCCATTGTTTTATCCCTCTCATAATAGAGGAGGAGGGCTATAAGGGATAGTTGCCCCCATTTTAGAGATGGGGAAACTAGGTCTAGAGGAGAGGGATGACTTATTGAGGGCTGAGATAGAATCTAGGTGGGTCATCCCTGCATCCTTCCTCCCTGACCCTCTGTGCAGGGAAGCACTAATGGTGGGATGTTCCCAAATCCTCCTCTTCCCCAGCACAGAGTCAGTAGAGGAATATGAGGGGAGCTGCCTCAGGAAAGAAAGGAGGCTCTGCGCCATTTTACCAAAGCTGCAGCCACACTGGGGGCTGCAGGCACTTAGTGTTGTCTAGTCAGCCAGATTAGCCCCTCTGGCTCTCCCATGGCCTGTGCCAGTCCTGGAACTCCTGCCTGGACATTCATGGTAGAAACAGAAGGAACAGTCAGTCAAGACTGACTGTTTTTGCCTATTGCTGGGACCTCGGCTTCTGACTTGGAACAAAGCTCTTCACCCTCCCTTTCCTTTCTCTCCCTCCAGGTTGGGGGCTCTGTGGTACCTTCCTTGGAAGGATGCTGTAGGACATGTGAGTGAGCATGGTGGAGGCCCAAGGGTGAGGGGTGCTAATGTCATCTTGGGGTCAGAGGGCCTGGACTGGCACTTATGATAGCAACTCTTCAGAGCTGAGTAGGAGAAGGGACACCCCTTGACATGAAGCACATGGCACTGGCAAAAAAAAAAAAAAGAAGAAGAAGAAGAAGAAGGTGGCCAGAGGCCATGCTCATGCCCTTATCCCAATATAAGGCCTTTTCTTCTTTGTGGAGACAGGGGATATTGAGACATTGTAGTTAGTAAGTCAGTAGCTCACCAGTCACTCTGCCTCTTCCTGCCTCTGCCAAGACCTCCAGCCCAGATGTCCACCATATGGATTCTCCTTTGTGGTCAGGAGTCTTGGTCATGGACGTGCCTCCTGAATGGGATTCAGGCTTCCAGGGTCCCTAAGTCAGAATGACAGCTCTGTATATCTGTCTTTATCCTGGCTCCTGGGCCCCTGAACATTCAGAGTCTATAGCCCTAACCTTGCTGGCATGAACAGAGCAATCAGCCTAAGGACCTTTGCCCATGTGCCTGTCCTTCTCCTAGGATTCTCAGACCCTGTCCCCAGAGGGCTGTAATTTGGGCTCTTTTATGTTCATACTACATGCTACAAGGACACTGGGCTCAGGGCCTCATTGTCTGATCCCTCACCCATACCTCATGCTCCCTGAATGTCCTATGTACCCCCATTTGACCTGCAACCCATGTCCCTCTCCCCAGGTTCCCTGGGGACTCTGTTTCCCATGGTCCCTGTTAGCCCTGCCTCTCCTCCACGGGTTAGTGCCCACTGCCACCCAGGTACTTCTCTTGGAAACTCACAGGACTGGAGGCAGGCAGCCGCACTGCTATTTACAACAGCATCCCCTCTGCTAGGTGGCCCCAAGCTCCGGGGGCAAGGGAGGGGGAGGCCCCTGCTCCTTGCCCACAGCGCATGCTGGGTAGTGAGCTGCATCCCCTGCTTGCATGGGAATGCTTGAGCAGCACCCTCTCACCTAATGCCCACCAGTGCCCAGTGCTGACACGCTTTTCTCCAGCTGGTAACTTAAGTCAGTCTCTGTTCAGTACCCAGAGGCCTGTGACCAGGACAGCCCTTGGTTCTCCTGTCTCCCTGTGGTGAGGCTTGGTAGCCAGGAGATAGGATTCCGGCCCATTTCTGGTGGGCTTCCTAGGCTTTTACAGAGTGAGTCCATGAGTCCAGCGGATTGTTGAACATCAGCTCAATGCCATAAGCACCGTATAAATAAGGCCTTCTGGAGCTGACATTTTAGTGGGAGAGAAAGAACAAATAAATAGATCATAGAACAGAGGCACAGAGTTGTGTGGGGCCTGAAGCTTATGCAATTTGGGGATCTTCATTGAGGAAAAGAACACAAAATGATAAATCTATATTGAGATGTGAAAGTGAATATTTTGAGGGTGGCAGAGTATGGAAGGGGTCCAGGCAAGGGAAAGCTCTTAAACTTATGCTTCAACAGCATATGTGTCACTGATAAGACAGTGATTATGCCCTGGATATAAATAAGACAAGGGAAGGCTCAGGAAGAGAGGACTGGGTGGAGGGACAGAGGGAGCCGCAGTTCCAAGGAGGATCAGGAAAGGTCTCAGTGAAGGGACGCTGAAGGCAAGAGTAAGTGATATGACTGGTTGTGAAAGGCCTGCTCCGAGCAGAAGAAACCCCACACTTGATCAATTTCCACACTTACAACAGCTCTGTGAGGTGGGCAACTCCCTGGCTCCATTTGACAGATATGGAAATCCATTGAAGCTGTCATGTGAAGCATTCTGCTAGGGACTAGATGCTAATGAATGGGGTTTCCATTCATTCAGAGAATTGAAGGAAGGCTAGAAGCCCTCTCACAGTAGGAAAATTGAAGCTCAGAAAGGGGTGCAGACACACCCAGGGTTGCTCCCTATGATACGTCTGCCTTCCCCCACTCCACTTCCTTCCAGGGCATTGAGTTAAAACAGGGGGAGGGGCACTAATGCATGGGCACTAACCTGGAAGTGGGACCCTCCAGCATGACACTAACTGCCCCAGGCTGGCCCACCCTGTTGCCCCCAGGGAGCCCATCTGGGCCACAGCTGCCTCTCCCACCCTGTTCCCCAGGTAAGGAGGATGGGCGCTCCTGCAAGAAGGTGACCATCCGCATGACCATCCGCAAGAATGACTGTAGGAGCAACACCCCTGTGCGTGACGGCGGCATGGCGGTGGGGGCGGGGAGAGGCAAAGACGGGAATGGAGGGGGTTTGGGAAGCAGGCACTCTGCAGGCCGCCTCACTGGCCTGCCTGTCTTCAGGTCAACCTAGTGTCCTGCGATGGGAGGTGCCCCTCTGCCAGCATCTACAACCACAATATCAATACCTATGCTCGCTTCTGCAAGTGCTGCCGGGAGGTGGGACTGCAGCGGCGCTCCGTACAGCTCTTCTGTGCTGCCAACGCCACCTGGGTGCCCTACACAGTGCAGGAGCCCACCGATTGTGCCTGCCAATGGTCCTGAAGCTTGGGGGCTGGGCTGACTGGGCCATCTGTGCCAATCCCGATATTCTGCTTCCAGTTAGCACAAGAATTTTTAGAGGGAGGTGGGCAAAGGTGGTGGAGAGCTGTATGTGCTGAGTACGGAATGATGGGCAGCAGCCCCAAGAGGGACCAGAATAGGCCACACTTATCCATCCTGGCTCCCTTTCTGGTCACCCTTCCCACACACTGGAAAGTGTCTCAGCTCAGGATTCTGGGAATTCAATTCTGTTCCTGGATTGAGGTTAAGAACTGACTGCAGATCCAGGGCCATCCCCTGTATATTTGTAACTCTGGTCATGGTTCTTTGGTAGAGGGAGTTGGAACTTTCCCTAGAAGCTGGGACCAGAGCAGACCCCAGACCACGCATAGGGTCAGGGTGTGGAGGCCTGGTTCTTTCTACACCCTTTTAACCACAGGAGAAACATAGACCCAGTCAAAGGAAAGAGGCCTGTATAGAGCCGTCCAGGACTCTTGAAAAAAGTAAAAGAGCTAGACTTGAGGGACCAGGTTCTTTCACAGAGATGTCTGAGGCCAGGCACAAAAACTGAGGAGTGGACTCAGTGACCCTCAGATTCCCTTCTCCTGCATTGATATTGTAATTCAGGAAATGACTTAGGAGAGCAGGCCGAGGCCTGCACCTCTATACACACCCCCTTACTCCCAAGCCAATAATCCTGGCAGGTGAGCTGGCTCTTTGAGATGGTGGAAGGAGGAATAAGCTCATTAGCAGGAGTCCAGTGTATCTCATCTCAAATGCTGTTGGGCATCTCACCCTCCTGAGGGGGCCCTTGGTTATGTGATGAATGTTTCCAGTCTGCAAGTACAGCTCCTGGCTCAGCCTCTTCTCCAAGGACATATCAGAGCTGGTCTCTGGAGGGGCCTGCCTTTGTGGCTCAGCCATTCCAGGCTCTGTGCTTCATGGTCTATTTAGTGGAAAAGTGTCTGTTGGTAGAAAATACACCCTGTGTGTACGTGGCTCAGCAGCCCAGGGCATCTGTCAGAAACTTGTCCCCAAACCAGAGGGTCCTTAGCCAAGGCCAGAACTCCTATCCACACCCACTCTGCAGATCCTCTGCCTCCTGTGCCCCTTTGTGTTACTGGATCCAAAGGGCACCTGACATTGCTCAGGCCCTGCACTTCCCTGAATGTCTGCAGAGGTGTGGCTGTCCTGGTACCCCTTGGGGTCAGGAGGCTGTGCCAGGATGGTGCCCAGCTTTCCCCACAGCTTCTTTGCTCCTGTAACTGTGTTCTGTTTATGTATCAATAAATCCCAGGAAGACTTAAGGCCTCTGAGCATCTCTGAGGGTGCCAGGTTTGTTTTGAATATGAAGTCTCAGCTATGAAGAGAAGAGCCTATTTCAGGGCCTAGAGGCCAGCCTGGCTTCTCCTACCCTACCTATGCTCCATTCAGAGAAGACCCTTGGTGGGTGGGTATCTACTGGCTGGGATTGAATTGATTGGAGACTGGCTTCTAAAGAAAGGGGTGGGAAAAAGGAAGAGGACATTGGGAGCTAACATTCAGGTGAAAGGACTGAGGAGTGATCTCAGTTCCATGGGGCCAGGAGTGAATGCCTTTCACATAGGATGTGAACGAGGCAGACCCTGAGAGTAGGTTTCATGTTGACCTCTCAGTGTTTTGTATTTATTTCTCTGTTGTTCTCCCAAAGAGTTTAGTAAGGTTTTGCAGTTACTCTGGTGACACTAGGGAGAATACAGTAATGAGTTTTTAGTGACCCTTCAACTTTAAAGGATCACTGGCACCTTAAGGAGCCAATGAGAGACTGCTTTCCTAGGTTGTCCCATGTGGGAAGGAGGAGGAAGCTTCTAGGGCCGAGTCAGTGCTTAGAATGCAAGAGGTCCCTAAGTTTCTCCTCTCATAGTACACCTGACTGCTGACATGGACCTTGGGGTTTTTCCTAATGAAAAAGGAGACTTATAGCCTCTTAAACAGCACACTTTTAAATTAGCAATGGGTCAAGGAAGCAATAAGAATGAAAATTAGGTAACATTTTTGATCTGCTGATTATGAAATAATGGCACATTAAACTTATGTGATGCAGCTATAGCAGTACTTAAAAGACGGGTGTCCTTAAGTGCATACTTCATACTTCTTAACTTTTCATTATTACCTAGAGAGATGGAGTGGGGAAGGGCTTCCAAATTTCTCCACGATAGATGAGGATCAATGGTGCATGGTCCTTAGCCACAACACACTCCCTAAATCACGTACCAATTGCTTTCAGAATTTTGAACCCTAAGCTCAACAGAATATGAAGTTAAGTATATCTTTAAAGAAAAATGACTTAAAAATATACAGCAAGAGCCAGGTGTAGTGATGCATGCCTATACTTCCAGTGACTTAGCAGGCTGAGACAGGAAGATTGTGAGTTCAAGGCCAGCCTCAGCAACTTAGAGAGACCCCCTGTCTCAAAAAATAAAAAAATAAAAAGAAGGGCTAGGAGTGTAGCTCAGTGGTAAAGTGCTCCTGGATTAAATCTCCAATTTCTTCCACCAAATTTATATATATATATATATATATATATATATATATATATATATATAAAGCTATTTAGACTAAGATGCAAAGTGTTTTTTCAGCCATTTCAGGAATCCTAATGCTCCCAACTGTTCATCCCTCACCTCACTGGCACTCCCATCTGCTTATTTTCAGTATGACAAATTAGTTTTTTGAACAGGGCCAGTTTTAGTCAGAGGCTGTATGGACAGAGGCAGAGGGCATCAGATTAAGTGAGCCAGCCTTGGCCTAGTGTCTTTCTGCAGTCTCAGTTTGGGAGGGTAGCCCTGGGCTTTCAAATGTGTTTTCCACATTCAGTCTGTCACTGGTGACCAGCTTTAGGAGCTGGCCCTCCTTGGCTCCTGTCAGCAGCAGTTCTCAGCTTTCCTGCTCCACCCTCACCATATACCCACAGGAGGCCATAGCTTCTCTTGGTCATACCCCATTGCTGGAATTACAATGTGTCTGGCTGTTCATCCCCCACCTCACCTCTCTATTCCCATGCAGTCACCACCTACTACCTGTTCCCACCAGAACCCAACCTTCCATTCCAGTCTTTTGGCAAAAACTCCTAGTCTTGTTTCACAACTTGTTCTTGGGGAAAACAACTCTTTTAGGCCAAGATACTCTAGCAAAAGATTAACATGAGGCAAATCACTAATGCTGCTCTGCATTGTGAGAAGTCGAGATGTAAAAACTTTGAACCATTGTCAGCATTGCCCAGTTGCTCTCTGAAAGGCCAGTACCAGCAGTGTTGATGTGAGTGTTCACAAGTAGAATTTGGAGATGTGGATTTATTAAAAATAAATCTTTTAACTACATCATCCTACTTCTAGGCAACTGTGGTAGACTGAAAAACAACCCTCCAAAAATGCCCACATCTAACCCCTGGAAACTGTAAATACATTGCCTAACATGGTAAAAGGGACTTTGCAAATGTGATTATGTTAAGGATCTTGCAATGGGGAGATTATCTTGGATTATCCAGGTATGCCCAGGTAAACACAGGGTCAGAGTGAGAGAGAAGTAGAGATTGGAGTTATGCATTTTGAAGGTAGAAAAGGCAGCTCTTCCCAAGGACTTCAGGCAGCCTCTAGAAGCTGGAATTCAAGAAAATAGACTCTCCCCAGGTCCTCCAGAAGGAACACAGACCTATTGTTCCCTTGATTTGAGCCCAATGAAACTGATTTCAGACCTCTGACGTACAGAATTACAAGAGAATAAATTTGTGTTGCTTTAAGTCACTAAGTTTGTGGTAATTAGTGACACCAGCAATAGGAAACTCATAACAGCATCTAAAGAAAGAATTCATGCAAAGAAGCATGTGCCAGGTGGCATATTGCATCATTGTCCTAAGTTTTAAAAGTTAGTAGCAACTTTAAATGTCTATCAGTAGGGAACAAGTAAATAACCTGTTACAGTCCACTATATTATGTAGCCCTTTTGTGCACTGACATGTTGGGCTCTCTGGTATATGCTAAATGAAGAAAGGAACTTGTGGGTTGGTTCTCACAAAATGACCTACCTCCTTTATGCCCCTATAAAAAAATGGGACACACAGATAAATAGACTGATAGACACACACACACCACCCTTATGTTGGTCTCATTCCCTTGAAGGGTTTTCAGCACTGAGCAGGGCCCTTCCTGGCTCTTAGGGCCAGCTAGTCCAATGGCAACTGGAAGCAACCTTTTTGGTTCTGAGAATCCCAAGGGCTGTAACTGTGCATAGGAGGATGGATAGACCAGAATAGACTCAAAGCTCTAGGGACATCCATGGCCTCTCTTGCCTTCCTGTGGTTCCTCCCCACTCTCTGCCCATGACTTAAAGCCTGAGACAACACCAAAGGCCACACACACAGGTAAGGAAACAGAAGACCAGAACCAGTCTGGCTACTCAGAGAGTTGGTGGCCAAGCAGGGTGGCTGCCCAGCCTTGGTCCCCTGTGACATATTTGCAAACACGAGGGGTTTTGAGCCGCAGAACCATCCCATTCTCCGTGGTGCAGGCTCAAGTTCCCGCCCTGATTTTCTGGGCTTAATCCTCTTCCTGTGGAAATCAATAAGGACATTGTGATGGAATGATTCACGTTCAAGGTCAGCCCGGAGCAAATTGGAGGCGACATGCTGATTTTACTGCCCTCATTGAGAGGGGAGCCAATCCTGCTCACAGGCCCTTTAACCCTTTCCTTGCCTCTCTCATCACCTCCATCAGCACAAGCCCCAGGGCTGGGTCCCCATAGTCTTCTCACCCATGTGTAATCCTGCATTTTAGATTTTCCAAGGTTCAGACCACTCAAGGTCTCAAGGTCTCAAGATCTTCGCAGCGTTTGGGGAAAGCAGGTGGCAAGTTCAGGAACAACTTCAAGTTGAAGGTCAAATGCTCCATGAATAATTTCCTTGGCCACTTTCTGCCGAAGGAAATCTCTCTCACTCTCTTTCCCCTTCTAGTCCCCTTTTCTTGAGT